ACCTTCACTCATTAATGACATTGCCTTTGAAGGTCAAATTATTGAAATTTTCATTGTTTTGGCAGTAACTGACTGTAACTTTGCTATTTTTGAAGGGATAAACTTCATATTATAACAGAACATTCTTAAGGACCAGACCTTGTTGTCTATCAAACCCAAATTTGCTTGGGCTCTTTAATGACCTTGACCTTGAAGGTTATATTACTGAATTTTCTCAGATTGTGCATTTATTGGTGTGTGTGTATGTATAGTATATATATATATATACATATATATATATATATATATAATAAATGCACAATCTGAGAAAATTCAGTAATATAACATGTATATATATACACACACACATATATATATATATATATATAAATTGCGTCATTTTTTTCTATTTTTAGAAATTGCGTCATTTTTTTGCTATTTTTAGAAATTGCGTCATTTTTTTTTCTATTTTTAGAAATTGCGTCATTGTTTCTATTTTTTAGAAATTGCGTCATTTTTTTTCTATTTTTAGAAATTGCGTCATTTTTTTCTATTTTTAGAAATTGCGTCATTTTTTCCTATTTTTAGAAATTGCGTCATTGTTTCTATTTTAAGAAATTGCGTCATTGTTGCTATTTTTAGAAATTGCGTCATTTTTTTCTATTTTTAGAAATTGCGTCATTTTTTTCTATTTTTAGAAATTGCGTCATTGTTGCTATTTTTAGAAATTGCGTCATTGTTGTTATTTTTAGAAATTGCATCAATTTTTCTATTTTTAGAAATTGCATCATTGTTGCTATTTTTAGAAATTGCGTCATTTTTTTATTTTTAGAAATTATGTCATTTCTTTTTATTTTTAGAAATTGCGACATTTTTTCTATTTTTAGAAATTGCGTCATGTTGCTATTTTAAGAAATTGCGTACTGTTGCTATTTTTAGAAATATGCTTAATGTTTCTATTCATATATATATACAAAATATATAAACAAAACTAATGTGACAAGACAGACCAACTAAATTTTTAAAAAGGAAACGTCAATATATGTTCAAACCTTTCTATGTTTGCGTTTAGAAAAAGTAAAAAGTCGAGCGTTGCCCCCGCCCGGCGGTGGCTCTTGTTTTGCTAGTGTGGCAGATATAACTTAGTAAAAAGAAATGAAATTTTAACAAAATTAATATGTAAAGGAAATACATGTAGCAAGCACCATATAGTATGTTGGTAAATACTATGTTGAAAAAAGTGCAAGTCTGCTTGTTTTGAAAAAATAGAACAGTTATTATTTTGGGTATGTTTTGACTTTATGTCTTTGGGACATGATATTTTTTATGTCACAAAGCCTGTGTTAAAGAATAATTTTGGGTTGTTACTGTTCTCTCATGACAATTCTAGTTTTGTTTCATGGATATGATGAAAGTATTGCATGGTACACGTATGCTATAGCTAAAACAGTTTTTCATAAAGAATATTGATTGGTTTAAACATATTTTTATTCAAGGTAATATATACCTGTTAATAATTTATAACTTAAGCAGAAAGGAATTGGACCGAGAGCTACAATAGCTCATGGTAGTCCTCTCCTTAAAATATTGATTGATTAGTGTATAGGTTTTATAGAGATGATAAAAATGTATGCTTTGAATTTCACACAAAAAAATAAAGTGATACTATTATTCATGCATTTAACATTTCTTCATTGCTTGTAACAGATCTTAGTACAAGCTATTAACTACATGTAATATATGTATTCTAAGACAGCCAGGCCTTTCCATAGCTATTTCAGGAAAAAGTACCTAGCATCATAAAATTGCTTATTTGGGGGAAATATTTGGTACCAGGCTCTTTGGGCAATAACCAACCCAAATAACAAGCAAGATGACACATCTATCCATCATGAAACTGGAATGAACTTAAGTGAATTTGTCAGTTTTGGTATCAGCAATTTGGTCTGATTGGTTTTTTTTTAGAAAGATTGGAAGAAAATAGGCTTATTTGCCTTGTTGGTGGTGACACTTGGACAGCTGTTAAAATCGTCTGTTGTGTACAGTGTATGCAATTACAAAAGTTTCTGTTTCATTTATGACTTTAAATCAGAGTGAAAAACTTCTCTGATTAATTTCCAGCAAATTAAATATCAGGAATGTTCTGTTTGAGGTCATTTAGTTATGTTCTGCTAGTTGACATTTACGGTCATTAACATTTAATTTGAAACAATTTCATGCTATAAGACTTGCCAAGTTGGCTTTTATACTTAGACTAAAATATGTCTCAAGGCAAGAGCTTCACTTTTGAGTAATTGATGAAGAATATAAAACAAAAACGCCTAAGGTCAAGGTCATTTATAGGCCAAGTTCTCATTTTTAATGTATGAGGGTCTTACAAACTACTTGAATCTGATATAAAGCATGTATTTTTTATTTGGTTCTGAAGTTGTTTTTTACCCAATTCTTGGTCACAACTAGGGGGTCCATCTACCTAATCGACTTTCTTTGATACTGACCAATTTCCCAGTGACAGACTACTAATTTTAACATGATCAGCAAAGATACTTTTGACTATTAGACTGGGATATCTTTCACTAATTGATAGTACATGTATTCATATTTTAAAATCTCATAGATCTTGCTGTTGCTTTATGACATTATAAAGCTTTTTGGTGAATATCCAACATTCTCATATCATATATCAGGTTATTTTTTAATTACATGTGTAAGGTTATTTTATGTACAGCAAATATCACAATTTTGGCAGTAATCTAATTTTAGCGATTTTGTTGTACATGTACATGCTTCTTTATTTCACGTTTTTCTGCTAGCAAAGCAACCACTCTATACATCCGAGATTTACTATTTTTATAAGTGAAACTTTGTTTTTAATTTTTCTATTGGTGTATTATTTACAGGTAAGTATTCAGTATTTCACACTTACTGTGTTGTCTCAGCTTATTAATAACATGTTATTGTTAAGTTGCTTAATCTTTTTTTGTATACCTATATGCAAGGTGTGAATTATTTATTTTTTTGGGACAATCATTTCCCAAAAAAAAAGTTTTACATGTTAAATCACTGTGTCACTAAAAAATTTTTGGGATTCCATGTATTTTTAATACTTTTTAATGAAAAATTAACCCTTTAAATTTTCAATTTTGGGGGTTTCTTTGATACTTTCTCTATTATAGGTATAACAACATATTAGTAAATACGACGGGTTATTTAAATTTAAAATACTTGGGTTAGGAATTTCAAGTTTTTTAGAAACAGGAGAATGCCAAGTAAGGTTAATAAATTAAAATTTAGTGAATCTTAATTTTTCGCAAAATTCAGCGCACACGAATAAAGCGAAAATTAGATACTCACGAAAAAACCTGATATACATTCCTACCCTGTCTGGATTGTTTTTGTTCCACTAGATAAGATGTATATCTAAAACTTACAAATGTATATTGAAGATCACAATGCATGATTGCATGTGCCAAGTTTGAAAACTCCAAGTACCTTGATGTATTTTTGGTCTAGATACATGTATACCCAGTAATTATAGTAATTGAACCAATTTTGTGAGCAAATCGGTATGGTTAATTTGTTTTGGCATCTTGGATAAACATTGTTTCTCAAGTTCAGGTTGAAATAACAGTTTCAAATCTTCTTACCAATACATGTATATTGGAATGATATTTGCATGTTTTGTTACTGCAACATTTCATGTTTACCATGTTATCTTTCTTTAATACACTTTAAAAATAGTAATGGTTAGTCTATTTTAGCAACTTCAATTTACCAATGGCTTCATACATACTTACCAATGTTTAAGTCATTATTGTTGCAAGTTATATAACTGTATTCTTTTCCTCCCATTTATGGTTTTTGAAAAAAAAGTATAGTTTACCTTTTTTTCAAGTTGTATTTCTTATAAATATTTTTGTACCAATGGCATCTTATTTCATGAACTTAACAATAGATATTTGGCAAGTTCTATAAATGCGGCATCTTCCCCAACCGCCCCCCCCCCCCCCCCCCCCCCCCCTTGCCACCCCCCCCCTCCATTTTTTTTTTTTTTTATATTAATATATATCCCTTTCAACCTTTTACCTATAGTATTTGTGTAAATTGCTGACTCTTTCTCCTTAATTCAATGTAAAATGTATATGTGCATGTAAATAAGTTAAGACGGTAAGTTTATATTCTCTTTTGAACTTGATCATCTTTTGTAATTGATAAATAAGTAAAGCTAAAAAGTTGTATAATATACATTACATGTACAATGTACATAAAGTGTAACATTTGATTATTTTAAAATAATAACTTAATATAAGTTGCTTAATTATATTGTAGTACAAGTAAAATTATTGATACCTGTACATGTACACAATGTAGCATAAGTCTGTGATATAAGCTAAGTAAAGCTATGTAGTATTAATTATGGTACATTTAATGTATTAGTTTGACTATCTCACTGGGCACTTGTATGCAGTGGTTCAATATTGGATTTGGTCAAGCAAAAATTCAATACCTGACTGTACATATTTGTATAAAGCCAGGATTATCTTTAAAATAAGATAAGTCCAACACCTATACAATATACAGTCATTGTTGAGGGTTCCTTAAAGCATTTAACATTCATACATCAGTATTTTCTTTTGCATTTTTAAGCCTTTATTTAACAGTATTTTATTTGACTTTAGATTATTGAACTTTTTCACATTTGTTTGAAAAGTTAAATGTTTATAAGATTTTTAATGTACCTTTAATCTATGTTTTTATAATTGAAAGAGTTTCATAGCATGTTGTATGACCATTTCAGATAGAAACAGTTTCATAGTAAAAGGGTTTTCTTTCTTCTTTATAAACAAGGTGTTTATTGTTTAATATAAAGATTTGCAAGTCATGTTTATGAAGTGTCAATCATAGTTTATATGTTATTGTCTGTATATGTTAGAGAAGATGTTAAAATACACAAACAATTCAAATTTATATGATTTTAGGATAGAAATTTATTACTTATTTTGCCTTTGGTATATTTTTAGGATGTTTGATTAGTATAAGAGCTGCTGTAAGGTGACAGCAGCTTAGAAACAGACCACAGAAATATGTCATGGCGAGGATCAACTGGTCATCTGGACGCAAATGTCCCTGGTGAGTAAAATATTTTGATTTTTTAAGTTTTTCCAAAATATTGGAAAAGTAGTTTATATTTCGATTTTTACATCATGGAATTGGTTTATCTTAGTAAAAAGTAGAACAAAGAAGAAGCTTCTGATGTTTCAAGTAAAAAATTAGATAATTTATATGACATTGTGACTAGAAATATATTTTTAGAATACACAGGCATTACATGAAGTGCTCCCTCCAGACATAACTAGCATTACATGTGGTGACCCCTCCAGTCATACACTGGTATTACATGGAGTACCCCTCCAGATATACACTGGCATTACATGTGGTGATCGCTCCAGACATACACTGGCATTAAATGGAGTACCCCTCCAGACATACACTGGGTTTACATGAAGTACTCCTCCAGATATACACTGGCATTACATGTGGGGACCCCTCCAGACATACACTGGCATTAAATGGAGAACCCCTCCAGATAAACACTTGCATAACATGAGATGATCCCTCCAGACATACTTTGGAAATCAACATTAAAGTAGATCCCTCCAGACATACCACTGGCCATAAAATGAAAAGTGGACTCCTTCAGACATAAAAATTTCCCAAAAACTTTAAAGGGGGGCCCCCTCCAACAAAACCCCCTTGGGAAACATGAAAAAAACCCCCCCAGACATAAAAACTCCGTTTTAAATAAAGCCCACCCCTCCAAACTAACTCCCATTATTTGGGAAGCCCCTCCGACATCCTGGATTTTAATGAGGGACCCCAGACTTTAAAAATGGCATAACAAAAATGACCCCCCAGACATCCCTTTGGCTTTACATTAAAAGGTCCCCCCCTTTCCTGACTTACCCCTGGCTTTCATAAAAGTGACCCCCTCAGACATAAAACTGGAAATAACATAAAAATGACCCCCCAGAATCCCCGGGGGCTTTCCCCCCATAAATGACCCCCCATTTCAAGGGGCTGGCTTTTCCCGGGAGGTGACCCCTCCGACAAAAACTGGCAAACATAATCCCCATCCAGCCAAAAACCGCTGGCTTTACTGAAGTCCCCTCCAACATACACTGGCATTACATGAGGTGACTCCTCCAGACATAAACTGGCACTTACTTGAGATGATCCCTCCAGACATACTTTGGCATTACATGTGGTGACCCCTCCAGACATACACTGGCATTACTTGAGATGACCCCTCCAGACATACACTGGCATTACATGAGGTGACCCCTCCAGACATACACTGGCATTACATGAAGTGACCCCTCCAGACATACACTGGCATTACATGAAGTGACCCCTCCAGACATACACTGGCATTACATGAGGTGACCCCTCTAGACATACACTGGCATTACATGAAGTGACCCCTCCAGACATACACTGGCATTACATGAGGTGACCCCTCCAGACATACACTGGCATTACATGAAGTGACTCCTCTAGACATACACAGGTATTACATGAGGTGACCCCTCCATTCATACACTGACATTACATGAGATGATCCCTCTAGACATACCCTGGCATTACATGAGGTGACCCCTCCATTCATACACTGACATTACATGAGATGATCCCTCTAGACATACCCTGGCATTACATGAGGTGACCCCTCCATTCATACACTGACATTACATTAGGTGATCCCTCTAGGCATACACTGGCATTACATGAGGTGACCCCTCCATTCATACACTGGCATTACATGAGGTGACCCCTCTAGACATACCCTGGCATTACATGAGGTGACCCTTTCAGTCAAACACTGGCATTACAAGAGATGTCCCTCATTCCCCCAGTCATATTTTGAGAATAAATTGGCATAATAGAAGAAAAATCCCAAAACCCTCTAGTCATACTAGACATATTTTGAGATAACGCTGGTATAATATAAAGTTTCTCACATCCCTTCAGCCCTTTATTTTGAAATTGGGAAGGGCCACCCAAAATTTGTCCCCTTTTGGTAATGCTTGCCATTCCGGGTATTGATCAGCTTAAAAAGAAAATGTTTAAAAAACAATTTTTTTTTGGCAAAAAGGGAATTTGGGACTGATTTTCAATTTTTAGGGTTTCTTTAAAGATTTAAATGAATGACTTAAAGAAGAGAGATTTTCCATGCTTGACACAATGTCTTTGATTAAATCTCCTGGGATGAATTTCTAGTCGGGGAAAATTGTCTTTGTGCCAAATACATGGTATGATTTAATGCGCTAGTCCTTGTGTATTTGAATTTTGTTGCTAGTATTTTGTCAATGATAGACAGGTTGTCTGCAGGGAATTCGGTGAGGACCGAGGGATAACAAGATTGATTTATGCCTGGGATTTTACATTACAGCTCTTTTAGATTAATAGACACTATTATAATTGACATTATTATAAATATTGTTACAACTGCAAACATGTTAGAATTTTAATGAATGATGTTCACCAAATAGAATTACTGTGAGCAATTATAGTTCTAATCCCTTCTTTTCCGCTAAGTCTCCACCCCCATGGGACCCAATCTGTATTTTTTTCATGTGTGAAATTAGATTAATTTTGAGATGGGGAACTATCTGTAACAACAGCTACATTATTAACTTTTATATTTGTTGAAAACATGTTGGATTTTGACTTGTGGGAATGGATGCATCTAAAAAACTTGACTGTATGTCTATAAAAGTAAAAAAAAATTACAATGATGAAATATCAGAAACAGAAGATTTGAATTCTAATCAAGTTCTTGGGTCAAAAAATGGGACATAAATTTACAATGCCCATAAGAATATTTTTAAGATATAATCTAAATAAACCCCGGGGGGGAAAAAAAAAGGAAAAATTTTTTTTATAAAATTGTCCCCAAAACATTTTAAATGAGGAAAAAGACAAAACCCTTTTTTTAGTGATTTTGGGGAAGGTTTGATATACTATTACTAAAATGGGGCTGTGTTCTCTGGTTGGGATTTAGGTTGTTAAAAATTTAAAAAACTATTTTATAAAGGAACAATTTTTAAGGGGGAAAAACTGATCTAATGTTTTATTTGGGTTTATTTTGATTTTTTTCCCCCAACTACACAAAAAAAAAAAAAATTCCGAAAAATTTTTTTTTTTTACTAATTCTGAAAAGGATGAAAGATTTTTTTTAGGGAAAGGTGGTGTTTTTTTATGTAAAACCATATATTTTCCAGGAAATTTAATTTTAAAAAAAGGAAAATCCATTTCTTTTTCTAAATGATTTAGTTACCTTATCGGGAAAAAATTTTGGGAAGTTTTTCCCGAAAATAGGTTTGCGTGGAATATATCTGTAAAAAGGCAGTAAGTTTCTTGTTTTCACAGCATTTTATTGTGATATATTGATATATGCGTCTAAATTTTGGGATGTTTTATAGCATTACAGTTAATGATCAATACTTGAACCCCCCTTTGGTTTCTCTAGTTTTGCAAAATTGTTTGCTTTTTCTCAGATTACAGACTTTTTTGTTTGAAAGCAGTTTATTTTCATTGTTGTAAAGAAAATAAAACTCTTTTAGCTAAAACTACATTTTATTGATTTGATCTAGTAGAGATTTATTGAGAGAAGAAGCTGGAAAGAGGGTTCCTAGTTGGTAACCATTACTTTTTGGCTATTTTTGTGTAGAATGGTTTCAGTGGGCATAACATAGCTGTCACAGTGATGTCTCACAATATTTGTGCATTAATGCTTGCATATGATGAGCCCTTTCAATATATTATATGTTGCATTATCTATGTATTGTACATAAAAGGTGCTCTGCCCACAGGTACTGGTCCATGCTGTACTTTCACTGGTTACAATGTCAAGATCTATCACAGAGGTTAGATACCTTGCATGGACTTTTGGTTTGAAATTTATGTTATGATCATTAAGGCAGAAAAGAGTTCTCTACCTTTTCCCCAATCCTTTGATTCAGCAGAAATGGACATAGGTTGACATAAATATAAATGTATTTTGTGATAAGTTCAGGATATCTTGACAGTTTTAATGTGATTTAATTAATAATAGTATCCTCAGGTCAGTCCTTGTGTTCTCCCCTTACCCATCAACCCCCCCAGTTGTGAGAGAAAAATTGCTATAAAAGATTATCATGCTTTGGTAAACAATCTTGTAATTTGACACTACTATAATTATGATCAGTGTAGAAACAAATCATCTTTATTTAAAAACATATAGGTCAGGCATTCTTTAATTACTATAATAATTTAATTGTTGAAACTAATACAGTATATATTATAATTGTAGGGTAATTATATGATAATTTGTCTTAATTTAACAATAATGAAAAATAAAATTGGCTGTATATTGAATGAAATTTTTAAAATGAAAATAATAGTCTGAATAACTCCCTGCTAGAACTGAGAGTGATTAGCCTTTACCACCAGTATATATAGCCAGGCCAGCCTGCACATCAATGTACATAATGTAGGCTTACTAACTTAGATACCTTATAACTAGATAATGAACTGTTCTAATAAATGGAAGCTGGACAAATCCATTAAATTTAGCAGGTTGAAGGTTAATGTATTATAATTCATGCTGATTTTTTATAGTCAGACTTTCCTTAAACTTGATTTCTGTAAATATGAAGTCATTACATTTGAGTATTTTTGAGCATTTGAAGTAATGTCCTTATTGGAAATTTTGATGTTGGGTGTTGTTTTTTTAAATTGAAAAAAAAAGACTAAAATTGTTATGACTTTCCCATTTTTATTCCAGTAAAAAAACAGTTTACTGCTGCATTTTGTTGGTTTATTCATGAAAATGAGGAATAAAAAATGAGAGAAAAAAAAAATAGAATATTCAGAATAGTTCATGCTGATATTGTTCACTATGTCATGCAAGTGAACTCTGTGAGGGGAACTGACTGTCATGTTGATATTAAAACTAAAAAAACCAACTTATTATGATTGATTTGTATTTACAGATTACCAAAAGATGCTTCAAGGCCGCTACCCATCAGGTAATTGTTTTACACTAATGTTACAATTTTCTTTTACAAGTCAGGCACTTTGGATGAAATTGGTAATAACTGGTTATAAGTTACCCAGAAAAAAAAGATAAGGTGGCTTAAAATGTGTTAAAATAGGCATAAATACCAGAATAACAAAAAGTTTTTTGTGAAATTTCTTTAAATAGAGTGTATCTGATATAAGGTTATCACTGAAATATTGCATTTTCAAAATTTTGACAGTTAATTGACAGAAACATATTCTAGAGAAAGCTCTTAGGACAACATTTAGGAAAATCAAATAAGGCAGTTGTCAATGGATAATGTTTATTGGACTTTATGGATTGTTCAATGTTTTAGGAATAAATATTTAATTTAACTTGAATATGATCCTTTTATGAAATGGTAGAACGGTTGGAATGACAGCTTTATTTCACTTTGAAAGTGTTTTTTTTTTTACCATTTGAAATGCTTCTGTATAAAACCAGCTAAACAGAATTAAAGGGACTCATTTGATTTCTTGAAATGACTGGAGTAAGAACAGCATAAAATATTGATTTTCAAAGTTTGTGTATATTTCTTTTATTTTTTTGTTAATATTTTTCTCTTTTGAGTGATCTATGTAAAATTGTCAAAATAACATTTGTAAACTAGTGATTACTAGTTCAAAACCGTTAGATTCTTGGGGCATGCAAAATTTCTCTTTGACAATTTTTACAAGTGTAAGCTATATTTATAGTTTATAATCATAGCTGGTACATATTATATTAGCTGGAATGTTATAGTTTTTAGCTCGACTATACGAAGTATATGGAGAGCTGTCCTACTCGCCCCGGCGTCGGCGTCCGCGTCCAGATTTTAGATTTAAGTTTTTTAGTGCAGTAAAATATTTTTCACTATAACTTTGTCATTTCTTAAGGTATCAACTTCAAACTTCAAATATATGTTCCTTATCATCAACCGCATCTTATGTGACAAGGTTCATAACTCTAGCACCAATATTTTCAGATTTATGTCCCCTTGAACTTAGAATTTTCCTTAAAAAATTCTATTTTTTACTGTTACTTCTTTATTTCTTAAGGGATCAACCTCATACTTCAAATATATGTACCTTATCATCATCCCCATCTTATGTGACAAGGTTCATAACTCTAGCACCAATATTTTCAGATTTATCTCCCCTTGAACTTAGAATTTTCCTCAAAAAATACTATTTCTTACTGTTTCTTCTTTATTTCTAAAGGATCAACCTCATACTTCAATATATTTACGTTATCATCACCCCCATCTTATGTGACAAGGTTCATAACTCTGGCACCAATATTTTTCCAGATTTATCTCCCTTTGAACTTAGAATTTTCCATAAAAAATATTATTTTTTACTGTTACTTATTTATTTCTAAAGGGATCAGCTTCATACTTCAAATATATTTACGTTATCATCATCCACATCTTATGTGACAAGGTTCATACTCTAGCACCAATATTGCAAGAATTATCTCCCCATAAACTTAGATTTTTTTACTAGAAAAATGTTATTTTTTATTATAACTTTTTTATTTTAAAAGTATCTACCTCAAACTTCAAATACTTATTCCTTATCATCAATTACATTTTATGTGACAATGTTCATAACTCTTGAAGCAATATTTACAAATTTATCTCTCTTTGAACTTAGGATTTTCTTTAAGAAATATAATAATTTCTTTACTTTTTAAGGTATCTACTTCAAACTTCAAATATATATTTGTTATCATTACACAAATGTTTTGTGGCAAGGTCCATAACCCTAGCATGACTATTTCTAGAATTATTCCCCTTGATCTTGGAATTTATGTTAACAAATGTTATTTTTTTACTATAACTTAATACATAATTATACATAATTGATTTTTCTTTCATAGTTTTGTCCTCCTTACTGTGTCCATCATTTTATTAGTCGAGCTTCGCTGTCTCCTGTGACAGCTCTTGTTAGCTCACCTGTCACAAAGTGACAGGGTGAGCTTTTGTGATCGCTTTTCGTCCAGCGTCCGTCTGTCCGGCGTCCGTCCGTATAACTTTTACTTTAAATGACATCTCCTCATAAACCACTAAGCCAATTTCATCCAAACTTCACAGGAATGTTCCTTTGGTGGTCACCTTTAAAAATTGTTCAAAGAATTTAATTCCATGCAGAACTCTGGTTGCCATGGCAACCGAAAGAAAAAACTTTAAATATCTTCTTTTAAAAAACCCAAAGAGCTAGAGCTTAGATATTTGGCATGAAACATCTTCTAGTAAGTGTCTATCAAGTTTGTTCAAATAAAAGCCCTGGGGTCAAAATTGGCCCCGCCCCAGGGGGTCATTGATTTTCCCTATATACATATAGTAAAAACTTAAAAATTCTTCTTTTAAAGAACCAATGGAGCTAGAGCTAAGATATTTAGCATGAAACATCATCTAGTAAGTGTCTACCAAGTTTGTTCAACTAAAAGCCCTGGGGTCAAAATTGGCCCCGCCCAAAGGGGGTCATTGATTTTCCCTATATACATATAGTAAAAACTTAAAAATTCTTCTTTTAAAGAACCAATGGAGCTAGAGCTAAGATATTTAGCATGAAACATCATCTAGTAAGTGTCTACCAAGTTTGTTCAAATAAAAGCACTGGGGTCAAAATTGTCCCCACCCCAGGGGGTCATTGATTTTCCCTATATGCATATAGTAAAAACTTAAAAAATCTTCTTTTAAAGAACCCAAAGAGCTAGAGCTAAGATATTTAGCATGAAACATGTTCTATTGGGTGTCTACAAAGTTTGTTCAAATAAAAGCCCTGGGGTCAAAATTGGCCCCGCCCCTGGGGTCATTGATTTTCCCTATATGCATATAGTAAAAACTTAAAAAATCTTCTTTTAAAGAACCCATAGAGCTAGAGCTAAGATATTTAGCATGAAACATCTTCTAATAAGTGTCTACCAAGTTTGTTCAAACAAAAGCCCTGGGGTCAAAATTGGCCCCGCCCCAGGGGGTCATTGATTTTCCCTATATGCATATAGTAAAAATTTAAAAAATCTTCTTTTAAAGAACCCAAATAGCTAGAGTTTAGATATTAAGCATGAAACATGTGCTAATGGGTGTCTACAAAGTTTGTTCAAGTAAAAGCCCTGGGGTCAAAATTGGCCCGGCCCCGGGGGTCATTGATTTTCCTTATATGTGTATAGCAAAAACTTAAAAAATCTTCTTTGAAAAAAACCCAAATAGCTAGAGTTTAGATATTAAGCATGAAACATCTTCTAGTGAGTGTCTACAAAGTTTGTTCAAATAAAAGCCCTGGGGTCAAAATTGGCCCCGCCCTGGGGGTCATTGATTTTCCTTATATGTGTATTGCAAAAACTTAAAAATCTTCTTTGAAAAAACCCAAATAGCTAGAGTTTAGATATTAAGCATGAAACATCTTCTAGTGAGTGTCTACAAAGTTTGTTCAAATAACAGCCCTGGGGCTTAAACTGACCCCGCCTCAGAGGTGTCATTGTTTTTAACTATATGTGTATAGTAAAAACTTAAAAAATCTTCTTTTAAAAAACCCAATGAGCTAGAGGTTAGATTGCAGGAAACATCTTTTTGTGGGTGTCTTCCAAGTTTGTTCAAATAAAACCCCTTGGGTTAAAATTGGCTCTGCCAAAGGGGTGGGGGAGGTCATTGTTTTTCATTATATGTGTGTAGTAAAAACTTAACATCATGAAACATCTTCTAATGAGTGTCTTCCAAGTTTGTTCAAATAAAAGCCCTGGGGTTTAAACTAGCCCCGCTTCCGGGGGCCTAAATACAGGTGAGCGACCTCAGGGCCATCATGGCCCTCTTGTTATATAACATTAGCTAGTATATAATAATAGCTGGTGTATTATAATAGCTGGTATGTAATCATAGCTGGTATGTAATCATAGCTGGTATATAATCATAGCTAGTATATAATAATAGCTGGTGTATTATAATAGCTGGTATGTAATCATAGTCTGTATATAATAATAGCTGGTATATAATCATAGCTGGTATGTAATCATACCTGGTATGTAATTATAGTCTGTATATAACAATAGCTGGTATATAATCATAGCTGGTATGTAATCATAGTCTGTATATAATAATAGCTGGTATAATCAATTATTAATCATAGCTGGTATATAATCATAGCAGGTATGTTATCATAGTCTGTATATAATAATAGCTGGTATATATTCATAGCTGGTATAAAATCATAGCCTTATATCATCACCTTAGTGCAGTAACTTGTTAACTCCTTATTTAATTATGCCCCCACTTAAAATAAGAGGGGGTATATTGCTTTGCATTTGTTGGTCCATTGGTCCATAGTGATAACTTAAGAACCCTTAGGCCTAGGAACTTCAAACTTGGTATGGTGATTGGTCATGACCAGTAGATGACCCCTTTTGATTTTGGGGTCAAGGGGTCAAAGGTCAAGGTCAAAATGACCTTGTAGGTAAAAATGGTTTCCGATCAATAATTAAAGAACACTTAGGCCTAGGAACTTCAAACTTGGTGAGGTGCTTGGTCATGACCAGTAGATGACCCCTATTGATTTTGGGGTCAAAGGTCAAGGTCACAATGACCTTGTAGGTAAAAACGGTTTCCGATCAATAACAAAAGAACCCTTAGGCCTAGGAACTTCAAACTTTGTATGGTGATTGGTTATGACCAGTAGATGACCCCTATTAATTTTGGGGTAAAGGGGTCAAAGGTCAAGGTCAAAATGACCTTGTAGGTAAAAACGATTTCCTATCAATAACTAAAAAACCCTTAGGCCTTGGAACTTCAAACTTGGTATGGTGATTGTTCATGACCAGCAGATGACCCCTATTGATTTTGGGGTCAAGGGGTCAAAGGTCAAGGTCACATTGACCATTGTAGGTAAAAACGGTTTCCGATCAATAACTAAAGAACGCTTAGGCCTAGGAACTTCAAACTTGGTATGGTGATTCGTCATGACCAGTAGATGACCCCTATTGATTTTGGGGTCAAGGGGTCAAAGGTCACATTGACCTTGTAGGTAAAAACAGTTTCCGATCAATAACTAAAGAACGCTTAGGCCTAGGAACTTCAAACTTGGTATGGTGATTGTTAATGACCAGTAGATTACCCTATTGATTTTTGGGTAAAGGGGTCAAAGGTCAAGGTCACATTGACCTTGTAGTTAAAAACGGTTTCCAATCAATAACTAAAGAAGGCTTATGCCTTGGAACATCAAACTTGGTATGGTGATTGGTCATAACCAGTAGATGGCCCCTATTGATTTTGGGGTCAAAGGTCAAGGTCACTTTGACCTTGTAGGTAAAAACGGTTTCCGATCAATAACTAAAGAACGCTTAGGCCTAGGAACTTCAAACTTGGTATGGTGATTGGTCATGACCAGTAGATGACCCCTATTGATTTTGGGGTCAAATGTCACGGTCACATTGACCTTGTAGGTAAAAACGGTTTCCGATCAATAACTTAAGAACGCTTAGGCCTAGGATTTTCAAACTTGGTATGATGATTGGTCATGACCAGCAGACGAACCCTATTGATTTTGGGGTAAAGGGGTCAAAGATCAAGGTCACATTTACTTGAAGTTAAAAATGGTTTCCACTCTATACCTAAAAGACGCTTAGGCCTAGGAACTTCAAACTTGGTATGGTGATTGGTCATGACCAGTAGATGACCCCTTTTTATTTTGGGGTCAAAGGTCAAGGTCACATTGACCTTCTTAGTAAAAATGGTTTCAGATAAATAATTAAAGAATGCTTAGGTCTAGGAACTTCAAACTTTATATGATGATTGGCCATGACCAGTAGATGACCCCTATTGATTTTGGGGTCAAAGGTCAAGATCACAACCTTGTAAGTAAAAACAGTTTCCGATCAATAACTAAAGAACACTTAGGCCTATGAACTTCAAACTTTATATGATGATTGGTCATGACCAGTAGATGACCCCTATTGTTTTTGGGGTCAAGGGGTCAGTCTCAAATTGACTTTGTACTTTAAGATGGTTTCTGACCAATAACTCAACAAGTCAAGTTGCCTTGGTTGATATTTTTACATTAAACTAAAAATGCTTTTGGTATACACATTTGAAGGTCTTATGTAATATAACAACTTGGCTGTCATTAATGAGTCCTACATGATTCATAAAAGTTAGGCATATTTTATTTGGTAAGATTTGTAATAACTTAAATTGCTGCACACAACCTATGGGGTCACAATATTTATTACCTTGTGACTAGTCATGACCAGTAGATAACCCTTATTAATTTTTTGTTCACTGGGTCAGAAGTCATGCATAATAACCTGATCACATGACTAATTGGCTGTCCATAGTGGGCATACATGTTTACAAACATATCTTGTTCAATAGGAATTAACCCATTACTGCACTTAGGTGACAATATAATAATAGCTGGTATATAATCTCAGCTGGTAAATAATCTCAGCTTTTATGTTATCATAGTCTGTATAATTATAATAATAGCTGGTATGCAATCATAGCCTGTATATAATAATAGCTGGTATATAATAATAGCTGGAACTTAATTATAGCTGTTATCATAGTCTGTATGTTTAAACAGCTGGTAAATAATCAAACAAATGTAGCTGGTATGTTATCATAGTTTGTATATGATCATAGTTTGTATATAATAATAGCTGGTATTTAATCATAGCTGGTATATAACCATAGTCTGTATATAATAATAGCTGAATAGTCTGTATATAATCATAACTTTAGTATATAATTATGGCTAGTATGAAATTATAGCTACATGTAGTACAAATGTATATATTCATAGCTAATATGCACAGGACAACTAACTTGGAAGATCAATTAGAAACTGTTTATAGGTTAGTTGTAGCATGTATATAAGAAAATCATTTCATAAGTAATGTGTTAAACTTTTCAACAATGTATTATATTGTTTTCTATCCAGGATGGAGTAGCACGCAGCCATCTGTACCTTCGTACTCAAGCAGGTTTCCTGGAGCATCTAATCATTCAAGTCACTTTGGCAATCAGCGGCACAATACCTCATCATTAAGTCGTCATGGCTCACACAACAGCTATTCAAACACATACCAGCCATCTAAATATGGGATAGCATCTGATTCAAGTTTCAACACAACTGTAGAATCTAATTTCAAAACCCTTCAACCTAACAAATCTGCTTTTAGACAAGAAAATGGCTATGGTGATAAAACATACGGATTTGTGAGTCGTGAGTTCAATCTTGAGCCATACCGTAGTATAGCACACCGAGGCACTGATTACTCCAGTGATTCTGGTAGAGGTCCAGCTGGAAGGGGGACAACAGATTATTCTAGTGACAGTGGTATGAACTTTAGACATTACTCTCAAAAGTCAAGTGATTTTGAACTTGAGATACCTAGTCCTGATACGTCGCGTAGTCATCACAGATCTCAAAATGATGAACTCTTTAACTCACCTACTAAAAGCCACTTGCGGGCATCAGAATATCTCAGGGATAATGACAATCATGCAATATTTGATGATAATGGGCAGCAACAAGATTTGAATGACTACCGTCATTTATCAAAAAGTGAGCCGAATCTTGACAAATACAATGGTCTTGGAAACAGAAACAACGTTCATAGTACAGATGAAGAGGACTTGAGTCCAAGGCAGGATGACAGTGTGACCGAAACTAATGTAAATCATCGAAGCCACGATAACAGGGAAGAAGATCTAAGAGAAAACTTTGTGTCACCAGAAATGTATCATGGCGATATAGCTGACACAACATTGGCTCACAGGGACACAAAATTACATTTAAAAAGAAATAAGGCCGCGGATCTGACACAGTGGCAGCAGAAACAGAGAGAATCGCTTCCAGGTGAACATGCAAGGCTTGCCTCAAAGTCTTTCTTCAGTAATGAGGTAAATAAATACATGATTTTCTTGTAGGGTGATGATATGTTAAGATCTGTCATAAATTTACTTACACTGAGAAAAGGTTCAGTTAAAATATTTTATCCGTCTTTTCTTTTGTATTAGAAAATTAAACCAAAGAATGTACTTGTTGTATTGTTTCTTTTCTGCCTTTAATTTAATATATTTTACTATTATTGTTTTACTTTAACACATAAGTAATGATGTCATGATTTGGCTTTATTGTCAAATACATGGATAAGCCATGAATATGCTGTTTGAATTTTTCCTTTTCATTTGTTTATTTTTGTATTTACTTTTACTATATGCCAATTTCAATTATATTGAAATTTCTAGCTTAGAACTTAATTTTTTTTTCAATGATTAAGCATATTTTTGAAAGATTATTTCATAACTCAAGAATACATTTTATCTGACCTCACTTGACCTTTGTTTTTGTATTTAAAGAAACCATTAAGAGATTATTCCCATGGTATCCATGACAACCATTATTCATATGAGAGCAGTATTGTACGATCCCATGATCCCAGTGACATCACCACATCAAGACATAATGATATCACCAGCATCAAATCACAAGACCATCATCCAACAAATGAACAGTTTAATCATATACGTAGTGCCGCTGATGCCATTATTCGAGATAAAGATGCAATAATTGATGAGTAAGTTATTTGGTTGCCATGTCAACAAATAGCGTTATTCTCAAGAATAAGAAGGCACAGAATTAAGAAAGTTTGCATGTGCTGTTAATTAATTAGATTTATAGATTTATAATGGTACTGTTCATTTATTATCCCTGAGTGAAATAGGGTTACTTCACATACCGTACATGTTGGCTTTAAAGAAAATCTGTTTTTTGAAACTGTAAGGATTTTTAGCTATTCTGTAAAGTGTGTGTTAGGAATAGTTTCCATATGGTCAAATTTGTGCATGCAATGCATGCTGTGTAGCAGAATATATACATGTGCTATAAAAGTTGATAGTTGTATTACAGGTTGAAAGATCGTGTTGTAGGCCAAGATGAGATGATTAAAGAATTAGAAAATAAGTTGCGTCGAAGTTTAATATCAAGGGGAGGTAACACTGAAGAATCAGCAACATACTCAAAAATGCAGGTATGATGGAATTCATAATATAGCAAAATTTGCCCATTTTCTGAAGAGCATAGTTTATTTTTAGCTCGACTATTCGATAAGAATAAGTAGAGCTATCCTAGTCACTCTAGTGTCGACATCGGTGTCAGCGTCAGCATAACCACTTATGTTAAAGTTTTTGTAATACCTCAAATATTTTCAATGTCCATTGACATATGGCTTTGAAACTTTGCACACTTGTTCATCATCATGACCCCAACCTGTAGACAGGATGAGGTAACTTTATCAAGTTGACAGATTTATGCCCCTTTTTTGACTTTACGTTAAAGTTTGCATACCACCTCAGATATTTTCATATGTCATTGACATCTTGCTTTGAAACAAGTTGAAATTTTATACACTTCATTGTGAGCATAATAGGACTCTCTCCAAAGCCTTAAACATGTATTTAAAAAAAAAATGGCCCTTTTGTGAACTTAGAAAATTTTACATTATCAAGGCTCTTTAACTATAAAGCACTTAGAATAGTCGAGTGTACTGTCCTACCGACAGCTCTTGTTTCACAAGTTTTGCCTCTTATATATAAATTGAGTAAAAATAAATTTTTCAATATTTTGCCATAAAAAACTCGCAAAAGGGCAATAAAACCCACAAATTCATTTTCAAGCAACTATGCCTCTAAAAGTCTAGTTTTGAAAGTGGTAATTTCAGTGTTGTTATTTAAATAAGGTTTACAGTCTGTTTCTTGAGAAATCTTTATAGATATACATCTCAAACATAGGACTTACAAAGGTGAGAACAGTTTTCCTAGACAAACTTTTTCTCAATATTTTTAGGATTTAGAGTACAGAAATGCAGAATTACGATCTGAACTTGCTAAACTGAAGTTGCAGAAAGATGCAGAAATAGAAGACATGGAAATAAAAATGGGGTAGGTTATAGGTTAAACTGTCTCAGATAAGTTTTATCATTTAAGACTACCTTGATGAAATTTATAAAAAAGCACACAAAAAAATACTGTTTTGTAAGACAGTTTTTAGCTCACCTAACACAAAGTGACATGGTGAGCTTTTGTGATCACTTTTCGTCCGTCGTCAGTCCGTCATCCGTACGTAAACTTTTACCTTAAACGTCATCTTCTAATAAACCGCTACCCCAATTTTATCCAAACTTCACAGGAATGTTCCTTTGGTAGTCAACTTTAAAAATTGTTCAAAGAATTTAATTCCATGCAGAACTCTGGTTGCCATGGCAACCGAAAGAAAAAATTTTAAAAATCTTTTTTTTTAAGAAATGGAACGAGCTAGAGCTAAAATATTTGCCAGGAAACATTGTCTAGTCAGTGTCTACCAAGTTTGTTCAAATAAAAGCCCTGGGGATCAAAATTGGCCCTGCCATAGGAGGTCATTGATTTTCCTTATTGTATATAGTAAAAACTTTAAAAAAAATCTTCTTTTAAAAAACCCAAATAGCAAGACCTTATGCCCCGTTCACATATTCATGGATAATGCCATGGAAGAGCTACGGTTTAATTGTTCATGGATAACTACGGAAATGTGAAATCCGTAGTCTGCTACGGTTCCAGTACGGACACACAACGGTATGAGTACGGAGTTCGACGGATATACCACCAAAAGCCCTGGAAGAGACACAGATTGTTATGGACCATCACGGTTTGACACAAATCAGGACAGACGCACTACGGATACACTACGGTCTGCTATGGTTAGTACCAATTAGTACGGTCTGATACAGAGAAGAAAGAATTGATACGGAGAAGAACGAATTGCCACGGATCTATACGGACCTATTATATCCTTCCACAACCTCTTGCATGCTTATTTTCAAAATGCCTCAAAAGAGAAGAACACCTAGAAAACGAATTGCAGAGTTCATTGATTTTGGGGGAGAGGATTCTGCCTCATTGCGTCTAACCCCCAAGATATATCAGGTCCGATTAAAGTGAATTTCATGAAGGACGCAGGATCGTCAACAAGTTTGGCAATACGAGCCTCATACTAAACATGAAGTGGTCTTCGTAAAAGCCCATCTCTAGTCCACCATCTCCTCTGTCTTCTCTTACCTGATTAGATATGTACTAGTAATCATTAATGAAAAATGTTGATCAATACTGCTTCTCTTTTGATTTTAAAATTTGCTGTTCATTTTACAATTACATTAATTATCATGAATGTTTATGTTTTTAAAATATGTAAAAAGCTTGTTAATTTATCTTATTATCACGCAAGGGCCAGCGTCCGAGGCTTATGAGACACTTTGTTTTATGTACATATTTACTCCAATTTTAAGATCCAATGTTTGTTAATATGTAACTTTAAAGGTTATTCTATTACTTATGAGTTGAAGAACGATATTAATATATTTTTACCTCTATGCATGTCATCAAGCAGCTTGACAACTGCCTCCGCATTCAGAGCCATTTCAATATAAAGTTGCAGCCAGTAAATGGCAATTTTTCATTTATTGAATGTTCACACAAATACATCTGTTTTTAACAAGAAGGTAGTATTTATACCCTTGATAAAGTACATGATACTAAATTTATCCGTACTAAACAGTGATGGACCGTACCATTCCGTACCGTTTCATGTTGCAAAGCAATAAACCATATAAGACCGTGCTAGTCCCTGCTTCACCGTAGAACAACGTATTACGATCATGGCTTTCCTTGACAATGCCATATTAATCTGTATTAAAACCGTAGCTTATACGTAGGGTAACCGTACAAATACATAGTTCTCAGTACCAAACCATGGAAATCCTTGACAGAGGCCTACGAATCAGTACGGACTAGTACGGTTTTCATACAGACCATTAAGGTTTAGTACGGACTAGTGAGGATATGCTACAGTTGCTTTTTCCGTAGCAAATTTTTGTACATGTTCAAACTTGTCAAGGATCGCTACGGATATACAAAGACTACTACAATTGATTATGGTTACAATACGGAGAGCTACTGACCAGTACGGGTAGCTATGGATGATGCCGGAATTAATCCGTGGGAGTATTCCGTGAATATGTGACCGGGGTATAAGATATTAAGCATGTAACATCTTCTTTGTATATAGTTAAATTTTGAAAAAGTCTTCTTTTAAAAAACTCTAAGAGCTAGAGCTAAGATATTTAGCATGAAACATCTTCTGATGGGTGTCTACCAAGTTTGTTTCAATAAGGGTCCTGGAATTAAAATTGGCCCCGCCCTGGGGTCATTGATTTTCCTTATATGTGTGTAGTAAAAACTAAAAAAATCATCTTAAAAAAACCCAAAGAGCTAGAGATACTAAGCATGAAATATCTTCTAGTGAGTGTCTACTAAGTTTGTTGAAATAAAAGCCATGGGGTCAAAATTGGCCCCGCCCGAGGTTCATTGTTTTTCCCTACATGTGTATAGTAAAAACTCAAAATCCATGATGGCCCTATTGTTTATGTTTTCTTGTCTTTTGGATACTGAAATACTTCAAGAAAAAAAAAGAAATACGCTGTCTGTTTTTATCACATTTTTATTTAGTTGAAAGACAAAAACAGTCAGTTAAACAAAGCAGTGTTCTATAAATAAAAATTATTTTGCAATAATAACCTACATGTTTAATAATATCTTAATTTGATATACACTTGTATATGTATATTATCTTAATTCGTTCAAATTGCCAACTAGTATATGATCTAAATTTGTTAAAATGGCCCACTGGTTTTTGATCAGTATCTGTTAAAATTGCCAACTGGTATATGTTTAATATTTGTTAAAATTGCCAACTGGTTTTTGATCAATATCTGTTTAAATTGCCAACTGGTATATGTTTAATATTTGTTAAAATTGCCAACTGGTTTTTTTATCAATATCTGTTTAAATTGCCAACTGGTATATGTTTAATATTTGTTAAATTACCAACTGGTTTTTTATCAATATCTGTTTAAATTGCCAACTGGTATATGATTAATATTTGTTTAAATTGCCAACTGGTATATGTTTTATATTTGTTAAAATTGCCAACTGGTATATGATCTAAATTTGTTAAAATTGCCCACTGGTATATGAAAAATATTTGTTAAAATTGCCAACTGGTATATAATCAGTATTTATATGATTAATATTTGTTAAAATTGCCAACTGGTACATGAAAAATATTTGTTAAAATTGCCAACTGGTATATAATCAGTATTTGTTAAAATTGCCAACTGGTATATGTTTTATATTTGTTAAAATTGCCAACTGGTATATGATCAATATCTGTTAAAATTGCCAACTGGTACATGAAAAATATTTGTTGAAATTGCCAACTGGTTTTTATCAATATCTGTTTAAATTGCCAACTGGTATATGATCAATATTTGTTAAAATTATCAACTGGTATATGTTTAATATTTGTTAAAATTATCAACTGGTATATGATCAATATTTGATAAAATTATCAACTGGTATATGATCAATATTTGTTAAAATTATCAACTGGTATATGATCAATATTTGTTAAAATTATCAACTGGTATATGATCAATATTTGTTTTAATTGCCAACTGGTATATGATAAATATTTGATTAATTGCCAACTGGTATAATTATGGTCTATTTTATGATGTATATTACAAACAAAGCAAAAAAGAAAGAATACTTTTAGTCTTTGAAACTCATATACTCCTGACAGTGTCAAGAAAGGTACTGATTTTTTCATTAAGCATAAATTCATAAATTTGTTAGATATTCATTTAGTCATAGGTTTATAGATTTAATACATGTATTCATTAAGTGATCTCTTTATGAAGTTGTTTGATATTACAGAGGTGTAGAGCAAGAAGTGGTACAATTAAAAGCAGCTTTGAGAAAATCCCAACCTAATCTTGCTGACATTAAACAAAAGGTAAATGAAAATGACATTTAACAATTTTTATGTGCACAACAACTCCTACATTTCTCAAAGAATTTCAATCAAACTTTCACCAAGTGTTCGAGTACAATCATAATATTGGGATTTAATAATTTGATCATTTTCGGCAGTTATGTCGCTTTGCCGTTTACAATTTTCGATGGACTCCAACCAGGTATTATTAGTGGTAAATTTGAATTTGTGACAATTCCATTTGTTTTTTAGCTCACCTGTCACAAAGTGACAGGGTGAGCTTTTGTGATCGCTCTTCGTCCGGCGTCCGTTCGGCGTCCGTCTGCGTCCGTCATCCGTAAACTTTTACTTTAAATGACATCTCCTCATAAACCACTAAGCCAATTTCATCCAAACTTCACAGGAATGTTCCTTTGGTGGTCACCTTTGAAAATTGTTCAAAGAATTTAATTCCATGCAGAACTCTGGTTGCCATGGCAACCAAAAGAAAAGACTTTAAATATCTTCTTCTAAAAACCCTAAGAGCTAGAGCTTAGATATTTGGCATGAAACATCTTCTAGTGAGTGTCTACCAAGTTTGTTCAAATAAAAGCCCTGGGGTCAAAATTGGCTCTGCCCCAGGGGGTCATTGATTTTCCCTATATGCATTTAGTAAAAACTTAAAAATCTTCTTTTAAGAACCCAAAGAGCTAGAGCTAAGATATTAAGCATGAAACATCTTCTAATGGGTGTCTACTAAGTTTGTTCAAATAAAAGTCCTTGGGTCAAAATTGGCCCCGCCCCAGGGGGTCATTGATTTTCCCTATATGCATATAGTAAAAACTTTAAAATCCCAAAGAGCTAGAGCTAAGATATTTAGCATGAAACATGTTCTAATGGATGTCTACCAAGTTTGTTCAAATAAGAGCCCTGAGGTCAAAATTGGCCCTGCCCCGGGGGTCATTGATTTTCCTTGTATGTGTATAGCAAAAACTTAAAAAATCTTCTTTGAAAAAAACAAAACAAATAGCTTAGAGTTTAGATACTAAGCATGAAACATCTTCTAGTGAGTGTCTACAAAGTTTGTTCAAATAAAAGCCCTGGGGTCAAAATTGGCCCTGCCACGGGGTCATTGATTTTCCTTATATGTGTATAGCAAAAACTTAAAAAATCTTCTTTGAAAAAACTCAAATAGCTTAGAGTTTAGATATTAAGCATGAAGCATGTGTCTGTGAGTGTCTACAAAGTTTGTTCAAATAAAAGGCCTGGGATCAAAATTGGCTCCGCCCCAAGGGACATTGATTTTCCTTATATGTGTATAGCAAAAACTTAAAAATCTTCTTTGTAAAAACCTTAATAGCTAGAGTTAAGATATTAGGCATGAAACATTTTCTAGTAAGTGTCTACAAAGATTGTTCAAATAAAAGCCTTTGTGTCAAAACTGGCCCTGCCCCAGGTGTGTCATTGTTTTTTAACTATATGTGTAAAGAAAAAACTTAGAAAAATCTTCTTTTAAAAAACCTAACAAGCTAGACCTTAGATGTTTAGCATGAAACATCTTCTAATGGGTGTCTACCAAGTTTGTTCAAATAAAAGCCCTGGGGTTTAAACTGGCCCTGCTCCAGGGGCCTATATACAGGTGAGCGACTTCAGGGCCATCATGGCCCTCTTGTTCAATCTTTTGATACTGTTTCACTAAACACATTTATGGTTTTGGGGAAGTCTAGTACATAATTTCAGCAGAAAATGGTTAAGCAATCTTGGCATTGAGTGTTTCTTTAGTAATCTATAACCCTTCCCCAACTAAATTTCTTAAATGTCCTGTACACATGGGTCTGCACTGGTTGCATGGTTAAATTTGTTGCCACAAGTACGCTTAGGATTAAAGCAGAAATATGAGGTCAGCTCTTGTTTTATGAATACCATAAACTAGTTAATAATATTTTCAGCTGTTTGATAAAGATGAAGAGATCGGAGAATGGAAAAGGAAGAATTTACAATTAACAAACAACTATAAAAGTTTAAAGGAAAAACTTGGAGGGATGGAGAGATATCTAGCAGATCTTCCAACTCTTGAAGAATTCACTAAAAATGCTGAAGATATATCCTTTTGATAAACAAATAATTTTAAAGAATTGCAGAACTTTAGATAACTGCTGTATATTTTGAAATTATTATTGGCAACTGAATTGTTTGAGTTTCTAGACAACACTTTTTTTAATGTACAAAAATTTGGTTGATTATTGTTTATTTTAGCTTGAATGTGGTCTTGTGACCTTTTTGGAGTCATCCCAATATAATTATTATAATAAACATAATGATACTGAAACAATTTCTTCCAACTTACATTTATTAGTTTAATTTCAAGTCTGCTTATTAGAAATAACCACTCCTGATGAGGAAATATTGTAGGACTTAAACCCACTGCCCTAGTGGCGAACTTCTTAACCTCTTAACTTCTGTTCTTCTAAAATCATTGAGGCGATTACTTACAAATTTGTGTTATTTGATGATTTATAATACAAAATGCTTGTAACATTGATTTTCATTGGATACTTGTGTTGTTTATATAATCTATATATAGCTCCTGTCAATTTATGAAGTAATTTTCTTGTTTCTGCTGTTTTACAGATTCTTTATAAAAGTGTCTGACATGTTATATGGTGATATATAGTAAGTTGATTGCTATATCACCCTCTCCTATATCACCCTCTCCTACATCACCCTCTCCTATATCACCCTCTCCTACATCACCCTCTCCTATATCACCCTCTCCCCTCTCCTATATCACCCTCTCCTATATCACCCTCTCCTACATCACCCTCTCCTATATCACCCTCCTATATCACCCTCTCCTATATCACCCTCTCCTATATCACCCTCTCCTACATCACCCTCTCCTATATCACCCTCTCCTATATCACCCTCTCCCCTCTCCTATATCACCCTCTCCTCTCTCCTATATCACTCTCTCCTATATCACCCTCTCCCCTCTCCTGTATCACCCTCTCCTATATCACCCTCTCCTATATCACCCTCTCCTAGAGGGTTTGGGTAACAAGATTACAGCCATTAATACAGAGCCATATAATCTGTCAGACATCTTTATAATTGATAATAAAAAAGGCATTAACAATTATAATGTAAGAGTTGTAAAGTTTATGGTTATACTTCCTTAATTATGTTCACCTTGCCTCATGTAATGAAGATAATGAATTGAAGGGATCACAGATAGCAGATCTAGAGGAGAAATTGAGGGATACAACACAACAACTATCTGAGAGAGATTCTACCATACTTGAGTTAGAAGGTAACGTTAATATATTTACAGTTTTGTATTACACTTCACCTCTTCATACTGTGTTATGCAAAAATGTCCTGTAACTTTTGGTGAAGTTAGAGATCACTGGGTCTCAAGTCACTGGTTAAGAAAAGATTTTTGCACTTTGGCTGTCAAGCCGTTATTAACTAATATGCATTGACAATTGTGCCAGGTTCAGAGAGCATCCATTGCCTCGAGAAATATTTTAACATGTATTAATAAAATTGTCTGTGAATGCACAGGGAAGCAACAATTTCTAGTGTACAAAATGAAGAAGTTATTGTTATAATATTCTTTTTTCAAATGCAATGGGAAATAATAATATCTAGCCTACAAGATGAAAAATGATTGTCCTTGATACATATTCTGTTTTTGTTTTTTTCTTCAAATGTACAGGAAAGCAAGAACAGTTAGCAAACAAGATGAAGGAGTTGACTATAGAGATTAGGAGAATTAAATCACAGGGAGAAGGTAAAGCTCTAGCTGACACTCAGGAACAGCTCGCAGAGACAAGAGAAATAAAAGATAAAGCTCAACATGATCTAGATAAAGCCAAAAAGGTAGGCCTTTACAATTTTTGTTTAAAAAGTATGAACACTATAGATTTTAATTTAGAATTTAGAAATGGTGATACATAGTAAAATGTTATGGTTTTGGTAAAATTGCACCGAGTGTTTAGACTTCATGTATTTGCTAGAATTTAATGACTTTGCACAGTTACATACTAATGTATAATGGTAATTTTTGTGCCCCCACTATAGGGGTGCATTTAGATTTACCCTTGTCCGTCCATCCATCTGGTCGTCCGTCCGTCTGTTCCCTTTTTGTGTCACACGTAACTCAAAAAGTAATTGACCTAGAGTCATGAAACTTTACAGGAATGAGGATCAGCAGGTGGAGTTGTGCACCTGGGTATTTTCATGTGGATATATTTAGTATTTTTAGAGTTATTGCCCTTGACTTAGTAAAATTTTACAATTTTCAACTTGTGTCGCACGTAACTCAAAAAATGTTTGACCTAGAGTCATAAAACCTTACAAGAGTGTTGCTCAGCATGTGTAGTTGTGCACCTGGGTATTTTCTTGTGGATATTTTTAGCATTTTTAGAGTTATTGCCCTTGACTTAGTAAAAATTTGCAATTTTCAACTTGTGTCGCATGTAACTCAAAAAATGTTTGACCTAGAGTCATGAAACCTTACATAAATGTTGATCAGCATGTATAGTTGTGCACCTGGGTATTTTCGTGTGGATATTTTTAGAATATTTAGAGTTATTGCCCTTGACTTAGTAAAAATTTCCAATTATCAACTTGTGTCGAACGTAACTCAAAAAATATCTGACCTAGAGTCATGAAACCTTACAGGAATGTTGCTCAGTGCTCAGCATGTGTAGTTGTGCACCTGGGTATTTTCGTGTGAATATTTTTAGTATTTTTAGAGTTATTGCCCTTGACTTAGTAAAAATTTACAATATTTAACTTGTGTTGCACATAACTCAAAAAGTTTATGACCTGTAGGCCTGAAAGTTTACAAGAATGTTGGTCAGTTCTCTTGTTGATTTATTCAGTATTTGTAGTATTGCCCTTTACTTAATACAAGATTTTTACAAAAGAAATATTTAACCTAGAGACATAAGATTGACAAATAGGTGGAGTGTGTGGGCACCTGTGTCTTATGGATCCATTTCTAGTTATAAGTCTTAAATTGTTAAAAATTAAAATATATTCAGATAAAAATACAATGATCTTATCACAAAATCAATCCAATTTTCACTTTGAAGTAATAATTACTCAACAGATATTGAGTATGGTCAGTTTTATGAGTATCAAATTTTAGTAACTTATGTTTTTATAATTTTTGTTTTTCATTTGCATGCATAAGATAAATGTTACATCATGCCTGTACTGCTTTTTACTGTGGTTATATTTGAGAGATTATTGTACTTTGTATTGCATGTAACTAGGAAATTGAAGTAAGTGTAGCTTATACCATAAACATTCACAGTATCTACTACATATACTGTTAAAGCAGATATTTTTGTTACTAAAGTTTATAACTGACAAAATTATAACTATGCTTATAAAGTAAGGAAATATGAAGTTTAGGAATTTAGACTTTGAAGACTGGAGGTTTTTGTCACTTTTCACTACATATTTGATATGGTTAAATGAATCCATATTTAAGTGCAAAATGCTCATCTTGTGGGTTTGTATTTTACATTAGCTGTACTAACCGGGTCTGTCTGTTTAGATCAATAGGGAGAATGTTAGAGTTGTAATACAGAGGTCACTGGTTTGATGTTCCGGCAAGGCAAAATTTTTTCAAATGGTCATTTTACGCTCACCACTGATTTAGATATCATGTGGGTTTAGTAGATTATGTAATTTAACGCATGTGATTATTCTTCAACAGCCTGTTTTAGATGACATTCCCCCACTGCTGTATCAGACATGTTTCTTTCTTTTGACAAAAAAGTGCTAAATGAAAAATAGTAGTTTTTGTAACTTTTATTTGAAATATAATTGACCTGTAATATGTAAGAAAAAGAATTAAACACAGGCTTTTGTTACAGACAGATATAATTTAGTGGAAAATGGCAGTCTTGTTACCATTGCAAACAGTTACCCTCAAGCTGGATTTTCCAGTCTGTACCGGCAGCCATTGTAAGATTCTTATAATACAGCACAGGTGTAAATACTAGATAATCCAGTCTGATATTCAAAACACAATGAACAATATCTTTTTTATTACTAGGACAAGGTAGAATCATTGTAATTACAAAATGGGGAATTGTAAATAAATATTCTGATGAAACATTCCTGACAAGAATATCTGCTTTAAGAGTATGACCAATATTTATAGCAATATTAGTATTAATACTATTATATAGCTAATACTAAATAGGGTATACATGGAATAAAACCTCAACCCATTTGCATGATCCAAGAATATATAGAAATTAAGGTAAAGGAATAGTATAAATTTTTAGAAACTGATTTTTCCATTAAAAAGTCTCTATTCTTTGTGATAAAATGTCAATGTTAAACTGCTCTCATATTAAATGTCCATGTGAAACTTATTAAAAAAATTCTTGAAATTTTGGGTATTGTCAATTAAAATAGAAAGAAAAAGAAAATTAAAACTTGGATTTTATTTGAACTGGGATGACCTATCAAAGGACATAGTATCATTCATGTATTTGATAACTTGCTTTATTTATATACGGTGTAAATTTCATCAGTTTTAACTCATATGTTTTGAAGAAAAAGTCAAGTTATTTTGATTGCTGCATGGTCTTCGCTCAAAATCTTTAATGTAGCCAATTATTTAAATAGGTATCAGCACCAAACTGGAATACTTGCTTAACATGACAAGGTGTAGTTGTAGGACAAAGGACATTATTCTAAAAACTATATTTTAGAAGTTATGCCCCTTAGTTTTGTTTTTTTTTGTCAAAATTGTTTATTGATAGTCTGCCCTTAACAGACAAGCTTTAATGCCACAACTTGTGCCAATTTATTGCTTTTGTTTATATAGGAAATCTTATATAAGTTATTATGCTTTAACAAATATACAATATATATGTATATATACTAACATATAAATATATACCAAGCAGGTAGAGCCTGAGATGACATATAACCTGATTATATAGACCATATCTTTACAATAAGGATGAACTTTATTTCAAGTTTTCTTTTATTTAGAGGTGTTTTTAAATTTTGAAAGAATGTTTTGGTATCCAAAAATGATAAATTATATGGCCTTTTCATTCTGATGTGGTCTTTAAATGCAGGTTTGACTCTGTCATGTATGCTTAAAAGCTACACGCTTCTGATGAGTAAAGAAATATACAAATATCAAATTTATATATAATATACTACTGTATTATTAGTATACTGGTATAAAAACCCTAAAGGTATAAATAATTTCTAGACATAATGTGACACTTTGCTTGCTGTGTATGGAGTATGACTATATTTACTGTTTTATTATCATATTCCTACTAACTTAGCTCAGTAGGAAGAGCATCAAGTTTGAAATCAACGGGTTGATAGGTACATCCTCGGCCATTGCAAAATTTCACCATTTCTACAGTCTCTCGCGACTGATTCACAAGTCATGCGGGATTAGTCAGTTCTTTGCAGAGAAATTGGCAATTATTTGTTAGTTTTCTTGGAAAGATGTTATGTGGACCGACTAAAACTGTGTTAAATCAAGGCAAACAAACTAATTTAAGATATTAATTCCATGTAAAAAGGATTCATAAGAATGATTATTGTATACAAAATATATACATACTGATACATTTAATTATATTTTTATTAAGTCATTTACATGTATTAATAATGATTCTGACAAAGGTGTATTGGGGTCTAATAAACACTTAACTAATAAATCTGAGAAACTATACTCTTGCTTATTCTCCATTAAAACATATTAATATTTAACTACAGTCTGATTCTGTCATAAAGGAGTTTTCATGGTTGTGAAAGTGATAGACTTTGAATTTCTGGCCCTTCATGTTCTTTTGCTTTGAATCATCCCTGACACTCAAGTTTCCAACTAAGTTACAGAAGGTAGATGGTGATAGAAATAATACACTGACAGGCACCTGAGTTAACCCACCATCAGTAATACATGAGTCCTCATGACATGTTTTATGTGTAAAATAAATATGTTAAGAAATGTTAAAATTATCATCACAAATTTACCGGGGAAAAGTGTCTACATGTTCTGTCTGTTCACCTTGGCCTCTTACATATAAATAGATTTAATTATTATGAAATCAATTTATCTGTCTAATTTTTCTTGTCTGAGAAATACAATAAGCATAAGAACCAATCAAATGTAGGAATAATGCCGAATGATATATAATATTGTTTTACGGAGCTTATTTTAGTTACTTGATAGTAGCTGTTAATGTTAATGTTTGAAATTTGGTTGTCTGCTGAAGTGAAAAGTTAATGGAAGTTTCTGGAAACTTAAGTGAAATTTTGCCATAATATGTCTGGTTTGTGATGCTGTAAGGTTATATCTTGTAGCTAGCAACATAAATGATGGCCAGAGATAGAATAAAAGGTCATTAAGACTTAGTAAAAACATTATTTATTTTAGCCGTGTCTATAGCACTTGGAGAGAGCTTGTGGCTAACAGAACCATCTTTAAACTAATAATAGCTAGAACTGGTGTAATTTAAAAAAAATTGAGGATACAAGGATCTGTTGGTTTCAGTGGGTTTAGAACCACAAGGCTACCACTTCCCTTGCATTTAAGCTAGACTTATTGATAAGACTTAGTGTGATACAAAAAATATTTTAGTTTGATTGTGTATGAAGCTATAAACACAGTGTGAGCAGTGAGTGTAGGAACCAACGGTTTGCCACTGACTGGGTTTCAATCCTACAAGGCTAGCAATCTTTATAATACTGTCTGATGCTTCATAAAAAATCAGCTGATGATGAAAAATTGTTATTGACTAACGCAAAGCAGATAGCAAAAAACGAAGACAAATTTCTTTGAGGTTACATGTACATGTTTAACCTAATTATCATTCAAACATACATGAATTTTCTATGATGTTGTGCTGTCATAAGTGTTACTAAGTGCTTTTATATACTCTAGGAGTTATATACCTTTTGAAATTTACAATATAATAATTTACATATACTTTCATTAAACGTTCTCAATTAATAATATGATATGGTATTAAAACAAATCCACTTATATTTATAATATTCTTTCTTGTTTTCATTAATTCAGGTTTCAGTATAAATTCATTTTGTAATAAAACATAAGCTGATATAATAACATTTATTTGTCTAGAAATTAATTAAAGAAATTTTTTTAAATATTTTTCAACTAAAAATGTTCAATTTCACAACATTGATATACAAATGTCAAATGGATGATTTAAATCTTATTAAGATTATTTAAATTGGTGTGAAAGCCTTGACTCACAAAACTGTTAGATAGGAAGTCTTTTGAAGGCAAGGTATCTTGTTGGTCGAATGATTAGGCTTGTTGACAAAGAAACTGCTATGGAATAGGTACAAATGTTGACTTTGATTTGAGAAAGCTATCCCCTTGTCTTATAGAAGGTCCCTAGTTTTATAAGGTGCTATCCAATGATACATAGAGGTGCACTGAAGACTTTTGTATATTATTTTACAGAGCAAAGTGGTTTGATTTCTTGTTTGAGAAACCAATAAATATAATTAATGTAAGAAGTTCATTCCAGCCTAACCCAGACATCCCATTTGCTTATTTATCAAAATTAATCCATAACTCAAATAACTACAAGTACAAAAGATAATATCCTTTGGCTAAATTAGTTTATTCAGAAGAAATTCTTCAATGAGATTTATGTGTTGTTTTATAATAACATCACGGAATTTCTTCATTTATTCCTCATATAGCAGAAAAAAATGATACCGTAATTCACTTATTATTCTGATCTTTTTGCCTGGAATTTTTAGGAACTGAAAAAATTATGGTTATTTTTAGTTCAATTTTGTACAGTTATTTTGAAATATATGGAGAGCTGACATATCCATCCAAGCATCACACACTTGACTTCTAAGATTAATCTTAGAATGTCATTTCAAATCTGTTATATAACATTCTTCTTATTATCTCCACTACGCAAAACAACATTGTGACTTGTATTTAAAATAAAATAACGGTATTATACCATTGGAGAGGTGATACCATGATTATAGCGTAAACTTCACTGTTGTTAACAGTACATGATTGTATGGTAGCTACTTCTTATACCTAAAGTGATTGATTTTGATTCATTGTTAACTTACTGAATTAAATTGGTTTTCTGACTATACTAGCTTACAGAATATATGTGGCCATGCTCAGATTTTTCTGTCAGTTTGAGTCATGAAATAACCATAAGACCCTGTTCTCAAATACACTCATTTGGGGTTCATAAATTTACCCCAAAATATGTTCAGAACTCTTCAGAAGTTTTTAAGAACTTTGGGATATATATTCATAACTAAAAGGGTATAAACTTTAAGAAATTTGAAATATGTGGTGGAAACATGGTATATATGATCATTGTAAAAATACCAACCCAAAAACAAATATTACTTATATAATTATACAGTTACTTGAAGTAAATCATCGTCGCCTGAGACAACTGGAAGCCAAACATCAGACTGAGTATCGCCAGGTACAAGAGAGGCTTGCACAAGAGGAAGAGTCTGTCGTAGCTCTTAGGGAGGAAGCTCGACTGAAGGAAGAGCAAGTGGCAAAGTTAAAAAGATCTATCAAAGACGTAAATTTCTTATTTTATCTATATATATAAATAACTTCAAAAGTGTTAAAGATGTGTGAGACAGTTGTTAAACATTGCCCCATACATCATCTCAGCATTGTTACATGTTTCTTTCCTTCAAGATCATTGATTCCAATACTTTCAGTGTTTCAATTGAGATTTGAATACAGCTTAACTAACCTGAACTGACTCAATAAAACCTAGTCTACAATTTCCCAACCGATATAATATCTTTTGTTGCCACTGCTATCAAGGGAACTTCATCTTAGTTGGTTTATTTTAGATTGTGTAATTTATTAGTATTTGCAGAATAATTGAAATGTTAGTATGAAATTATATAAATTTTCTTAATATGTTATTAGATCCATGCATGAAAATATTCTCTACACTAGATTATGCCAAGTCAATAAATTAACAAAATACACAGAGTTTGAAAAGAACATTGTCTAAACTTTACATGATTGTCTTACAGTTTGCAAATAAAAACCAAGATCTAATGGAGGAATGTCTGATGTTGAAGGAGACATTAAAACAACACGAGCAGGCGAGTGAGGACGAGGGACAGAAGTTACAGCGACGGTTTGTTCAGGAAATGAGTGTTTGCTTCTCAGAGTTACAATCCCTGGTAGAGATCTGTGTACAGCAAGCAGAGGGCAGGGAACCAAATATTTCATTATTGCTGGGAACCAGAGGTACGTTCTTTTCTTAGAATTTCTTCTGCTTCAAAAATCCAATGAAGATATTGTGATTGTAATGTCATTTTTTTCCAGCTCATCTGAATTCAGAGTGCTCATAGATCAGCTTTTGTGATGACCTGTTGTCTATAGTCTGTCATACATCATTACCCACAATATCTTATATAGGCGTTTCCAAATCACATGTTAAATATTTACCAAACTAGACAAGAATGGTCCTTAGGTAGTCTTCAATAGGAAAAGGTTATACAGTATAGATTTGTTATGTTTTATATTTGCAGACTCATTGGATGAGGACGGGGCATCAGGAGGATTTAGAGGTGATGAACAGTCATTGAAACATTGGTTCTCTAAACTAAAGGAACTGCGGTCAGAGGTGGAGAAAGTTCGCAACATGATGTGTAACAAATATGCCAAAGATATGGGGGATAACATCAACTGTGCTACACAGTAATGTCAGGGGATCAAGGTCACAGGGCTTTGACTAAAAAAAGCTGAGCAGTTGTAGATTGGATTGTGGTGTCAATACTGTGAGAACTATAGGAACATCGTGTTTAATTTATATTATTATGTCCAAATTGTTTATTCTTTGATCTTCAAAACTTTATGAGGTCAATTCAGTAGAAGACCCTTACTTTTATAGGGGTCAGAAGTTAAAAGGTTGCAGTTAACTTGAAGACACAATTGTTTGATTCATAACTTGAGTGGTAAGAGTTGGAAGTGAATATTTTTTTTTAAATACATATGATATTGTAGCTGTTTATACAAGTTTATTTATATTTTATATTGTTTATTTAAGTGTGGCCTAATAAACTTTTAAGGACATAAATCAGATGAGCCTAAATTTTGTTACAGAAGAGTGAGTTTATCTTGGAAAGTTATTCCAATTGCTTTCCTATATTAGCTTCAAGTACATGTATGTACGACTGTTTCATTGCCTCTCATATTGAAATAGTCTTAAATTTCAAAACTATTCATTATCAGTAATTTGTTCTGAAATTGCATTTTACTTCATGATCATTCCATTCCATCATTTATTATATACAATATCTGAGAAATCTTGTGTGCCAAATACTAAATGCTTTATACCTCTAATGGATGAACACAGAGTAATATTTATTGATATGATGCTTTTAGAATAGGAATTTTGAAGGTTTATTTTGCAATTATTATCCAATAAACTTGGTGTATTTACAATAATAGCAGTAATTTACTTAGAGCAAACAAACTAGAAGAATTGAAATGCCAGAAAATTTAGCTTCAAATGCAAAATATTCATTTCTCCAGATAAACAAATTAAAAAAAAAAACCATCAAACTTAAAAAAGTATAACTCTTCATAATTTACATGCTATGTACAAAATTTGGCCAATTTTATTATTTTTATATCCATATTTCTATGCCAATACATAGTGAATATTGAGCATTTTTTGCATTTTTGACATTACATGTACATATGTATTTAGATAAGTTTGGATTGTAAGCGCATAATGCTAGCTTGATTTACGACTGTATTTGTTTATCTTACAATATTTCTACAATTTAAAAGACTTCCTAAATTTTTCATAATAATTAGTAAGAATCTTGGGGTGTGCAGCTTGAAAGTGGATTGATCTATAATTGGCACAATTTCTATAATTATTTCAAATATTGATTAAAACAATAGGAATGTATCTTTCGAATATTCATATTAAATATTTTTAAAAAAATGTTGATAGAGTTGTAAGTGATTTAATATTAACATTTACATGATAAATAATAATATTTTATTCTGGAACAATTTATTAAATGTAATTGCGGAGTGTGTATCTCACACTTACCAACAACATGTATATATATTTCTGTCATGGTTTAGATTGTTGACTTCAAAACAACTTGCCCCTTGCTACTGTAGGTTCAGATCCTGCTAGAGATTCTTGATTCTTTCATGTGAGAAAGCTATCCAGCTAACTGAACATTGTAGTTTTACTCAGGTGCCTGTTCTTGCCTAAAATAAAGCATGGAGGAGCGTCTGAGGTTAAAGCTAGAAAGTTGCCATATGACCTTTAGTGTTGGTGTAACGTAAAACCTTAAAGGCCACCTTCCACACTGATCTTTACAAGACTGAAACATTAAATGCTGGCATCATAACAAATGTTAGTGCATTACAAATCTTCATACTTGTATTTTTATGATTTTCTTTTCTCACAAGTAAATTTCTAAGGCTGAACAAGAGTTATTTGTTAAATTATCTAACCATGTGAAAATGTAAGACATTACTGAGTCTGTTTGATTATTTTTTACTTTTAGACGAGAATATTTATGTAGATGTAAAAACATAGTCTGGTGTATAATGAGAAGATAACAGAATAAAAAAAGAGACCTATTACTTAAAATAGTTTGATAGTTTGAACAGATTTATTGGATAATATTTGCATTGTATAGTATTGTATTATATGCTTGTTTCATAAATTTGATTTATTGTACAAATATTGTTTGTTATTATGATATTATATTGTGTAATTTGTGTAAGCTCAATGTGTGTGTATATAATTTACTGTTGTAATACAGACAGTACAACATTTATGTTTGATTATGATACATTCTGAAAACCTGCCAATAAACTTTCAGTTTATACAACAATAATGTTCTTCTTGAAATCAACAACACGAGCAGTTTCAATGTGCAGTATTTATTAAAAGTGGCGAGATAACAATGATACTTGTTATTCTGAATCGTACAGATGATATTTCATTGATATGGAAATATATGGAAAATAGGGAGCTGTGCTGATGTTTTAATATCAGTAACCTTATAAATCCTTGGAGAAAAAGGACTTCATACATTTCCAGACTAATTTACTAGATTACAATATTTTTATGGGTTTTTGTGTTTTGTACCAAAAGGTTATTGATTCAGCTTTAGCTAGTTTTAAGATACAAAACACATATAATGTTTGTAACAGTCTCGTACATATTCAATAAAATGTCTGGGTCTAAGTTTGTTTATTATGTAACATTGTCATACTAACAGATATTTTTTTGCCATTAAAAGTGCCATACCGTCCCAGTATTTACCAAAAAAAACACGGCAATATTGATTTTACTAATGCTTTTTCTTTCTAAAACTGGTACTACATCTCCAATTCTTCAAAATTAACAACATTTTAAACATTATCTTCACTTTGCTTAATTGAAATTACTTGTTTCATTTTTTTTTCATCTGTAACTGACAAGGAAAATGTTATTTGAATCAGATAAGATTTGTTTGACATTGAAGTCTGTCTGGCTGTTTCAGATAGCAGTGATTTAATTTCTTCACTTGTAACACATCTGTGAATTCCAGAATAATTTATTCATTACATGGGATTTAAAAGTAAATATTTTATATGACATCCGCATTTTTCGAGAGAAGAGGTACTCTTTGTAATTTATTTCTGATAGAGATGGGATTATCTGATTATTTTGTCATACCATGATTACTTGCCAGTATCCTCGATCACTTGAAACATTGGGAATCCAAGTTTTGTTTTAGAATCAGCAGTATTTGGATTTTATTCTATTATTAGATTTGATTTAAATAATATAACAGCTAATTTTTATGTGCAGAAAATGATGTCAGTTGAGGCTGTTAAGGTGCTCTTGTTTGGGGATTGGTGGGGGTATTTTAAAATTTTGATAAAACTAATATTTTGAATACATGTATAGAAAGGTGATCAAACCTTTACAGTGAATAGTGGTGTATCAGTCAACAAATAACAAGACAGACCTGGTTTATTTAAGATATTATTGTACATATTTTGAAATCTATGTAAACTTTGGTACTAATATACATGTACATTTTATCGTATGTTTTTGGAATGGAAACTTTATGTTTATGAATAGTTTGTACATGTACCTTGTGTAAATAGTGTTGTTTATATAAGTTGTATATAAAGAAGTTTAGTCTGTGATAAAAGGATCTCAGTGTTCACTCAATCTGTCTCATTTATTTGTTCCTTACAAACTTATTTATACCCTGTATATATATAGATGCTATTATGATATGCTTTCCTATATAATGTGCTCACCTTTATAGTATACAGTCTGCATATAAAGTTTAATGATAATTATAGTTTATTCTTTTTAATGATATTTAATTTTTTTACTGTATATTCTCTAATAAACGCTACTACCTTTATAACAAATTAAAACACAACTGGTGCTGCTAGTTTATATAATCAAGCAGAAAACAACACAAATATGGTAAACATTCTTTTTATTTGAAGATATTTAACTTTTTGCAATATAATAAATGCCACCCTTTTGGAAATGTAACATCCATGGAATATTTAATTAGTCCCCTACCTGTTTACCTGAGGGGACTTTAGGTTTACCCTCCGTCCCTCTACAAAACTGGATCCGTAACATCCATGGGATGTTTAATTAGTCCCCTACCGGTTACTGGAGAGTACTTTAGGTTCACTGTCTGTCAGTCCCTCCGTCCACAAAACTGGATCCCGCGATAACGCAAAAAGTACTGAAAATATTTTTATGAAACTTGATATATGGATAATGGCAGTATGGAGATTATGCACGTCTTTTTCTTTTCTTCCTATGTTGAAAATTTTGGTTGCTATGGCAACAAATAGACTGAAAATTTTACACATTAACTGGATCCAGTAATAAGGCAAAAAGTACTGGAAATATTTTTATGAAACTTGAAATATGGGTAGATGGCAGTCTGGAAATTATGCACATCTTTTTCTTTTCACCTTTTTTGAAAAAAAATTGGTTGCCATGGCAAAAAATAGGCTTAAAACATGGCAAATATAACAATATTTGTGATAAGTCAAAAAAAGCTGAAAAGTTTTATATGAAACTTATGGATAGATGGTAGTATGGAAATTATACACATCATTTTAATCTTGACTATAGGGAGTATATTGAGAGCTGTCATACTTAACAAACGTCGGCAACCTCGTCAAGATTTCTGATTCTAGTTTTTAGGCTTTTTCACTATAAGTTCTTTATTTCTTAAGGTATTTATTTCAAACTTCAAACATAAGTTTCTGGTCATCAACCACATCATATGTGACAAGGTTTTAACTCTAGCACAAAAATTATCAGAATTGCCTCCCTTGAACTTACATGAAAAAAAAATGTTTTTTTTTTAATAACTTCTTTATTTCTTAATGTATCTTCTTCAAACTTCATATATATGTTTCTTATTATCACTCAAATCATTTGTGAGAAGGTTCAATACTCTAGCAAGACTATTTCCAGAATTATGTCCCCCTTGAACTTAGATTTTTTTTCGAGAAATTGGTATATTTTACTCCAACTTCTTCATTACTTATAGGATTTACTTCAAACTCCCACATCATAATAATATGACAAGGTTTATAAATCTAGCATCCTTATTTCCAGAATTATCTCCTTCTTAAACTTTGAATTTTTCTTATTCATTCTTTTAACTTTCTTTTACTTCAAATTCAAAATAAACATTCGTTATGAACAGCTTCATCCTAAACATTCGTTATGAACAGCTTCATCCTAAACTATATGTTTCTTTGTTACACTCACATCATGTATGACATCTTGGATCTTTATTTCAAGAGTTATCTCCTTTAAGAATTTGCTTTTAATAATATTATATTTTGGTAACAGGGATATTTAAAAAATTAACTTTAGAGTGTCCTTCAGTCTGTCTGTTCATATAAACTGTTTCCTGAGATCACTATTAAAGAACTTTTCCAACAAATTTACTTAAGATAGAGAAAAATTGTAACATTAGTGAATGGCCAATGGCCCTTCAGAATGTTGCTGGGGTTCTAACTGGTAGGGGACTTATGGATTGCTTGCAATACTATGATAATTGCTTGTTATTGGAGGATATTAGGTATAGTATAAAAGATGGATCCTGATTTACACAGATATGCAATATGTAATGTATGTTATTAATTACATTAACCAAAAAAAGTAAACAAAGTTTTTGCTCTAACCTTAAACCTAAGATGAAAAAAATACCATAAAAATCAATGTTTTGTATTTTTGAAAATTACAATACCTGTTAGTGGGCAGCGGTACCTGTCTTGTAGGCAGCAAAAGTGTTAATAGATCTGAATTAATATCCCCCACCCTCTTTTTCCCCCAGACGGTGCATACCTTACTGTTACCTGACCCTCATCTCCCAAAATATGCAGATCCAAAAAATGGAAGCTGGACATATAAAATCATAAAGTAATATGTAAGTTATTGTATTTAAAGATACCAACAAAACTAAAAATCGCCATCAATACTATAGTCAGGTGGTCATTTTCACGAATGATCTTGAAAAATAAACATTTTCATGAAAATATTTTTGATGAGTTTTAAAGTTTAATGTCTCAGCAACCATATGCTCTAATTTGTTTCTTCCAATTTGGTGTACAATAAAAAATACTTGTCCATTTACATATTATGGTGCTCGTTGCACAATTCTGCATTACTTTTGCACAATTCTTGCGTTATTTGCACAATCCTGCATTACTGGATATACACGGTGATTTAGTTTAATTTTGAAGCAGGACCAGTATGCATATTTTGCAAGGTCAAGGTTAATGCATAATGATACGGAAAATGTACTTCATTTTTTGTGGATGTATAGTCAGTATAAATTTATAAACATAATTAACCTCGAACTATTTCTCATTTTTGAAATTGTTTATTTTTTAATACCCCAGTATGAATTCAACATTTTTTGTGCAAGCACATGTATATCACTTACATCATGTTCTTTTTTGACTGCAAAAGTTTATGTTTCATATGTTTCATGACTTTGAATGTAAACAGATTTGACTGACGTCTTTAAGAAATGCTGAGTAAACAAAATTTTACTGAGAAAATGGGTTTAAATTTGTGTGTAACAATGAATATTTGCTTGTATTTTATTGTAGATTAGCATATGTTTGACATTTATTAGTTACATTTCTCTTCTATATGACAAAGCAAGAAACTTTATTTCCATTTATTGACATTTTCATCAAGCTACAGTGAACATTATATATAAACATATTCTATTTGTAGAACATCAAAACATATTTCCTCAAAGTATATCAAAATATTTTTGTTTAAGTGACATATCTCGCATATTTCTTTACCCTATCTAGCTCATGTCATAACATTTGTTATGTAACATAATTTAAAATTTTCATACAAGAAATGTAAATAAAAATGGAGAGTTTGAACAATTGGTAGTTGCTTTTTTTTATGATATTTATATTATGAGTCAATTCATTCAGCTTGCATGTGTGAAATCATCAAAAACTCAGTTTGTATCACTTGCCTGTTTTTTATGCCACCGCAGCATCTGCGATGCGGTGACATAGAGCGATTCATCTGTGTGTGTTTGTACATGTGTTCTATAGATTATATAGTAAACTTAAAAAATCTTGTGCAAAACCACTAGTCGAATTTCAACCAAACTTGGCAGGATTGATCCTTGGGTGAAGGGCTTCCAAAGTTGTTCAAAGAATTTCATTCCATGCAGAAATCTGGTTGCCATGGCAACCAAAAGGAATTATAAGAATAAATTTTAAAAATCTTCTTGTAAAGACCCAAAAGGCCTAGAGCTAAGAAATTTTGCATAAGGCATTGTCTGGTAGACCTCTACCAAGATTGTTCAAATTATAGCCCTGGGGTCAAAATCGGCCCGGCCCCGGGAGTCATTGATTTTCACTATAATTATGTACATATAGTAAAAACTTAAAATACCTTCTTGTCTGCAGGTATAAGGCTTAGAGGTTTGATATTTGGTATGTGTTATTATCTTTAGGTACTCTACCAAAGTTGTTAAAATTTTGCCTCTAGTGTCAAAATCAGCCCCGCCCAGGGGGTCATAATTATAAGGTTTTCCTTTTATGTATATAGTAAAAACTTTAAAAAATTTCTTCAAGCAATTGAAAAGGCTAGAGATTAGATATTTTGCATGAAACATTGTGTAGTGAACCTCTACCAAGATTGTTCAAATTATAGCCCTGTGGTCAAAATTGGCCGCGCCCAGGGGGTCATTGATTTTCAATATATACATATAGTAAAAAAATTAAAAAATCTTATTGTCTATTTGTTATATAATATCATCTATAGGTACTCTACCAAAGTTATTCAAAATTTGTCCAGTGTCAAAATTAGCCCCGCCCCGGGGTCATAGGTTTTCTATATATGTATATAGTAAAAGCTTAAAAAATCATCTTCTCTAAATTGACAAAGGCTAGAGGTTAGATTTTGCATGAAACATTGTGTAGTGAACCTCATCAAAAACTCAGTTTGTATCACTTTTTTATGGCACCACACCATCTGCGATGCGGTGGCATGTAGCGATTCATCTCCGCAGCATCTGCGATGCGGTTGCATATAGCGATTCATCTGTGTGTTTGTGTGTGTGTGTTTGTACCTGTGTTCTATAGATTATATAGTGAACTTAAAAAATCTTCTTGTGAAAAACCACTAGTCAAATTTCAACCAAACTTGGCAGGATTGATCCTTGGGTGAAGGGCTTCCAAAGTTGTTCAAAGAATTTCATTCCATGCAGAAATCTGGTTGCCATGGCAACCAAAAGGAATTATAAGAATAAATTTAAAAATTCTTCTTGTAAAGAGACAAAAGGCTAGAGCTTAGATATTTTGCATAAGGCATTGTCTGGTAGACCTCTACCAAGATTGTTCAAATTATAACCCTGGCGTCAAAATTGGCCCCGCCCCGGTGTAAAAACTTAAAATACCTTCTTGTCTGCAGGTACAAGGCTTAGAGGTTTGATATTTGGTATGGGTTATTATCTATAGGTACTTTACCAAAGTTGTTCAATTTTTGCCTTTAATGTCAAAATCAGCCCTGCCCCAGGGGTCATATGTCATATAAGCTTTTCCTTATATGTATACAGTAAAAACTTTAAAAAATTTCTTATAGCAATTGTTAGATATTTTGCATGAAACATTGTGTAGTGAACCTCTACCAAGATTGTTCAAATTATAGCCCTGGGGTCAAAATTGGCCCCGCCCCGGGGGTCATTGATTTTCAATATGTACATATAGTAAAAAAATCAAAAAATCTTATTGTATTTGTTATATGATATCTATAGGTACTCTAGCAAAATTGTTCAAATTTTGCCTCTGGTGTCAAAATTGGCCCTGCCCAGGGTCATTGATTCTCATTATGTACACAAAAACAGAAACTAAAACAAAATTAATGTTTTCTGAATTGGAGAAAGTTACAGCTTAGATATTTGACATGAAATGTTGTTTGGTGGACCTGTATCAAGATTGTTTTGAATTAAACCCTTGGGTCAAAATTTTGCCTTGCCCAAGGGGACAGTGACCTTCTTTCTTGTCCTTTGATGTACAGCAATGAAATTTTGACCATGTGCACAGTTTTAGTTGATAAAATGAACTTTGATATCAGGTGACCTAGATTTTGATGGTGACCTACTTTCTTGTTCTTTGATGTACAGCTATGAAATTTGAACCATATGCACAGATTAAGATGTAAAGTGAACTTTGATATCAGCTGACCTAGATTTTGACAAAGTGTCTTACTGTGTTGTCCTTTGATGTAGTCATGAAATTTAGGCTGTGTGAAATATGACCTTAACCACCAAATTCACTAGACTCAATTGCCCTGATCTTTTATTGTCCCCCGCCTTTTCGAAGAAAAAAGGGGGATATAGAAATAGGCTCCTTCCTGCAGTCCGTTCGTCACACTTTTGTGTCCGGCCCATAACTTTGAAATAACTAGGCATAAATGTTTGTTATAATAAGACGATGTGTCATGCGCAACAACCAGACCCCCACCTTCAGGGTCAAGGTCGCACTTGCTCATTCAAGGTCAACATTGCCTATTTGAGGGTATATGTCGTGTCCGGTCCATAACTTTCTTATCTTTGAAGGGATTTTGTAAATACTTGTAACAATTTTTCACAATAATGAGACAATGTGTCATGCGCAAAACCGGTCACCTACCATCAAGGTCAAGGTCACACTAGGATGTCAAATATTAACAAAGTCTGTTATAAGGTATATTTTGTGTCCGGTCTATTACTTTTTTTATTGATCAAAGGATTTTGAAAAATACTTGGCACAAATAATCACTATAATAAGACGATGTGTCATGCGCAACAACCAGAGTCAAGGTCGTACTTGCTCATTCAAGGTTAACATTGTCTATTTGAGGGTATATGTCCTGTCCGGTCCATAACTTTCTTATCTATGAAGGGATTTTGTAAATACTTGCCATAATTGTTCACAATAATCAGACGATGTGTCATGCGCAAAAACCAGTCACCTACCTTCAAGGTCAAGGTCACACTTGGAGGTCAAATATTAACATAGTCTGTTACAGGGTATATTTCGTGTCCGGTCCATAACTTGGTCATTTATCAAAGGAATTTGAGATAACTTGGCACAAATGTTTATTATAATAAGACGATGTGTCATGCGCAACAACCAGACCCCTACCTCCAGAGTCAAGGTCGTACTTGCTCATTCAAGGTCAACATTGTCTATTTGAGGGTATATGTCGTGTCCGGTCTATAACTTTCTCATCTATGAAGGGATTTTGTAAATACTTGCCATAATTGTTCACAACAATCAGATGATGTGTCATGAGCAAAAACCGGTCACCTACCTCCAAGGTCAAGGTCACACTTGGAGGTCAAATACTTACATAGTCTGTTACAGGGTATATTTTGTGTCTGGTCCATAACTTTTTCATAGATCCAAGGATTTTGAAAATACTTCGCACAAAAAGTCACTATAATAAGAGGATTTGTCATGCGCAACACCTGCATCCCTACCTCCAAGGTCAAGGTCACACTTAGAGGTCAAAAATAGTCTGTTATAGGGTATATTTTGGGTCAAATCTAGAACTTCTTCATAGTTCAAGGGATTTTGAAATAACTTGGCACAAATAGTCACAATAATAAGACAATATGTAAGGTACAACACCTGCACCCCTACCTCAAAGGTCAAGGTCACAATTAGAGGTCAAAGGTTAACAGAGTCTGTTATTTGGTATATTTTTTGTCCCGTCCATTACTTCTTCATAGATTAAGGGATTTTGAAAATACTTGGGACAAATAGTCACAATGATTAGATGATATGTCATGCATAACATCTGTGTCCCTACCTCCAAGGTCAAGGTCACACTTAGAGATCAAAGATTTACATAGTCTGTTATAGGGTATATTTTGTGTCCAATCTATAACTTCTTCATAGTTCAAGGGATTTTGAAAATACTGTGTTCTATAGATTATATAGTGAACTTAAAAAATCTTCTTGTGAAAAACCACTAGTCAAATTTCAACCAAACTTGGCAGGATTGATCCTTGGGTGAAGGGCTTCACAAATAGTCACAATAATAAGACAATATGTAAGGTACAACACCTGCACCCCTACCTCAAAGATCAAGGTCACAATTAGAGGTCAAAGGTTAACAGAGTCTGTTATTTGGTATATTTTTTGTCCCGTCCATTACTTCTTCATAGATTAAGGGATTTTGAAAATACTTGGGACAAATAGTCACAATGATTAGATGATATGTCATGCATAACATCTGTGTCCCTACCTCCAAGGTCAAGGTCACACTTAGAGATCAAAGATTTACATAGTCTGTTATAGGGTATATTTTGTGTCCAATCTATAACTTCTTCATAGTTCAAGGGATTTTGAAAATACTTGGCACAAATAGTCTCAATAATAAGACGTTATGTCATGCACAACACCTGCTCCCCTACCTCCAAGGTCAAGGTCACACTAAGAGGTCAAAGCTTAACATGATAGATTTTTAAATTCCGTGTTTCATTTTATTTTTTTAACAAATTTTTTGTTACATTTGCAGATCATTGATCATAGTTTTGGAGTGAATGTCCAGAGATCCATTATAACCTCAATCTTTTGAAATAGCACAATTTTATGCTTCATATAAAACTTCCTGAGGCGGGGGACGTTGGTAACTCTGTTAAAAATTCTTGTTTGAATAACAATAGATTTAACTACTAATCTGATGATAAGAATTAGATAGGTCAGGGATCTATGCATTATGACCATCTTCAATTGTATAGAAACAAAAAAAAATCTGTTCCTACACTACTATTTAGTGTTGTATTAATGCGGTGGCATAGCATTTTTCACAAATGCAATTTTGTTTTTTCAAGTGGAATATTGTGCAGATGACCTAGCATTCTTAGGGGTGAAAGTTCAACCCTGTTTTTGTGAGGGGAGTTTAAACTGCACTGATGTAAAGGTAACATGATGACTGGCTAGCGAAGACCTTAATCTGGCACCCAAGTTGAACCAATGAGAAAAACGATGTACCAGTATTAAAAAAGACAGCTATGAAGGATTGATGGCCCTAGAACACTAAAATCTATGTAAACTTAAGTGATCCCCAGAGCAAAGCTATTTATGATTCAGGGCCATTCTTGTGTGTTGCTGAGTGGTGAAGGACACCACTGTGTGTATGAATCCCGTTTTGGATTCTTTCATGTGAGGAAGTTATCAAGCAGGTTAGCAGGATGTCAGTGGTTCTTCTCAGAGGCCTTTTCATGTTTAAAATAATGCACAGCTTGGGAACCCCCGAGGTCATACTTTACTAGTAAAACTGGAAAAGTCGTCATATGACCTTGACAGTGATGGTATGACATAAGACCCAGCCAGACTGGAACCATTTATACAACTTTTGTATAGGGACAACCAAGAATCAGCTGTTGTTTAAAGAGATTATGTATAAAGACTATACAGGACAGATGACTGACATAATGAGACTACCCAAGCTCACCTTTGTAACCACTTTATTTCAAGTACATGTTATATATTAAAATACATAAATGATGCCATCAGAACACGCAATATCATCAGAGTAATGTAGATCAATATGTCTGAAATACAGTCGAACTTTGTTCGCTCGAACTCAGAGGGCCTGTGTAAATTTGTTCGAGAGATCTGTAGTTCGAGCCAACAGAGGTTCAACTGTTACTACGTTGATCGTATGCCTAAAGGTTTTCCAGCTTACATCAGTCGAATATACTTCAATATAATTGTTTGTCAGTGCATCTGTTCCTAGAATATGTCATATTCAGAATTATTATCCCAGTGTTAAGTATTAACGGAACGCTGTGTTAATCTTTATTAATGCATATTGTAATTGGTCGAGTTGGATTGGGCAATCAGACCAAACTTGTTGAACAATGTTTAAAATATATTTATATGTTTATAATGGAATGAATTTAATTTTAAAAAATAAATTAATGAAATATTTAAAAAAAACAAATGTTTTACAGAAGTCATTTTCTAAAATAAACACACGTAAAAGTATCATTCTATAAATAGATAACACTGTTACAACTCACATTACATGAACCACGGTTGTAATTAAAGCCGTCCTGGTCATTCTTTACTGACTTTTGCATATTTCACTTATTTCATGAGTTATTTTCTTTTTATTGTTAACATAAACGGCAAATCAACATTATTATCCTAACAAACAAATGGTTTACAACACCTCTTATTTTGTATCAATAACCTTAATTACCTTTGTCACGATGACATGTGTCGCCGACTGTCATTTATTTAGAACATTTCGACTTGTTTTTTTTGTTCGACCGAAAAGGTGTGATTTTCACTATATTTCTGCCGAAGGGACCAGAGAGCAGGTTCGAGAGTTTGAGCGATCCGAGGTAGAACAATATATATTATAAAGGAATTTAGTTCAAGCGAAAGGAGGTATTCGAGCGATTCGAGTTCAAGCGAAAGAAGTTTAACTGTATATGTTTAGTGTTTTCTCAGCACTCTATCAGAACTATAACTGGCAATCTCTGGTCACAAAACATGTTCATTTCCTCCGCATCACAAGTTTCATCATTGAAAGAATTTCACATCTATGAATATTTGTCATAATATTTTGTAAGTTTACTGGAAAGCTGATGGATCAACTTCTATACGGTTGATAACCAGTACACTTTGGGGAGTCTGCTGCACTAAAATAAAAAAAATATCACATTATAGTCAATAATATTTCAACAATTTAAAAGAAAACTAGAAAAGTGAAACACAGGTGCCCCATCATTCTACTGCTTTGTCAGTCAATGGAAGAACAGTAGGCCCCCAAGTGAGGGCATGACTTATAAGACTTTAGAGGTCTACTGATTAATATTACATCTCTGAGCTTTATTGTTTCCACAAAATGAGTAGATGTGTTTTCTTACACATTAGTCTACATAAAGTGTGATACCCCAAGGACAGGGCCAATTTAGACCCAAGTGTAATGGTTAATATATAACTTTTGTGCCAAATCTCTTGGCTTTAAATGTTTCAAAGTAAAATGTTTAAAGATGTGTATATTAAGTTAGTCTACTTAAACTAAGTGACCCCCAGTGTCGGGTTAACTTTAAGAACAGAGTCATGATTTATCTTACTTATATAGAGGTTCACAAGACACTGCTACATGCCAAAAATATAAGCTCTTGGCATTGCAGTTTTACACATTAAGACTTAAATGTAATTAATTTCCTATACAAGTCCTTAAAAAGTATATATAAATTAAGTGACCCCCCACCATATTGACCAAAGGTGCACAAATGATATCTTTTTTAAAGAGAATTCTATCATAAAATCACAACAATATGTTACATCCAGCTGCCCAGTTTGTATCAATTCAAATGTTTGTATAGACATTAGTGGACATTTAGCTTTTCTGAATTGTTTTATTTCTCTATAATTATATTTGTGATATTATTTTCTACAGAGTATTCGAGTATCAATTTTGTTAACTGATACTTTAACAAAGATCGGGTACTCAATACTTTTGATAAGGTTTAAATTTGAATGAGGAATTAAATATCATGTCCAATTTCAAAACAGAACAACAATTGATTACTTACATTTGAGCCTTCTTGCACGTTTCATTTGAGTCCAATGAAGCCTGACATGTGACAGAGTCTTCTCAATGACTGTAGCCTCAACACGCACAATATCACGGCTGAAATGTATTTATAAACTTATTTATACTCTTTGATGAGATACCTAACTATACATGTGAGATATACATCATTTTCAAGATATTTATATAAATTAGCATGACTGGGTGCCATTTTTGGTCATGCCTGACTTTAAAGCAAAATCTATAGAATAGGAAGAAAGATAAAAAGAATTTTTGACTTATTTTGTGTACTGGCATGTGTGCAGTTCCCGTACAAAAATCATAGTTACTTAATCACTATTTTTTATTACGCTCACTCACAAATATTTGAATGTTACACATCAATATTCGGCTCGTCACACAAATCATGGAAATTCCATCATGTTCTAAACATAGAATAACCCTTACTTATGAGGCCTCATATGGGGTACCGAAGTTATCGATTATTTTGTATGAAGAGAAGTAGTTCCCGTACATAAAATCTAACCCATTATCATTATACAATTTTATTATATCATACCTATTTTTCATTTACAATTGTTGAACAGACCATTATCTAAGAGATAAATAGATGTAATTCAGGAAATAGAGCTTAGACTAAACGCGGATATCTATTACCCGGTACCGTTACCCCAACGCATTCATATGCAGTAACATGCTTGTATGCATGATATTGTACGCATCAAAGCCATAAAATTATTATTTATAGTAATATTGGTCAACATTCTGATAATTAAACAATTTTTCATCGCATTGCCTACTTATTTGTAAACAGGTGGTATTAGTGGAAAACCCTTTAACAAGCCTCAAGTGTAAGTATTTTAGCGCATGCGCGCAAGGACGGAATCCCCCAGAGAAAACAAGGTCACGTTTTGACGACGCACAGGTGTAAGTGATTTAAAATGAGACTTTATATACGTACTGCCAAACTGACACTTAGATTATGCAAATCGTTTTATGTATCTGATTTGAAACATGAATAGAACTGCAAGTAAAATCAAGAAGTTTAAATTGAAAAATCCGGGTACTGCTTCTGTTTAAGGAAACTGCGCATGCCAGTACAGTCACTATTTTTCAAAAATATATTTACACTGTGACTGTGTTGATAGAAACTGCATTGTTGTGTTTTTATCTACATGAAAACAGTGTTAAGTCTCATTAAAACCCCCTTCTAGTAATACAAAGTCTATTTTGTCAGCCACTTTTGCATCCATATCATACCGCCTCCGTGGTCGAGGGGTTAGAGTCGATGACTTCTAATCCAGTTACATCTCTGGCGTGGGTTGGATCCCCGAGAGATGCTTTGGTAGTTTAGGGCGCAGGTAGTCTAGTACTGGTGTAACTCTCCAGGAACGATGGTTAGGAAACTACCCGCCTATATGACTGAAATACTGTTGGGAAAAGGCGTAAAATGAAACAAACAAACAAACAAACATCAGCTTGTCACCAAAAACCAAGTAGACTATCTCTTTAGGTTTATCTCCCTACATTGTGGTAAACAACAAGAGACAGACATCATGCTATCACAAAAACATACTGCTGTGAATATCTTTTTCTCAAATGAGCTTAAAACATCCATGTTTGGCCATAATGAGTCTAATAATCAGACTTTTGAATAAGACAGACAAACATCTGCATTATATCAGGTTCCTTGTAGGACTGCTGCCAGGTAGCTCGATAAATTTCCTTACCTGTATCACCATCTCAACATTTAATTTTTGTCATATGGCGACTTTCCAGAAAAAATCTCGGGTGCCCTTCCCTACATTATTTCAGGCATGGGCACCTGAGTAGGACCACCAATGTTCCGTAAGCTTGAATGATGGATAGCTACCTCACATGAAAGAATCCAAAATCCTAGTCATGATTCGAACCCAGAGCAACGACAACGACAAGTCAACGACCTAAACCACTTAAAACACATGCGGAAAGGTGGATATAATGCATGAATGATAAACTTACTCTAACAGAGGTCTTCCAAATAAGGTAAAATCTTTACTACCAACCAGCATCACCTGAAACATAACAACAAGTATTTATATTGATGTATTTGGGTTTATTTTGTTTTATTTGGGTTTATATTGTTTTATTTGGGTTTATATTGATTTATTTGGGTTTTAAGTCACACCAACACTTTAAATGACATAAGGTAACTTTCAAGCGTTACTAAAGGTAGAGGAAGACCTCCAATGGCATGCCTCTTTAATCAGACTAGTAGTGTTAATGACTGTGGAATTTTCTGTGTATAAACTGTAGGTAACAATGACACTCCAAGAGCTTAGGTTTGTAAACTTTAGGAAAAAAAACTTTATCCTAACTACTTAGAGACTTGAGCAGTTGCCTATGCAGCATCAGAATGCACAGATATATTAATATCACATGTAGAAGTCTTTTAAAGCTCATCTAAGCACACAATATCTGAGTGCTTACAATGACAAAGTCATCCACTCTGAAACCACTGGGCCAAATTTGATTAGGAATTACCGCCATGAAACTCAGCCTGGGACAGCACGCTCCATATTTATTCAGAGCTTAATAGTATGATATAAGCAATGTAGAAAAGAGGCATTATTCTGAAAGTATTCTATTTAGAATTACCTGCCCATGAAAGTGAAAAGGTATTTTAGGTTTGAAGTGAATATGTGTGATGGTTTATGAGAAAATAAGGAAAAATTCCCAATAAAAAAATGGATATAATTAAGCTAATCTGCTCATTAGAAATGCATTCCAATTTCAATAGTGTACAAGTATAAGTTTAAAGATCCTATATGTTGTAATTAAGGTTGTTACCACACTTAAGTGAAATTTTATATATGTATATAATTATGCTTCTAAAACAATTTTCAAACATTGAAGAATATGTAAAATATGTACTGCAAATATTTGTCCACATTATATGTTATCATTAAAATATATACATCCATTTCTTAAGGAAAAATTTGACGTAAACTATATAGAAATTAATTTCTAATTACCTCCCTTTATTTACATGAAATGTTAAATTCGGTAATACCTTAATAAATAATGCTTTTTGGAACATACAATATCACTGCGTATGATCACGTGACCAATATCAATGGGCTAATAAAATGGCGGCCTGAACGCTCAGTAAAAGCAGTGAAATTGAGGTACACATACAGTTAACATTAAATTTATATGTGAAACTAGGCCGCACAGAACCCCTGTATAAAAACCACGTATTGTTCTATTATTGGTCACTTTGTAGCTCTCTCTGTTTAGGCCTGAAAGTCGAAAAAGTTGTTTTGGGTGGTTTTTATACAGGGGTTCTGTGCAGCCTAGTTTCACATATAAATTTAATGTTAACTGTATGCTTACCTCAGTTTCACTGCTTTTACCGAGCGTTCAGGCCGCCATTTTATGAGCCCATACTTTGGTCACATGATCATCCGCAGTGAATATTGATAAATCTTAATTTGATCATCATATTTATGATATAAAACCAAGAAAAATTTGTGTTACAGGATCTTTAAAGTAAAAATCCATAAAAGTTTTTGATAAACAAGCCATAACAAATTGGTTTACCTAAAAAAAAAATCAATAACAAAAAGGTTAAAAGGGCAAACATTTCTCAGTCAAAATGTTTTATAACTTTTATACCAGCCATATTTCATCATATTTGGTTTTAAAGTGAGTAACTTTGTTGCTGAGAAAATTGACCTTACTTTGGCAAAAGATTGACCAATGCCAAACTAAAGTTTATGAGTGTATTGTTGTTTTTGTTGTTCAAAAAGAGAAACTTAATAATTACATACCTTTTCTAATCTGATTTTATCCCCAATCTGTGGTGGAAAGAAACCATTTACAATAACCATGTCTTCTGTTGTAATTTTTCTCTGCTTGCCACCAACATGTATCACTGCAAACAATCTTCCCAAATTATCTCCCTTCACTGCTTCCTCTACTTTAGCAATCAGCTCTAGATAAAAGAATTAAAGTTCTTGAAAGCACTGATTGAAGGTGCTTCTCAAATCTTGAAAAAATAGAAATTGTTATTTTAAGTTTGCACTTTATCAATTAGAAAGGAAATTATAACAAGAGCTGTCCGTAAGACAGCGCGTTCGACTTTTTTATTGCTTGCCAATAAAAAAAGTTTTTGCAGTAAAAGGCAATACAAGAATCTCTGTATTTTTAAAGTGAACAATGGCCATGAGCATTAAGATATTTAGTGAAGAATTATTTTATTATGACATAATTTATGGTAAAGTGAACAAGTGGATAGGAATGAATTTTTTTAGATTTTTTAAGTTTTTTAGTGCTTGCCTATAATACAAAACATTGACAGTTAAGGGCCATAATTCAAATAAAATCTTTGACAGAATTACCTTCTCCTGGACATGTTTGGGAATCATGATTGTAAACAAGTATTCCAACTTTCAAATTAATATCTCAAACAGTTCAGTCAAAAAGTGGACTGGTACTAAAAACTTAACCAAGATTCTAAGTCGATAAAAGGCCTTAATTTTTAAAACAAATCCTTGACAGAGTTACCTTCTCTTGCGTACAGATGGGGGTAATGATGTGAAATAGCATTAAAAGTTTCAAAGCAATATCTCAACGGGTTAAGGCAATAAGTGGATTTTACCCATATTCAATGTATTTTCTAAGTCAAAAAGGGGCATAATTCTGTCAAAAACCTTGACAGAGTTATGTCCTCTTGTCTGTTGATGAAGGTGGTGATGGTAAACAAGTATGGTCAGTTTCAAAGCAATACCTCCAATGGTTTTGAAATAAAGTGAGGTGGTACAAAAAACTTAACCAAGCTCAATACACTTTCTAAGTCAAAAAAGGGCCATAATTCTGTCAAAAACCTTGACAGAGTTATGTACTCTTGTCTGTAGATGGAGGTTATGATGGTGAACAAGTATGGTAAGTTTCAAAGCCATACTTGTAATACTTCTGAAATAAAGTGGGGTGGTACGAAAAACTTAACCAAGGTGTGACGCCAACGCCGACGCCGACGCCGACGCCGGGGCGAGTAGGATAGCTCCCCTTTTCATAGAAAAGTCGAGCTAAAAAGTCCAAAACTGAATAAAGTAATTCAATTACATGTAAGCATAAGGTACAAATGTAACTACATACTGTTAGGTACAAATGTAACTACATACTGTTATGCTACTGTACTGATCTGACATGTTTTGTGGGCACTGATTCGATTTCTGAAATCAACTACTAGTAAAACAATTTCTATTCACAACCCAAACATAAACACGAAAAACATGCGTGTTTACTCCCTCTCTCACTAGTTTTAATACCACTTTAATATGTTACATACAATTGGTTTATTATAACTAAGTCATCAAATCAGTGAGTGTGTAGTGATGTATTTTATTGGCTCCAAATGTCAATGTATAAAACAACAACTAAAAGGTCCTCCAACAAGACTTAAACAAAAGGTGTAGGAACATTTTGGGTTTCAGGATTCAGAAAAAGATACATGAACCAGACCCATGTTAAATATGTGCAAGCCATTGAGGTACAAATCAATCCTTTAAAGTTTCACTCAAATTGCATCAGTAATATAAGAGAAGTCGTCCGGACAAAACTTTAAATAAAACTAGAAATGTGTCCATAGGACATGGGTGCCCCCACACTCCACTGTTTAGTCAATCTTTTGACACTAGGTCAAATATTTTTTTGAGGCTGAGCTACATGTGCCACAAGTTGAAAACAAAAAATCTTTTACTAACTTAAGGGCAAGAACTTTACAAATACTTTACAAAAACTTTCAAGCCTACAGGTCAAATACTTTTTGAGCTATGCATGAAGTTGAAAATTGCAAATTTATACTAAGTCAAGGGCAATAACTCTAACAAAACTGAAATAAATCAAAATGCAAAACCCCAGGTGCAAAGCTTCACAGTAATGTTGATCATGATTCCTGTAAAGCTGATGATTCTAACTCAAGCACTAAAGGAACAAATAACACATCATCCGGCCGAAATGGAATAAAGGGGCCATTTCTTAATGGCCAAAGGCCGCTTACTCTATTGTTACGGAATGAACTCTATTGCTCTCTTTTGTTCTATTTATAGTTAGATGGACCCCTATCCCTATACGGTAGTGCAGACGGATGGACAATGGTAAATCTAAATCCCCTAACAATAAAAACAAGAATTTGTAACAGAGTTACCAACGTCCCCCGCCTCGGGAAGTTTTATATGAAGCATAAAATTGTGCTATTTCAAAAGATTGAGGTATGGATCTCAGAACATTCAGTCCAAAATTATGATAAATGCTAGATCTGCAAATGCAACAATAAATTTGTTAAAAAAATAAAATAAAACACGCAATTTAAAAATCTATCATGTTAAGCTTTGACCTCTAAGTGTGACCTTGACCTTAGAGGTAGGGATGGAGGTGTTGTGCATGACATACTGTCTTATTATTGAGACTATTTGTGCCAAGTATTTTCAAAATCCCTTGAACTATGAAGAAGTTATAGATTGGACACAAAATATACACTATAACAGACTATGTAAATCTTTGACCTCTAAGTGTGACCTTGACCTTGGAGGTAGGGACACAGATGTTACGCATGACATATCATCTAATCATTGTGACCATTTGTGCCAAGTATTTTCAAAATCCCCTAATCTATGAAGAAATAATGGACGGGACACAAAATATACCAAATAACAGACTGTTAACCTTTGACCTCTAAGCGTGACCTTGACCTTGGAGGTAGGGGTGCAGGTGTTGTACTTGACATATCGTCTTATTATTGTGACTATTTGTGCCAAGTTATTTCAAAATCCCTTGAACTATGAAGAAGTTCTAGATCCGACACAAAATATACCCTATAACAGACTATGTTAATTTTTGACCTCTAAATGTGACCTTTGACGTAGGGATGCAGGTGTTGCGCATGACACATCCTCTTATTATAGTAACTATTTGTGAGAAGTATTTTCAAAATCCTTTGATCTATGAAAAAGTTATGGACCGGACACAAAATATACCCAGTAACAGACTATGTAAGTATTTGACCTCCAAGTGTGACCTTGACCTTGGAGGTAGGTGACCGGTTTTTGCGCATGACACATCGTCTGATTATTGTGAACAATTATGGCAAGTATTTACAAAATCCCTTTATAGATAAGAAAGTTATGGACCGGACACAACATATACCCTCAAATAGACAATGTTGAACTTGAATGAGCAAGTGCGACCTTGACCCTGGAGGTAGGGGTCTGGTTGTAGCACATGACACATCGTCTTATTATAACAAACATTTGTGCCAAGTTATTTCAAATTCCTTTCATAAATGACAAAGTTATGGACCGGACACGAAATATACCCTGTAACAGACTAGGTAAATATTTGACCTCCAAGTGTGACCTTGACCTTGAAGGTAGGTGACTGGTTTTGCACATGACACCTTGTCTGTTTATTGTGAACAATTATGGCAAGTATTTACAAAATCCCTTCATAGATAAGAAAGTTATGGACCGGACACGACATATACCCTCAAATAGACAATGTTGACCTTGAATGAGGAAGTGCGACCTTGACCCTGGAGGTAGGGGTCTGGTTGTTGTGCATGACACATCGTCTTATTATAACAAACATTTGTGCCAAGTTATTTCAAATTCCTTTCATAAATGACAAAGTTATGGACCGGACACAAAATATACCCTGTAACAGACTATGTTAATATTTGACCTCCAAGTGTGACCTTGAAGGTAGGTGACTGGTTTTTGCGCATGACACATCGTCTGATTATTGTGAACAATTATGGCAAGTATTTACAAAATCCCTTCATAGATAAGAAAGTTATGGACCGGACACGACATATACCCTCAAATAGATGTAATGTTGACCTTGAATGAGCAAGTGCAACCTTGACCCTGGAGGTAGGGGTCTGGTTGTTGCGCATGACACATCGTCTTATTATAACAAACATTTGTGCCATGTTATTTCAAGTTCCTTTCATAAATGACAAAGTTATGAACCGGACACGAAAGTGTGACGGACGGACGTCCGGCCGAAATGGAATAAAGGGCCGTTTCTTTTGTTATTTTCTTTTATTTAATAGAGGGCCAATGGCCCCTTACTCTATTGTTACGGAATGAACTCTATTGTTCTCTTTTGTTCTGTTTACAGTTAGATGGCCCCCTATCCCTATTCGGTAGTGCGGATGGACGGACAGATGGACGGAGCCTATTTCTATATTCCCCTTTCTTCTTCGAAAAGGCGGGGGGCAATAATTTAAGGGCCATAACTCTGGCAAAAAAATTTAACTGGAAAATGCTGACAATATTCACACTAGACTTGATAATAAACATTACTTATAAGGTTGGATGAATTTGCACCAGTAGTTTTGGAGTAGGGCGAACAAATTTTGAGGAGAAAAGGACAGATAAACAGCTGGCGAAGAAGTGATCCCTATATGTGGCCACTATTACCGCTGTAGCAGGTGACACAAAAATGTTGTCATACCTGGTCCTTGATGTCCAAGATCTGGTACATGATTGAGATCTAAATTTGTCTTTTCTTCTGGTCTGAAACAGCAATACAGACATGAGCAACATTTCTTGTTCAGCTGAGTCATTTGTTTATACAAACCTTCAAAAATAACTTTGAAAGATGTATACAAACCTTCAAAAATAACATTGAAAAACTACACCTGTGTTCTTTTCTAATCCTAATCTGATTATTCAATAAATATTTACATTTTATATGTATATGGAAGTGAAACCACTATAAACATTGTCCTTTGAATGTAATGGTATTAATAATTTTTTACCTATTGCTCAAGTTACATATAAATTAATAAAATTTCTGTTCTAATTTGTTTTTAACTTCATAAAGAGAAGTTGCTTTCACTACTTGCTTTACTCACAATAAAGAATATTCCATATCTCTCTCTAATGGATCTGGATAAAGCCTCCTCATATGTCGTTTTTGTTGAACACAAAGTGACTGGGAAGTGACAAGCCTATCACATGTTGTATGTAAACATTTCTGTGATGCATGATTAATAACAGCAGCTGTTGTCCTACATGTATGTTGCCCAGTTACACAAGCTGCAGGTACCAAGCTCTTTAGACCTTTAACATTAAAATGGACAAAACTGTAACATAAATCAAACAAGCAACTCTGAAGTATTTTTCACCATATATAACATAGGCAAAAGGTCTCTACCCAATTAAAGTTTTCTTTAAATTATCTTGCAGTTTTTCTAAAGTCAGTGGCTAGCCATACGGGCCAGTATTGCTAGCCAAAAGTTCTAGCCATACGAGTGATGTACTACTGGCCTATAAGCACTGCAAAGGCTAGCTGTACAGCATAGCACTGTTGAGGCTAGCCGTACAGCATTATTAAAATATATATAACCCTAAAACAAAAATGAATATGCAAACTTATGTTTCTAAACAAAGATTTATAATAATTGTAACTTGTAAATGACATAAAATTTACATAGGCTTACAAAAACTACTTAATAAAGGTGAATTTATTTCTGATAGATCTTCATAATCACAATGGCTTGATTATCATCCATAAAAATATTTCGAAAAAAAATTTAACTTATATTTCTTTGTGACAACTATGTAATTTAAGATGGTCAAGTTACTGAATGACTTTATCATTGCATTTATTTCAATATTTGTTCATGGTGCTATCCTCAACAGTGTGTATAGGCTAGATATAATTTTAGACTGTTTTTTGGGGGAAAAAAGGTAGTAATACACCCATAAACACTTTCAATATGATCTACGTAAATAACCGAGGTATATCGAGTGAAAAATACGAGTTGCTTCCCTTACCTTCGAGGAAAAATCAATACCGCTTATGCTAAAACAATACAAAATAAGCCATTTTTAAACCGCTGGTTTGTTGTAATTAAATGTCCGATTTTAAAATGTATTACACCAATAGAAAGCTTTGGATCTTAGCTTCATCACAGTATAAACTTCAACACATCTTTTGACTCCTAAGTATTTAAATTAACTGTTAAACCTACCATATGTCAGACCATTTTACATACGAGATATGCAACCCGTTATCTTTACACGAAATACTACTGATAAGAATAGCCTGTTGTCTGCTAGTTCTGAAAGTGTTTATCGGTGTATCTGGTTTGGGGAAGTAGAGGATAACGGCTACAGCAAAGAAGGGTAAAAAGGCCCTGGTGACTCATGATAATTCCACTCCTCAGCTGGTATTGACGAGTAGAGATTATAAAGGACAAGTACAAAATGGCAGAATGCTCTTCTGGTCGGATGAGCAGAAATTTGCTGATGTAATATAGGAAGCTAGAATTCTCATAATCAGTTTGTTTACTTTTAACAATGGAAAACTGGAAACCAAGCTTGTGTTCTATTGCAACGGGGAAATATAATTTGAAAATTTTGACCAAAATATAGGACAAGAAGCATACCACACAGGATGAGTAGAAATTTTAAGCTACTCCTCCTGCTAGACTTTAACTGTTTAATGTCAGTAGCTCTAAACAATTTTTTCCATCCACGTACACTGGTCAGATTTTTTGCTTCCACAATTAGCGATTATAGCGATATCTTTTACCAAAATCAAGTGGCTAAGGCCTTTTCCCAATAAAGTGGGCAAATTCACTGATACCTCAGCCAGTCAGACTCCAATTCTCTCGTGAGTCGAAACAAGATTGGGGCGAATCGTATTGACCTTACATAAATCTCATTAGGTTTCTATCAATTCGGCCTCACAACTGTTACTATACGAACGCAGTTGCATTTTACTTTTAACCCTTCAAATGCTTACCGCTGCATAAATCTTTTGATTGATGAAAATTCCGGAGAATATTTCTAGAATTTGTCAGGATCATGCTTATTTTTTATCTCTATCATCAGGAGCTTGAACTTTAATTTACTGGTGTTCAACCTTTGTTTTTTTGGGTAGCAAGACACCTCATCCCCCAGACACTTCACTCCTCAAATTTTGAAGACACTTCACCCCTTAAGACACTTTATATAATTGTATGAAAATTAAATTTATTCTTAATAAATAAATTAAATAAATAAATAAATAAATAAATAAAATGAATATAAATGAATATGAATGAATGAATCAGTTGCTTTATAAAATATAGTAAATATAAATATAAACGGTATAGATGGATACCGAAAATAAGCTATTTTCGCGAAAATAAGATCGCGCTACGAAAATAAGATTTATTTTTGAAATAGTGCATTTATCTGTTGAAATAATGATGTAAGTTATATATTTATGCATTCTTTGCATGATTTTACAGCAAATTAAATTTTCAGAACCAAAAAATATCTAAAAAAGTACAGTTTGAGCCGAAAATACATACGTACGAATATAGCTCAAATCGCCGTGTGAGCGAAAATAAGATCGGGTCTACGAAAATAAGATTTATTTTTATTATAATGCATTAAAAATGTATTTTTGTTATTATTAAATTATTTGTATGAATGAAATAATAAAGACTGAAATGTTTTGTAATGAAATATTAAACGTTTGTTCGGTAAATATGGTAAATATCCCAAATAGTATAGAAAGAAGGCATGCGAAAATAACCCAAGATGGCGACTACGAAAATAAGATCATAACTTATAAAATTGTATTAATTGCAAAAATAAAATCTCCTCTTATAAAACAAGAAAAAGTAGTGGGGTGAAAAAGCATCAAAATAAAAGCAAGAATTAACTAGTGCGGAAAAAAAACCCAGAAACAAAGACTACTGTCTACTGTATATAGAATATATGTACGAAAATAAAATCTATATCTGTAAACAATAGGATATCTAGCTACATGTATATGAAAATAAAATATCAATATGGAAATGATTTATACCAAAATAAAAGATAATTTAAAATACGTGTAATATAAAAATAATATCTATATTTAGTAAAAGATCAGTATATAGCTTTGTTGCTTTAGTGCTTTAATAAGATAATGCACGGACAAGATCTTTCTATTTGAGAGAAGGAAACAATTATACAACGTATGACACGTGCACATGGCTGTCGGCAGCAATCAATGCGCTAATACGATGATTGGATTATTGGATTTTCGCACACGATCTTATTAATGCCCATCATTAAAGGTGTTTATTGGCGATTTATCACAGTCACCAATCATATCAAAATATAGATGTCTTATTTTTTTTACAGATTTTGTTATCATACAGATATATTTTTACACAGATCTTATTTTCGTTAAAGATTTTATTTTATAAAGACATTATATTCATATAGAGTCGTTTTTCATATCATTCTGATCCAGATTATTATCATATAAATATTATTTTCGTATAAATCATAAAAAAAATCTTATTTCTATACAGATATTATTTTCGTACCTGTAGATACTTTATATGTATCTTATTTTTGTAAGGATATTATTTTCATTTCACAGATCTTACATTTGTAAAAATCTTAGTCGAATACAAACATTATTTTCATACAAATCTTATTTTCGTATAGATTTATTTTCAATAGGATCTTATTTTCGTAAATATAGTATTTCCATACAGGTTTTATATTCAAATAAATATCAATTCATACAGGTTTTAATTGGTTTTACAGACCTTATTTACTAATAGATCTTATTTTCGTAACCTTATTTTCGTATTAACATTATTTTCATACAGTTTTTGTTTCCTTACAGATCTTATTTTCGTAGAGTACTGTTTAGATTTTATTTTCGTATTGTACATATTCTTATATAGATTTAGATCTTATTTTCGTAGTCGTTGTTTCAGGTTATTTTTGCACTTGTTTTTTCTTATATTTTGATACTTTTTCACCACAAACATTTCTTATCTTATAAGAGAACATTTAATTCTTAAAATTTATTTGCAAAATCATTAAAAATAAAGTTAATACTATTTTTAATATAAGTTATGAACCATGTAAATCTTATATAGCCTATATTTTCGTAGACGCAATTTTGGTTATATGTTCATGCGTTCTTTCTATACTAAATTTGGAATATTAACGTATGGATTTATATGTATTTACCATGTTTGCCGCACAGACGTCTAATATTTCATTACAAAACATTTCATTCTTTATTATTACATTCATACAAATCATTTGATAACACCAAAATATACGTATAAATCTTATTTTTGTAGACCCGATCTTATTTTCGCTTTACACGGCAATTTGAGCCATTTTCATACGATGGTATTTTGGGCTCAAACTTCACATTTTATAATATTTTTTTTGTTTCTGAAATTTATTATTTCATTCATACAAATCAATTATTAACAACAAAAATTCGTTTTTAATACATTATATCAAATATAAATCTTATTTTCGAAGACCCAATCTTATTTTCGCTTTACACGACAATTTGAGCTATTTTCGTACGATAGTATTTTTGGCTCAAACTTCACTTTTTTAAATATTTTTTTTGGTTCTGAAATTTAATTTGCTGTAAAACCATTCAATGAATGCATAAATATATATTTTACATAATTATTTCAACAGATAAATGCACTATTTCAAAAATAAATCTTATTTTCGTAGCTGCGATCTTATTTTCGCGAAAATAGCTTATTTTCGGTATCCATCTATACCGTTTATATTTATATTTTCTAAATATAGAAGTACAATGTATAATTATATAATAATAAGATATTTCTTATTATTCATTTACTTTAACAACATGCAAAGCAAAGTTAATACGTTATATATATTTTTGTAAAGTGGGCCGAGTTGACCCTTGCCGAGTTGACCCGTGCCAAGTTGGTATAGGGCCGAGTTGACTCTTTTCCATGACATTATGACATACCAAGACATTTCACTATTGAGACGTTTCACTCCCAAGACAGTTCACAACTAGACGTTTCACTCCAAATTTGTAATTGTATGGATGTTTCACTCCCATATTTAAAAAAAATGTTAAGTAGGAGAGTTAACAAATTTATTTTCATTTAATATATGGGGGGAATTTAATTTAATCTAAATGTTTCATTTTGTTGATTTTGAGGGTATTGTTAATAATAATATGAAATTAGGCAAAGCCTATGAACGGGGAAGTCAGTAAAAAATCCTTTCATTTTTCCGTTTTAAACAAATTAAAGGTGTCATTCGGTATTATATATACCCGCTTCCGTTTTCAACCGGAACACTCGACGATTATTAATGATCCGAAAAGTTGAGATTTGTTCAAATATCGGAATACACCGCCTTTTATCATTGAGTTACATTGTAAATGGCGGAGCCTAACTAGAACTGACACTGAAAATTTCATTGATAGGTATAGAATTCTATATATTTTTTAATTGTTTTTTTATTTGATTTTCTTTTAAATATACACGTGTAGTCTATAGCCGGGCAAGCCAAAGCCCAAGCGGGCGGGGCCCGGACTTTGACTTCCCCGTAATAATTAATATATGCATTCAGCTGTTCAGCAGTTCAGTGTTGCATCTAGAATTTGAAAAATATGGGGGATTGTCTCTAACTCAACTGAAAAATGTGGGGGATTTGAAAAAAATGTGAGGAACATGCATTTACCTAACAAATTATATGACATACCAAAAAGAATTCATTTATCTTACATTACATTAGGCATTTTGACAGCTATCGTATGCTCAACAACGGAAATAAAGAAAAAATAAATATTGACGAATACTACAATACTACTAATTATGGGTTGAATGATGGGAGGTTTAAATGAAAGACTAAATTATAATATATTTCATGCACTGACAGCAATATACATTCTTTTTCATTTTTGTTGCATTGAAAAATGTTTACATGATGATAAAGATATGGTTGGTTATGTATCACAAAACACAATAATTATTATAAAGGAATATTAATATATACTATACTTTAAGACATACTATGCTTATCCTTAAGAATAATAATTTCATTAGCACTTTCATATAAAAGCCACATGGAAATAATGTCATTAATTTGATATCAATTTTTTTTTAAAGTAATAAAAAATATTAATATATTTATTATTTTTTGTAAGTCTAAAACTATGAAATGGAAAAAAATGTAAAATTAATTATTCTTTTAAGTTATTTCTTTATCAAATTATTAAATTGTGTTCTCCATTAAACAAACTTATGTAATGGTGGTGTTAACAGTAATCTCGTCAACTAATTAGTTGTATAAACAAAGAGACCATCAACTAACAGTTTGACATCACTATTGAATCAGTTGTATTAACACTGCACTTTAGCATGAACAGTTTACAAAAATCAGTTGTTTATTGGACCATTAAAATTGTTTTCAGACAACAACCACATATAACAAAGGTCTTGGAGACAGAAACTTCTTCAAAGTTTTGTATTAAATATATAACAAAAGTAAAATAATAGTTAATCAGATAATAAGATATAAATAAATTATATTAGATGATTTGCAAAGATCTCTCCAATCAAGTAAAATAACTAAATAAACTTCAAGAATTATGAAATACAAACGTAAAGTACAGAGACAAAGTGAAATCCCCTTTAAGTTTTGTTATTCATTTTTATTAAATTTAAGGTATATTTTAGTATATCACAAGTATCAGAATAATTTTGGTACATGTATAAAAAGGGAGTGAAACATCTTCAAGATGTTACACTCCCATTTGGGAGTGAACCATCTTGGTGTGAACCGTCCTAATAGTGAAAGGTCTGTCTACCACTTAAAATAGCTAAAATTTTGACTATCCAAGGATTTGTTATTATTTTGTGTTATTTAATTTATTAATTTTGACATATTTTGACTTATTTAAAATAATTAATTTATATTGACTTATTTTCACTGTCAGTGAAAAGCTAGCTCATCACTGAGAGTGGTTTATGCCCTTAGATATGGGATACTATTCACCACCTTTAGTCTGTTAGTTTTTGCATATTGTAATGCTCATTATGAGTATTATGAAAGGCTGAGTACTGTAACATGAGATTCCAACTGTGTGTATATTTCTGTATTACTAGGTAAATTAGACAAATCATGGAAGCTGTCAAGTATGAACATATGGAAGATAGTGGAGATGATGATGGTGATGATGATGCTTGGCTAGAAGATGATGAGATTGAGTCTGTGGAAACAAAGTGCCTCTTTTGTAGTACCAAGTTTAAATCTCCAGATGCAGTATTCAGTCACTGTTCTTCATCACATGACTTTGATATTAAGCATTTTTGTATGAAATGGGATTTAGACTGCTTTGGCTATATAAAAATGGTGAATTTTATACGAGGCAAGGTATGGAAGTCTATAGCCTTGTTAATAGTAAAGAATCTAATTGCTAAAATTTAACTTTCTTGTTTCTTCCAAGGCAAGGAAAGTTTAAGAACAGAAAATCATTTTGTTCACATATAGAAAATTTACAACTAGAAATTCATTTTGTCAAGTCATATTTCCTATATATTTTTGTCCTTGACTTTTTATTTCTCATTGTCATACTAAATTAATGTATATGATAGCCACTTCTTGTAATGACATTTCTTAGATTATTGTAATAGTACCTTTTTATGGACTAACATCTTTTGATGGGTTTATTATAACTTTATAAGTTGATTTGGTCCAAGACAAAACTCTTCAATATTTTTTGTCTCTCTTACTTACTGTTTCTTATACCGTAGCATATTCATTCTGAATACTTTAAATTTATGTGTATATACTGAACTAAGCTAGATCTGAAAGACTGCCTGAATTTTAATGCATACAGTAATAGTCTTGTGTAATTAAATTCATCTGACTGAAGTCATTTGAAGTTCTTAATCATTAATTTCAGAAACCAGATGTAAATGTCTTAGCAAAATTTGCAAATTCCAGCAAACCTCCATGGGATTCTGATGAGTTCATGCAGCCAGTTGATCCAGATGATCCATTACTACAATATGGTACTTTCTTTATTATATTAAATTGTTTTTTTTTATACATGTATATATATATATATATAATGGGCTTTCCTTGCTATGAATCTGGAACTGTTCAAAGGATCATATTACTTAAATTAACCTTAAACTTGCTGAATTTTCATAATGATTTTGAATTGATCTACTACTCAAACTTTAAGAGAGTTTTGTATGAAAATACAGAGATAACAAGAACATAGAACATGGATTGTCTACAGAGACCTGCACACTGGCCAGATTTTATAGTTGTGGAGTCACTTTCAATTATCTCAGATTAAGGGTTAAGCAGTGAGAGCCTGGTTAGACCAAGCACAGATTGCAGGGCTCAACTTTTATCTACATCAATTTTGGTGGCATAGGCTTTTCATAATCAAGGTAGAAGAGGAAGCCTAAAACTTATTAAGATAAAATACTCATATACTTAATGTGAAACATTTTCCAAGAAGATGATTTAAATGTGTACAGGTCAAAATTTATGTGCAAAGGAATGCATAATTCTGCAGCACATAACACCATGAAATTTAAACTTTTGAAACATGGTAGGTAGAAATGTATATTATATGTATAGGAAAATATGGTCCACTAAATGTCACCACTGTTACTGTATGAATAAGAAAAAAGTAAAGTATTATACATGTATGTGTACAACAGTAAGCAGAAAACATACTGGAATATTTAGTTCATTTTAGATATTGGAATATCTATTACATTTCAGATATTGAAATATCTATCTCATTTTACACATTTAAATATCTATCTTATTTTACACATTGAAATATTTTTCTGATCTCATATATTGAAAAATCTATCTTATTTTAGATATTGAAATATCTATTTCATATCAGATATTGAAAAATCTATTTCATTTCAGTTATTGAAATATTTATCTTGTATAGTTATTTCATCTCAGATACTGAGTGAACTATCTTTCTTATCGTAGATATTGAGGATCTTGAAAGTAATGAGCCAGAATGCCATTCAAGTAATGTAGAAAACTCTGCAAAACTGGGTGATCAACAAACAGTTGTACGTAATGGGGTTGAAGGTCCTTTAGTAACCATGGCAACCACACAACATGAAGCACTGTTACTAAGGTTACAGAGGTCAGAAGAGAAAGCTAGACAGTGTGAGGAAAATTTACAGAGAGCTCTTGCTGACATGGAAAATATAAAGTGAGTATCTGTTTATGGATTACAGTGTTTTAAAAGGGTAGATAGTCCAAATATCATGATACTTACATGGTTTAGAATTAAATGCTTTATTTTCAAAATGTTTGATTCAAGTAAGGTTTGTATTTTTCTAAACAAATGAATACTGATTATTTATAACAAATGGATGTAAATTTTACAGGCAGGTAACTAGAGACTTGATGCTAGCACAGCCCAGTACTGTAGCCCCTTCACCAGGGGATGGAGACAAACAAACAGATATTGAAGAAGATGACCCATATTTCAGTTCATATGGACACTTCAGTATTCATGAGGAAATGCTTAAAGTGGGTTAACACAAACAAAAAATTTCTATTTTTTTACATTACATATACATGTATAGAGGATATTGTTTGAGTCTAGGTTCAATACTGAATGTATGGAACAAGTTCAATAAAATTATATTATGCAAGACTCTGGTAATCGTGTATTTCATTGAATTGGCAGTCAATAATTTATGCTGTTTTTCACGTGTTTGCGTTAGTTGTATTTTGTAGCTATTGATATTCTAGCATATATCTGACAAGAATTCCCAATATATACATCAGTGTTATTCTAATCTAACACTTCCTGTATAACTGGAGTCACATGCTTTAAATAACATCATTCCTGCTCACATTTTATGAATCATTTATGAATGAGTTTGTAAATTCATATGCTGCTGTAAGAAAATACTGCTTAATGCAAATATTAATTATTTATTTTGTAATTTCCAAAATATGATGTACCGGTATGAAAGAAAAATAATCAAACACTGCTTGTTGTCATAGACTAGACGAAACTCAAAAGAGCCTCTTTACCCTTGTAATCAGTGACCTTGAGTTAAATAATCTGGTTCGTACTGGCAGCCCGTGTTAGATTTTTATACTCCTTTAACATATAAAGTCTTGATGTATATAAATTTAATTTTAAAGAAGTCCGTGGAGTGCCATGGAGTAAGATTTTATTTGTTTCACACTGTTTAATTGCCCTTCATAATTGTTGATTATTTACAGGATAAAGTGAGAACAGAAAGTTACAGAGACTTCATGTACAAAAACCCAAATGTATTTAAAGATAAGATAGTTCTAGATGTAGGATGTGGTACTGGTATTCTGTCCATGTTTGCTGTACAGGCAGGAGCACAGCATGTTTATGCTGTAGATATGGCAGATATAATATACCAGGCAATGGACATAGCCAGGTAACATAGAAAACATTCTGGTACAATTACATTGCCATACTTTAATACTTTTTGCTTCCCAATGTAAAAAATCATCACACAAATTTAACAGTTTACATTAAAGCAGCAATAAAATGTTAAAAAAACATAGCATGTCAATTTGAATGGTTTATCTTTACTTTATGCAAAACATAAGAAAATTAATCTTTACCAATGACCTTGAAGGTCAAATTATTGAATTTTGCTGGTTTCTTACATAACTGGCTATTACTTTCTTAGTCTTCGTACTTGAGAACTACTACCTGTAATGACAATGTCTTCAAGAAAATCAAACTCATTCTGACCTTGAATCATAATTAAACATTGACCTTGATTTAAGGTCCTTGAAAGTCAAATTGTTGTAATTAATTGGCTATAATTGTTTCTTTGTAATTAATTTACAGATTAGATTTATACTTGTACAACTGAATTTTATTTCAACTGAATCAACCTATTAATGGCCCTGACTGTCCAGATCAAATTTATATCTATTATAATGGTAGATTTGATTCATATTGGGACAAAACAACACTTATGACAACATAATGTTTTTGAATAATTGAAATATGACATTGATCTGTCAAGGTTGAATATGAAATATGAATTGATTTGCCCCCCAAGAAAATGATGCTTTCTATGAATGTATTTTACTACAATATTCTTCCTCCATTGTGTTTGACTTTAGAATTAAGAGAAGTTGAGCATGGCCCTGGTGTGATGTGGCTCTTGTTAATAGGTATTGCCACAATATAGTCAACTTATTCAGTCGTTCATATTTCAGAGAAAATAAATTGTCTGATAAGATAACTTTTATAAAAGGAAAGCTAGAGGATATAGAGTTACCTGTAGAGAAGGTAAGTGGTATATAATATCTAATCAATTACTATTTACAGCCATACATCATTCAAACCATTAAATTTTGACATTTATTAGGAATGGCTTATATGATATATATTATACACCACTTATAAGTAACCCTGACCCCCTCATTCTAAGAATAAAATGGATAATGTGACCTGTGTGGGGGTGTATTGTTAAGATCTAAGACTTTAAACTGCTTACACCTCACGGCTGTGAGTTTGAAAACGATCAGAGACGTATAATTCTTTCATGATAGAAGATATCCAGCTAGGCTATGAAACACTGGTGGTTCTGGTTGGCATGGAGGGGTATGTGAGGGGTTCAGCAGTAAAACCTGGAAACTTACCATAAATGTGTGCCACTTTAAATCCAACCAAAACAAACCAAAGTAACCTGTGTCTTTACTTTCCAGCTGTCACACCATTGCTGGGCCAATGCAGTGCTTACATTTTATTTCACCAAAAAAAATGGGAATTTAATCCTAATCTTTAGGCTTGTATCATCTGATTTTCCCCTAAAGAGTGGAGATTTTACCACAGCTGTTAGGGTCCTGAAGACAAAATCTCCAATACATTTATTCTCGGACATTAGGGATTTTGAGTAACAAATGAACAGTTCATGAATGCTTTGAGTTAATATGCTTTATTTATTACAAGAAGATTACTTGCGTTTATTCTAAGATTATCTTTTTGTAGTGGAGTTATCCTGCTTTGAATTTAGAACTGAACACTTTAGAATTTACAATAATTATGTAAAAATGATACAATTGAGGACTGAACAGTGTAGTGTTTGGATGGTTCTACTCAGATGCCCACTGTGCCTGAAATAATGCACCCATGTCTTCCTCCATCAGTAAAGCTGGAAAGTTGGCATATAACCTTCACAGTGTCATTGTGACTTCAAATACAACAAAGAAACAAACTTTATTCAGTGTGACATTCCAGGCAAGTATTGTTCAACATTTTGTATAAAAAAATATGACACAGTATATTATATTTGCAGGTTGACATAATTATATCAGAATGGATGGGGTATTTTCTACTGTTTGAATCAATGCTAGACTCTGTCTTGTTTGCTAGAGCCAAATATCTTAAACCAGGGGGTGCAGGTTTGTATTTTCTTAATCATTGTACACATGTGTGAATGTGGATTTGTCTTTCTTCTAAAATTGTTTCATTTTATTTGTCACAAAATTAGATTAATGTGCACAAAATATAAATACCATCATCCATGTGATTTTGCAGATTATAAGAAGTAACCTAAACTGTATTCACACTTGTAAGTGATGCTCAATATCTGAAGTAGTGTTTACACATGTAAACGATATCCAAAAATTGCATACTTTACTTGTATATGTTGTTGCGTTCTCTTGTGAAATCCCAGGATTATGTAGTTAAACTGTAGGTGTGTTCAGTCATTTGACATCCCAGGATTATGTAGTTCAGCTGTAGGTGTGTTCAGACATTTGACATTCAAGGATTATGTTGTTAAACTGTAGGTGTGTTCAGACATTTGACATTCCAGGATTATGTAGTTAAGCTGTAGGTGTGTTCAGACATTTGACATTCCAGGATTATGTTGTTAAACTGTAGGTGTGTTCAGTCATCTGCCATCCCAGGATTATGTAGTTGAACTGTAGGTGTGTTCAGTCATTTGACATCCCAGGATTATGTAGTTCAACTGTAGGTGTGTTCAGACATTTGACATTCCAGGATTATGTAGTTAAGCTGTAGGTGTGTTCAGACATTTGACATTCCAGGATTATGTTGTTAAGCTTAAGGTGTGTTCAGACATTTGATATTCCAGGATTATGTTTTGTTTGTTTTGGGTTTTACATCACATCGACACAGTATAGGTCATATCGCGACGTTTCAGCTTTACTGGTGGAGGAAGACCTCAGGTGCCCTTCCGTGCATTATTTCAGGCACGAACAGGCACCTGAGTAGAACCACCGACGTTCCGTAAGATAGCTGGATAGCTTTCTCACATGAAAGAATCCAAAGTCCCTGTCGGGATTCGAACCCAGCGGTGAGGGGCAAGTGGTTTGAAGTCAACGACCTTAACCACTCGGCCACGGACGCCACCCAGGATTATGTAGTTAAGCTGTAGGTGTGTTCAGACATTTGACATTCCAGGATTATGTTGTTAAGCTGTAGGTGTATTCAGACATTTGACATCCCAGGATTATGTAGTTAAGCTGTAGGTGTGTTCAGGCATATGACATCCCAGGATTAGTAGTTAAGCTGTAGGTGTATTCAGGAATATGACATCCCAGGATTATGTAGTTAAGCTGTAGGTGTGTTCAGACATTTGACATCCCAGGATTATGTAGTTAAGCTGTAGGTGTATTCAGACATTTGACATTCCAGGATTATGTTGTTAAGCTGTAGGTGTGTTCAGGCATATGACATCCCAGGATTATGTAGTTAAGCTGTAGGTGTATTCAGACATTTGACATCCCAGGATTATGTAGTTAAGCTGTAGGTGTATTCAGACATTTGACATCCCAGGATTATGTTGTTAAGCTGTAGGTGTATTCAGACATTTGACATCCCAGGATTATGTAGTTCAGCTGTAGGTGTGTTCAGTCATTTGACATCCCAAGATTATGTAGTTCAGCTGTAGGTGTGTTCAGACATTTGACATCCCAGGATTATGTAGTTAAGCTGTAGGTGTGTTCAGTCATCTGCCATCCCAGGATTATGTAGTTAAGCTGTAGGTGTGTTCAGACATTTGACATCCCAGGATTATGTAGTTAAGCTGTAGGTGTATTCAATCATTTGACATCCCAGGATTATGTAGTTAAACTGTAGGTGTGTTCAGTCATTTGACATCCCAGGATTATGTAGTTCAGCTGTAGGTGTGTTCAGACATTTGACATCCCAGGATTATGTAGTTCAGCTGTAGGTGTGTTCAGTCATTTGACATCCCAGGATTATGTAGTTAAGCTGTAGGTGTGTTCAGTCATTTGACATCCCAGGATTATGTAGTTCAGCTGTAGGTGTGTTCAGGCATATGACATCCCAGGATTATGTAGTTCAGCTGTATGTGTGTTCAGTCATTTGACATCCCAAGATTATGTAGTTAAACTGTAGGTGTGTTAATTCATTTGACAATCCAGGATTATGTAGTTAAGCTGTAGGTATATTCATTCATATGACATTCCAGGATAAAGTAGTTAAGCTGTAGGTGTGTTAATTCATTTGACAATCCAGGAGTATGTAGTTAAGCTGTAGGTATATTCATTCATTTGACATTCTAGGATAATGTAGTTAAGCTGTAGGTGTGATCAATCATTTGACATTCCAGGATGATGTAGTTAAGCTGAAGTTGTGTTAATTCATTCGACATCCCAAGATTATGTAGTTAAGCTGAAGTTGTGTTCAGTCATTTGACATTCCAGGATTATGTAGTACAGCTGTAGGTGTGTTCATTCATTTGACATCCCAGGATTATGTAGTTAAGGTGTAGGTGTGTTCAGTCATTTGACATTCTAGGATTATGTAGTTAAGCTGAAGTTGTGTTCAGTCATTTGACATTCCAGGATTATGTTGTACAGCTGTAGATGTGTCCATTCATTTGACATCCCAGGATTATGTAGTTAAGCTGTAGGTGTGTTCAGACATTTGATATCCCAGGATTATGTAGTTCAGCTGTAGGTGTGTTCAGTCATTTGACATAAGAAGATTATGTAGTTCAGCTCTTAGTGTGTTCATTCATTTGACATTCCAGGATTATGTAGTACAGCTGTAGGTGTGTTCAGTCATTTGACATCCCAGGATTATGTAGTTCAGCTCTAAGTGTGTTCATTCATTTGACATCCCAGGATTATGTAGTTCAGCTGTAGATATGTTAAGTCATTTGACATCCCAGGATTATGAGCAAAACCATTAAAGAAAAGAAATAATAGAATAAAAGTAATAACTGTTTGATTTTTGTGACAAGAACTCAAGCTAAAAAAAATCCTATATTGAAAACTATAACATACTGCTATACAAATTCATTTTGATAGGTGTCTTGAAGTACATACAACAATAAACGGTACATTCGGCTGAGTTTTAATTCGTACCAATGAAAACGAAAGACTATGTACGGGTAGCCGATATATTGGAGTTTGTTATAAAAGTGTAATTTTCTGTACTTCTTACTAAATTGGGACTAAAAAATAAGTTCCTTATAAGCGATAATTCCTTATAACCGTGTTTGCTATAACCGTATATTTTTATATTAAATAAAGAAGTGCAAAATTTTGGCCAAAATATATTGTTCCTTATAACCGGAAGTTCGCTATAACGGTATTCGCTGTAAGTGAAGTTTACTGTATAGTTTATCTGAAGGTGGATACTTGATTAAGTATCCCTGGATTATATAAATTAATTGAAGTTTTTGCTGAAATTTCGATTTCTCAGAACATATAGTGCTGTTAACGAAAACTTTTCGACTATGACACCTTTTATCTATATTTCCTACTGAATTATGAGGATATTCCTATTCAATTATTAATGATATAAACTTTGTTATGTAATATTTCAGTATATCCAGACAGATGTAACATCAGTATTGCTGCTATCAGTGACCTTGACCTTTACAATAAACATGTCACTTACTGGGATGATGTGTATGGATTCAAAATGACATGCATGAAGTCTTGTGTGGTGAGAGAAGCCAGTGTGGAAGTTGTGAAAAAAGAAAGCCAAATATCTAACGCTTGTATTGTCAAAGTAAATATTATTTTTCAAGGATGTATCATTCTGGGAGTTGCAACTGTGCATTATTGCTTGTTACATTTTCTGCTTACAGAGTTTCAGTTATAAGTTATGACAAATTCTAATTAAAAATGTTTTTAGTGATGTGAGACCAATTGTTAAGTGTAAGCAGTTGTCTTTATTATATAAACCTATGTTTTTATTGTTATACAGCTGAATTTGTGAAATAGATTTGCCCTGCTTTGAATTTAGTACAGTCCATTAATTTTAATATGAAAAAATGTTCTATGAACAGAATAAAGCCTTGTCAGACTGCATATAAACACAAGCAGGAGTAGCTCTATACTGGTGGCAGAGGCTTATCAAATTTAGTTCAGGTTGAAATTCTGGATTGTGAATTTGTGGTACAAGTGATCATAACTTTATTTATATATGGATTTGAATTAGACTTAGACAAAGATTTCATATAACAAAACATATGTGTTAAGTAATTCAAATATGACATTGACCTTCAAATGATCTTGGCCATCAAGGTCAGATTCTTGAAATATGCTTAAATTGTCACAACTTTGTAATTTATTTACAGATTTGATTTAAACACATATAAAAAAAACAATATGATATGATTTAATTGACAGATGTCAGATTTTTGAAATTTGCTTAAATTTTCAAAACTTGGAGAATCATTTACAGATTTGATTTATTCTTGGACAAAAGAATATATATACATGTATATGACAAAACTGTCCTGTTTAATTATGCTAAATTATGTCTTTGACTATGAATTGACCTTTACCTTTGAGGTCAAATTATTTAAATTTGCTTAAATTGCCATAACAGAGTGACATGGTGAGCTTTTGTGATCGTTTTTCGTCTGGCATCCGTCCATAAACTTTTACTTTAAATGACATCTCCTCATCCTTATATACTATTATTATATGTATATATTCTTAGTAGAAACTTTATTAAAATGTAAGGACTAAATAGAAAGTAAAGTGTCAAACAATTTTGTAAACAAAACTAGTCGCGTGTGACCTTTCACATCTGGGCCACTAATGGAAATTATGCGGCTGCTCATTGACTTTTAAGTGTACTAGTTGTTTGATATTTTTATCTGGCGTTGGTGCCAATAAAATTAGCCAATTAAAGATTTTATGCTAAATTTGTACGAAATTAGAAGGCAATTAATTGAAAATTATGATTTTTATAAAATACTGGTTTGCCAAAAAATTGTACGGCGGTACGAAATTTATTTTATCATATTGCAATATATCGGTATACCGGTAAACCGTTACACCCTAAATATGTATATAGTAAAAACTTAAAAAATCTTTTTTTAAAAAACTCAAATAGCTAGAGCTTAGATATTTAACATGAAACATCTTCTAGTGAGTATCTACCAAATTTGTTCAAAGCCCTTGTGTCAAATCGGTCCCTCTTAGGGGGGTCATTGATTTTCCTTATATATATATAGGAAAAACTAAAAAAAAATCTTTTGAAAAGCTCAAATAGCTAGAGTTTAGATGTTAAGCATGAAATATTTTCTAGTGGGTGTCTACCAAGTTTGTTCAAATGAAAGCCCTGGGGTCAAAATTGGCCCCACTCCTTGGGGTCATTGATTTTCCATATTTGTATATGGTAAAAACTTAAAAATATTCTTTAAAAAAAAACCACAAGAAGCTAGAGCTGAGATATTTAGCTTGAAACATTTCTCATGGGTGTCTATCAAGTTTGTTCAAATAAAAGCCCTTTGGTCAAAATTAGCCTTGCCTGGTGATTATTGATTTTCTTATATATATTTATAAAAAACAAATAAGGTTTCCTTTAAAAACCAAAAAGCTAGAGTTTAGATGTTTGGGATGAAATATCTTCTAGTGAGTGTCTACCAATATATATTTTTAAAAAAAATCTTAAGGTAAGGTTAAAATTGGCCTGTGCCAATTGATTTTCATTATATGCATATAGTAACAACAACAAAAAATCTTCTTTTAAAAAACCCAAATTACGTAGTATTCTGACTCAGGTGAACAATTTAGGGCCATCTTTGCCCTCTTGTTTATGGATTGATTCATTCTTGGACAAAAGAACACTTATGACAAAACAGACATTTTATTCAAATGTGACCTATGAAATTTGTATGTTATTTTGTTCGAGCATGGCCCCTGCTTGAAGATGACTCTTGTTGATATTCAGCATTGTATCCATAGAATAAAAAAAACATGCATTATGCTTGCAGATAAGAAAATAACTATATATTTAACCTTATTTCTTTAAAGGTTACATGTGACTTATTTGACATTACATATTTATGTTGACAAGTAATTCAATTTTTGTATTTCAGGACCTGGATATTAATACATGTGGATTAGAAGACCTACAGTTCACCAGTATATTTTCTGTCAAAGTTAGCCAAACAGGCAATGTTACAGCCTTAATTGGATTCTTTGATATTTTTTTCGACATGAATTGTTCAACAAAGGTATTTTATACACAGCAATTTATTATTATTTTTTTATATATTTATGCTTGAATAGTTGCTATAGAGTATTTTTGTATGCTTTCTGACTAGACTTCACAAATTGTGTCTTCTCGTATCTTTGTCATTTGTTTGTGGAATATTAAAGTTACTGTACAAAAATGAGAGTTGAAACGGAGGTGAATTGGTTTGAGGCTGTCTGTGCATCTAACTTTCCCGCCGACTGTGTGCGCTTCTTCTCTTAAACCACACAACCAATTTAAATGAAACTTGACAGGATTATGTCAACTTGTGAATATCTGAAGGAATTTGACCTTGACTTAAAAATGACCTTGACCTTAAGTTAAATTGTTTAAATTTTGCTGAAATTGACTATGATTGTACATGGATGTATTGTATTCATACTTAGGTATTACAACCCTTCAAACAATATCTTAAAGTAGATGAAGCTGAACTTGACCTTGACCTTTAAATGACCTTGTCTGTTAGGTTAAATTATTGGTAAAATTGGCCATTATTTTGTTATTTATGGATGGATTTGATTGATAATAAATAATAAAAGTCCAAATGATCATAATTTATTGTCTCATGTTTGACCATGACCTTTTTCCTTTAAGGTCAACTTGTTGAATCTGACCTTGACCTTTTTAATGATTTTTTTTTTCTGAAAATTCTCTTACTTATTTTATGAATTGTTAGATTTGATGGATGTTTGAACAATCAACACTTACATACAAATGTCATGGTGAGAAATTCAGGTATGACCTTGACAGTTAAGGCCAAATAATTGAATTTTGCTGTAATTAGTTAATATCAAGATTAAATGATGTTATAAACTAATGATCTTGTTTTTTTTCTATCAGATTGAGTTTTCAACAAGTCCTGATAGCATACCTACTCATTGGAAACAGACATTGTTCCTCTTAGATAAACCTTTACAGTGTCAACAAGGTAAAATTTTCTATCTAAAATGTTTCTAAAGGTACATTCATATAAATGTATTGTTATAGTTATATTAAGATGATGATAATACAGCTGAATTACTATTTGTGAAGAAAAACAAAAATATCATAAATTGAATAAATTGATTATAAAGGTTATGTAAATCTAAGCCATTACATATTAAAAAGTCGACATTACAAACATGGGGGACATTGCATATGAAATATTATTATTAAACAGTCTCAGGGGTGTTTATCACTATTTAAATCAGTCATGTGTTTCTACTCAATTACTAGAGAACCAATCGACTGATAGTATGCTTACTACATAGGAAGATTAGCCTCATTGACTAGAGAAGCCCTTTTGTATTGGGCACAGGTGCAAAAAGGTCAAGGTCAAAGTGACCCTGACTGTGAAAACTGTTTCTGTTCTATAAATTAAGTGTGGACATGGATATAAATCATTATTTGTTAGTTTATGATAAAGAACTCATGTATGATGTAATATGTTTTGTCTAACATTTTGTGTATCTTTAGGATATATTTAGATTTAGAAGTGAAATAAAAAAAAAAGGACGAAAAATTCTAATAGTTATTGACATGCATTAGGGGCATTGACAGCTTAACTGTCCAATTATCTATTAAGTGATTCAGGGATTATATCTTGATTGGTTCAGAAACTAGCTTTAAATGTAAATGTAAATTGCACACAATAAAAATGTGAAAATCTTTATATTTACTTTAGTTACCCAAATAATTAGAATTTGTATTTGGAATTAGAATTTATGAAATTTAAATTTTAAACTATGACCAGCTTAGGAGATAGATTGCTAAAAATCTGTGTACCTTGAATTTTACAATTCTGCTGTCCCCGTGTTCACAAAGAAAAGATCAGGATCAGATTATCCTGATTATATTTTCATTGTTTTATAAAACTAAAACTGATCGTACTATGCTAGAATTAAATGGTACATATTCCAAATATAAATAATTGCTTATTTGCAAAGAAACCAACCTTTTTTGGGATAAAGTCAACAAATAACAAAACAAATACAAAAATAATCTGATCAATTTTAGTATCAAGATCAAACTTTGGATCAACTGTAAAATGCCCATATCTTGTAAAAATAACAATAAATTTATTCTAAAATTTTTATAAACATGCTATTTCAAGTCCAGTTTTTATAGTTAACACTGAATATTAAATTTATGAGGATAAATAATGGAGAATATTTGAGTTTTTAAATTTGATCCTGATCCTTAAATCTTTGTGAACTTGGGGCCAGAGGATTGAGACCCCATTGAATGAGTACTTACAGTCCTTCACTACTCACCACTGTTAGTTTAACTGTTGTAAGGGACTAGATGTTATGTTAGTTATCCTGTCAGTTTACAGATGGTCTGTGGTTCTACTCAGGTGCATCCTTAAATTGTGTTTATCATATGGAAAACTTTAAATTGGTCGTAAATATTTTTGCATTTAAGGTGTGAATCTTTTTGCATGAAATATTTTTATTAAAATTATGAACAGCAAATTTGTGTGATTTCCAAAATCTTATGGTTGATTCTCAAAAGAGTTGTAATATTAAATGCTGGTTATTTATTTTAACCAACATGGGTATTGTACATAAAAAGTGTTTCGAAACAAAATACTATGCAACTTTTTTAAGTAGTGACAGTACTAGTGTTTTAATCATTTAGTAATGATTTTGGGCATTCCTATTCGTTTTTAAGTAAATAAACAAACATATTTTTTTATACAGTTATTCTGAAATTGTATTTTCCAAAAGTCAAATTAACATTTTCTTAAGTTTAAAGATTTATACATGTACATTCTACTGAATTATCCTTATGTTGAACTGTCAATGCAAAAATATTTGTTTTATTTCTAGGTGATATTTTAGAGGGAAAGTTAACATGTCGAAAGAACAGAAAAGACACAAGATCACTTATAATAAACATCATATTAAATGATAAAAATTTGACATATTATATGGAATAAAAGAAAATGTAAATGAAGGGATTTTGCTTGTTTGTTTTCTTACCTTGTCTTGTGCATAAAATGTTAAATAGTGTGCTTTTTTATTGCCAGATGTAAATTCTATGTTGCCTTGCATCTCCTCTGATAATCCAGAAAACATAAATTACTCTTAGACTATTTGTTTTATTTTGATCAGAAAAAAAAAATTATTTTTATTTTGTCTACAAAAGTTGTATTGTTAGTTTTTTTTGTTTTGTTGTTTTTTTGCAAAAATGGAAAATTTATGAGGGGAACTCATTCATATAGTTTTATTGTGTCCCCTGCTATAGAGTAGTTGTGACATTGGAATCGCTTCTCTGACATCTGTCTATCCGGACAGACGGACGTAAGAATGAACAAGGGAGTGATCATAGATTTTTATAATTTTGCTAAAGCCTTCATTAGTTCCCTAGGGGACTATAGGTTTTCAACTGTCCGTCCGTCAGTCAGTCAGAGCTAACAGTTAAATACAAATGTGGTTACAGGAACAATGCGTAACTGTACTTTTTCTTTCACGTAAGCGTTTAAATGGCTATTTTTCTTTATGACTAAAAAGAACAATGGAGACAAAAAAGATGTAGCCACAGAAATATCACAAAAAAACTGGATACCTTGATAACTCAAAAAATACTGAAATATGGATATATTGCAGTATGAAGATTATGTACGTCCTATGCTGATACGGTTGCTAGACAACAATTTTATATACTTAAAATATTCGGCAAATCACAGATATACATACACTTATTAATCTCCATGGGCAAATATAGCATTACAATTATAATTTGCGTTATACAAACATAGTGTACAGACGCGCTGTTAGATTTACATTATATAGGCGCGATAATGAAAATTACCGTTTGTCCCACTTTCTTATCCAATCAAGTGCTCAAATTTATTTGAAATATATTGCATACACTATACCGAGTCTGGTGTATGTGAAAAATAAGTAGACATATTTTAATGGGTATTGACGTGGTATCTGGCAAATATGACGTTATGGATATGGGCGGAGTTTAAAATTAGACAATATAATATGTGGCATGCGAATAAAGTAAACAAGTAAGAAAGCGATTTCATACGGTTATTTATAAATCCAAGCTTTTACATGTATAAAAATTATTGAAACAGTACATTACCTATACCGTCATGGTTATAATTCAAACATTAGAAAACAGTATAATAGACATGGAGTGAGAGAAATCTCAAAGTTCGAAACTAACACATAATTATCTTAAAATAATCATACAGAATATCCATGTTTCATAATTCCATGACAAACTTTTTTCCACATTTTGTTAAAAAAACTCCACTTTTTTAACAGTTGACTTCGACCCCTATACCCTCGTATAGTCATCTCGCGCATGCGTCGATCATTATTCTGCAAAGTTCAGAAAAAAAGGATCTTCAGTTTTAACAAAGTTCACGTGCATGGATTTTTCATTCCGAAGATACCGTTGTAGCATTGCAACAATGTTTAGTAAAGTTGTTGGAGGATAGAATTCTCAATTTTTCCTTTCAATTTCACAGATGAATTGTTGCGACCAAAATCCATTGCTGCACATGAACGGAACTGCTCTATTTGAACGGGAATAGGATAACCAGGCTCTTGCTGAGTCTCCGGTTGTAGGTTGCGGTTTTCCAGACGTGCACTGCCCAGTTGTTGTTTTTCGTTGTATTATAGGGCACTGTATTTCTGTTTCTTCTTAATGTCATCAGAATGATGACAAAAGCTTTTCAAATCGGCCTGCAAAATGCAAATATCAAAGAAATCACTGAAATATGATTTTCAAAGTTTTTTTTAATAATTGCAACAGCATTTAAGGCAGATTAACCATGTTCTGTTTGAATAATTTACCGTCATCTATTTTGAGATTCGGTACTGGTTGGGCGTACAAAAGCTGCGCGCCTAGTCATGTTACAATTTGTATTTTCATTCAGATAATGATGAAGTTAGATATTGCGAGAATTCGAGAATATTTTTTTATAAAATATTTACCTGAGCTTTTGCCTCTTGTTGCTTGTGTCTGCATATAAAACCTGCGTAGCAATATCAAGCAACCGTGACCACATGAAATGGTTCAAAAATATGATTCTTGCTATATATATTATGTCAAACACAACCTGATCGCAGAATTGTTACATGATGAAAATACATAAAAACGCAAAGCTTTGATTGACAGGTCAAAACACTCAGACCATGTGTTGGCCTGTCAATCTATACTAGTTAGGGCGGGACTCATATTATATTACAGCTGTACCGACACTTTGTACCTGACTTATTCCACGAAAGTGGGTCAAACGGTAAGCCAGTTATAGTTCATATTTTAAAAAATATAGAACTTATTGCTGCGCTCCGCTACGCTACGCTTGCAATAAATTCCATATTTTTTAAAATCTGAACTATAACTATTACCTATTTTGCATACTATAATCGTGTAGGTCCATTACTGAATATCTTGAAATCGTTGTATAAAATATTTTGCTCGCTAAAGGCTCGCATGATATAATTTTATTCAACCCGTTCAATAAATTCAGTATTGAACCTACGCTCATATAATTATCATTTTTACAATCACATGAAGTTGATATGTTTATACACAGTGAGAATGTGTAATACTTTACACAGAAATAGTCTAAATGATCCTTTCATATAATATACAGTCTGTTCGGATCCGAGAGGTTAATTTTAGAGTAAAATAAGAACAAAAATTGAAAAAATCGTCCGGAATTCGGAGTAGACAGGTTCCGGATCCGAAAGTATTTTTTTTTCTATTGAAAATAGATCGAATAAAATCGAGACCGGACACTTCGTTCGGATAAGAAAGGATATTTGTTACTTAGGTTTAAAGGAGCATTGTCTTCTGAAGATAACTTGTCTTCAAGGAAAACGTCTGCGAGAACACATTCCAGCAGTAAGCATCTTTGCCTAATTTATCAAATTGAGCTCAAATTATTTCAGTTACATTTAAATGTCAATTTATCCAAACATTCCAAAAATGATGAGCATAGTGTTATAAGACTTGTGGGGGATACAAGAACCCTCACTCGCTACGCCCACTCGATTTCACAAAATACCCCTTTTTACATATCCATAATCACCGCCTTAAACAGTAAATTTTCTAACTTTTAACAAATAAATGAAAACATGATCGTATATAGCTTAATTAGTTAACAGTCATGAACTTTTATATAAATTGTGGGCGTTGTGACGAAATTTCGTGTTTTTTTTCAGTAAGGTATTTACTTCACTCAATAAATTGAAGGGAAAAAGTTGACAACTTGTAGTTATAGCGAAATATTAGCATAATTGTACGCCTTACCGCGCAAAATATTACAAAACTATATCCACTTGCTATTTACAAAGTATTTAGATACATAATTGATAAGTTGTCACTCTAGCGAGCCGAGGAATTTTAAAGCATTATAGATCACCGTTTTTTATGAAATCGTTATCACTAAAGGAATTCTGTCCATATCGTGAAAAGAATGTACATAGTGAAACGGGTGAAACAAACATTGATTGATCACGGAAGTATTTGTTAAACAAAAATTCACCTGTGTTGAAAGAATAATGATGTTTACCTGTTTATTTAGGATACATGTTGCGTTATATTTTCTATTTGTTTACGGTGTTGTATCTTTGAAAACGATTGAAGTTCTGACGAATCTGGGAAGGGTAATAGGAAGTATTGAAGACTCCGTGATAAGTGGGACAGACGATAATTTCACGGTGTTACAGTATGTAAAATATCTAGGAATTCCTTATGCAGAACCACCAGTTGGCGAACTTCGTTTTCAAAAACCTGTAGCAAAGAAACCTTGGAATGACACGCATAACGGCACAGTATTTGGACCTATGTGTCACCAAGGAAATGGTCGTGTATCAAGTGATCCGATGGCTATTGTTGACAACAAAATGTCCGAAGATTGTCTAACATTGGATATATACGCGCCTGTTGCTTCAACGACTAGTGGTGATTCCTATGCAGTAATGGTGTTCCTGTTAGGTGCAACAGGTGGCTCGAAGGGATTTATCGCAGACACAATAAGTGCTTACGGGGATGTAGTTGTTGTTGTTGTCAACTTCAGGACGCATGTTTTAGGTTATTTCAGTACTGGTGATTCTGCAGCACCTGGGAATTTCGGACTCTGGGATCAAATGATGGCTATTCATTGGGTAAAAGATCATATTAGTAAGTTTGGCGGTGACAGTGATAGAATTTCTCTTGCTGGGTATTCTATGGGAGGATCTAATGCAATTCTTCAAATTCTGAATCCAAAAAATAAAGGAATTGTTAAACGAGTTATAGCCCTTGCTGGCACCCCATTTCCAACTTATAGATCCAGTTCTTTCTTACGTATACAAACCGGAAGCGACTTTGTAGAACGTGTTGGATGCAGACGAGATTCATCAAAAGAAACGGTAGTTTGTCTAAGAACCAAATCTATTACTGAAATAGATAATGCACTTTCTGCATTACCTTATTCAATTTCATTCACGCCTGTTGTTGATGGCGATTTTATTCCTATTGATCCGCAACTTATGCTAACAAGCTACGATACCTCCTTTTTGAAATCCATTGAATCATTTGGCTCTGTAGAATTAATGCTTGGACTGACAAATCGCGAGGGTGGTGCGCATATCTCTTTAATGTGGTCTAATTTATTAGGACAGCAAGTCAATACATTTCAGATTAATAAGACATCGTTTGAAAATTTGGTAGTACCAACTGCAATGGATATAGTATTTGGGGAAAATGTGTCTGATGCAGTTTTGCAAAATGTTGTATTCCAGTATAGTGATTTACTTGATCCATCAAATAACACCAAAGTAAGAAATAATGTGGTGAACTTATCAACAGATATCGACGTGGCTGCACCCATTGTAAAAACAGCTAATTTTCATTCTAAAATCAGCACTAAAACGACTTTTCTATACCAGTTCTCAGCAAATTTGAGTCTTAATTCATCTTTGACGCCATCTTGGCTAGATGGCGCTAATCATGGAGATGATGTTTACTTCCTGTTTGGATTCAGTCAACGCTATCTGGATGCTTGGAAGCATACAAAAGGGTTTGTTCCAAGAGATTACGAAATTTCTACAGCCCAACAATGGAGGACAGTCATTACAAATTTTGTAAAATCAGGGTGAGTTTATTATTGTTTTTTATCTGAGACATACGGTTTTTTATGTCCCCGGTCTTATCATTTCAGAAGCTTTAAATAATAATATAACGATGGTAGCTTACGGGACACGATACTTAAACACCAACGAGGGCATGACAGTAATGACGGGTTTTGAAACAAAGTCAGCCAGTCAGTGTTCACAATTTCAATCGAGAGCGCTATACCAAAATTCAGATTTTTGGTGGGATAACTAAATGACAGTTTAGTAGAAGGTAACCTTTCCAAAATGCCATTTGCTCACCGAAACTTAGAGGAAGCATGTTAAAATGACATGGCGGCGAGGCGAAGTGGTTTATACGTACGTCAGACTGGTAATCTAAGGGTTGCTGGTCGCTGTCAGAGGCAAGCCGTCGTTTCCTTGACAAATTTTTTTGTACTTATCTACCTAATCAGGAACGCATTCGAGAGGCTATATAAGCTAATAGCTACCTTTAAAATCGAACTTAAATGTAATAAATTTAATTGATGCGACGTTTGATATAATGAATAGTAACTGTACACCTGGAAATATGTTAAGCACACTTGGCAATTTGCCTCAATTTTGACATGACCACAACTGAAATTTAGTTGGGCAATACCCAGTACGAACAACTTGTTGTCAACCTACAAGCTGTGCACCAAGAATGGCAAATTTTACATCAAGATCGCATTAGACGCCTTCAATTTACTGGTAGTACATTGTATGTGGAGAAGGGTTGAGGCTATCATCCGGGCACACACGTTATTGAAAATATGGCTACATAGTGTCATTTTATGCTTTGTAATCGTCAACATTAACCAAAAATATCTACCAGTAAATGTTTTGTAAACGCTCCAACGCCATACTTATCAACACTTACATTTTGGGTAAAAAGCGACACGTTTGCTTATGGAGTGTCCGAGTTTCCAGAGCATGCCCATTGATTGGCTCGTTTTTGCTGGGTTTTACTTATTGTGACGTCAGAGAGAGGGAAAACGATAGAAATATATTCAGATCGATGCTCGTTCATTGGTTACTTTTTCTGGGGTTACATATTGTGACAACAGGGAACTTGTTTTTATGTTTGACTATGATACAAAAGAGAAAGAACATCAAAACACTTGGCAATCTGATTTATACTCGGGGGCTACGCCCCCTCGTACAAATCAGAAAGCCTCGTGTTTCGATGCTCTTTCTAATATGATTTATGATAACTAAATTGGTATCGCTACTTATAAAATTACTATTTCTTGGCTCAATTAACAATGCTTTCAATCACAACCAATTTTAAATTCCCGGGATGTGCTTAACTTATTTCCAGCTGTATCCGTGACCTAAACGGTGTGTTGTCATGCGGCGTGTTGTCGCGATGTCACATTGTCGCTCAGTTCAAATCGAAGGATTGGCTTATCGACAACGCGCCGCACGACAACGCGCCGTTTGGCGTGCTTGGCTAGATACAGGACGACAAGAAGGCATCGCGACAACGTGCCATTTGGCGCTTTGTCTTGTTGTCGCTAGCGAAAAGGCTATAACGATATTGGTTGTGTTGTCGCTAATGTACCAAAATCAGCCACCATAAACTACACATTTCAGAGGAAGTGCAGTGTTAAAGAACAATTACTCTTTAAAACTTCTTTTAATGCTCCCCGAAAAATTTCGCGGGGGAGCATATAGTCGCCGAATTGTCTGTCCGTCCGTCAGCCAGCCAGTCAATCCGTCCGTACGTACGTACGTCCCAAAATCGTGTCCAGCCCATCACTTTGTTATTTAAAGTTTGATTTTACAACTCTTTCACAGAAATGATCACCATATTGAGACGACGTGTCGCGCGCAACATTAGGTTCACTCCCTTGAAGGTCAAGGTCACAGCATGACCTTGCAGCAAAATCGTGTCCGGCCCATAACTTCGTTATTTGAAGTCGGATTTTATAACTATTTCACAGAAATGATTACTATATTGAGACGACGTGTCTTGAGCAACATTTTGGTCGCTACCTTGAAGGTCAAGGTTACAGCAATGACCTTGCAGCAAAATCGTGTCCGGCCCATAACTTCGTTATTTGATTTCAGATTTAAGAACTATTTCACAGAAATGATCATCATATTGAGACGACGTGTCGCGCGCAACATTTGGGTCGCTACCTTGAAGGTCAAGTTCACAGCATGACCTTGCAGCAAAATCGTGTCCGACCCATAACTTCGTTAATTGAAGTCGGATTTTACAATAACTTGACAGAAATGATCACCATATTGAGACGACGTGTCGCGCGCAACATTTGGGTCGCTTCCTTGAAGGTCAAGGTCACAGCATGACCTTGCAGCAAAATCGTGTCCGGCCTATAACTTCGTTATTTGATTTCGAATTTTACAACTATGTCACAGAAATGATCACCATATTGAGACGAAGTGTCGCGCGCAACATTTGGGTCGCTACCTTGAAGGTCAAGTTCACAGCATGACCATGCAGCAAATCGTGTCCGGCCCATAACTTTCTTAATTGACGTCGGATTTTACAACTATTTCACAGAAATGATCATTATATTGTGTCGACGTGTCGCGCGCAACATTTGGGTCGCTCCCTTGAAGGTCAAGGTCACAGCATGACCTTGCAGCAAAATCGTGTCCGGCCTATAACTTCGTTAATTGAAGTCGGATTTTACAAGGAGAACAGGATTACTTGGGCTCTAGTTCGTGTAGTTTCTTGTGCTAAAAAGATTTGTACAGCCTTTGTTGACAAATGTGCAGTTTTGGGAAGCTGGAAACTGTAATTAACAGGGAAAAAAATAATAAAAAGCTAAAACTAAAAACTTTTGAAACTAAATGAGTCTTTAAATAATGTTTTCTTTAGAAACAAATATTTGATATGCATTAATTTCTTGTTTTCCTTTTTTTTTCAGAAACCCTGCTTTACCCGTGCAAGAGACTGTTCCTGTGTGGCCGCCATATAATAATGTAACCAGTTCTTATTTGGACATATCACATGATCATGATCAACTGACAGACTATCAACATTTTCGGGAACCATATATGACATTCTGGATAAAAATAATTCCTTCACTTCTTAATATGCCCGCGGAAAACACGTGCAGTTCGAATTGTAATTTCAGCAACGAACGTGGACCAGTTTTTCGGGTTAATATGCATGTTGCTGAAAATATAATTTTGAGTTTGGCTATCATATCAGGATGTTTATTACTGGCTGTCCTTTTGATATGTGCACTTTCAGTTGCTAGACAAAACAAATGGGATTACAGTTTTAGATGAGATTATTTGTTCATGATTATAGCGAAAGTATGGAACTGTAATGTTCGCCTTTACTTAATAGTTACATTTGAAGCGTTAAACTTCTGAACATAAAATAATATTTTCAGAATTGTGTGCGTGTGTGTTTGTGTGCGCATAAGTATTGTGTGTATATATCGCTACTGAAAATGTGAACGGAAATTTTGGTGAGAATATGATTAACAAATAATTAAATTATCAAACAAACAAGAAGTGACATTTTTTTATTGTTTATAAGCGAACTGTATGTGCATGAAATAGAAAGACAAATAATGTATATGTCATATATTTTTGTCTAAGTTTATTTGCTATAGTAATACAGTTTATATATTGTATACGTGTATTTGTGTTGCCAGGAAAAATAGAAATCTAATGTCTATATTATAGTAGTTATGGAAAATTTATTCATGACTTTATATACGCAATTACAAATGAGAAATTCTATATAATAATATTTCAAAATACAAGGTGTATATGTAATGATCTCAAAAACTGTTTCACAAAATAAATATTGAATTTGCTAAACAACACACACGCACACGCACACACACACACGCACACACACACGCACACACACATTCTATGTTGGATCATTCCACAAAATTTCAAGAACTATACATAAATACTTGATTAACATATAAACTACATAGGCATGCGTATCATGCATACACACTTTTTAAAACTTCATGGACAACCCTCATAACTTTAAAAGTAATCTGATCTGTGAAGAATTTTATTCTTTCTTTTCTACTCCTACTACATACCATGTGATATAAAACAAAGAACTATTGTCTTCATACTTTGTTTGGTATTGGATTACATTTTTTTTTCATTTAGTGTTATTTTGGTCACGGGTGTATAACACCATATTACTTTTAAACCAATATGTAATAAATTATGAGAGTTTTATGACATAGAATTTGTATTAGTGTCAGAATTTATTTTAGTGTCCAATGCTTCAAATATACAGATGGATAGGTGTCCCTTATGTTATGGAACTTTCCAGAAACCTAAAATTTTACCATGTTTGGATACTATGTGCTTCGCTTGCCTTGACGAGTACGTAATAAAGAATGCACGGAGCTCGGGCACCTTCTCCTGCCCTGTCTGTAATTTAGAACTGGCAGTGCCGGAAGGCGGAATCACAAACTTTGATGACAACCAACATATCAAAGGGGAGCAGGCGTTGGAGTCACTGCCAAATATGGATCTTCTTTGTGAGGTATAGCTATTATATGTACTGTACATTATATATTTTTTGGAAAGTCTATAGAGAAGCGGGGTTTTATTATCATTAATATTATTCGTTTTTTTATTATTGATAATAGTACTATAAGAGAAACTCATATTCATATAGAGTTATTCATATAGAAATTGTATCATAGTTTGGGGACCTTTCTGTTGAAAATGTGTCAGAGTTAAATCGTATACATATACATGCACAGTGCGGTAACTGGAGTGCAGGTATCAGTTACCCGCACTCCAGATCATGCCCATTGATTGGTTCATTTTTGCTGGGGTTTACATATTGTGACGGCAGAGAAAGGGAAAGCGACAGACATGTCATATTCAGATGTTCGTTCATTGGTTCATTTTTGCCGGGGTTTCATATTGTGACAACAGGGAACGTGTTTTTATGTTTGACTATGATACAAAAGAGAAAGAACACCAAAACACTCGGCAATCTGATTAATACTCGGGGCTACGCCCCCTCGTACAAATCAGATAGCCTCGTGTTTCGGTGCTCTTTCTATTACTTATATAATACATGTCATTACCTGAAATTGTATCATAGTTTGGGGACCTTTCTGTTGAAAAAGTCTCAGGGTTAAATCGTATACATATACATGCACAGTGCGGTAACTGGAGTGCAGGTATCAGTTACCCGCACTCCAGATAATGCCAGTTGATTGGTTCATTTTTGCTGGGGTTTACATATTGTGACGGCAGAGAAAGGGAAAGGGGCAGGAATGTCGTTTTCAAATGCTCGTTCATTGGTTCATTTTTTTCTGGGGTTTCGTATTATGACAACAGGGAACGTGCTGTCATGTTTGACTATGATACAAAAGAGAAAGAACACCAAAACACTCGGCAATCTGATTTATACTCGGGGGCTACGCCCCCTCGTACAAATCAGATAGCCTCGTGTTTCGGTGCTCTTTCTATTACTTAAACCAGGTACCTCCGTGGCCTAGAGGTTAATGTCGCAGGTTAATCGTTAGTCTCCCTTCCCTCCCCATCCTCTAATGGTCTCACCAGGAAAATTATTCCAGATGAGGTATATTTATCCAGCTAGCTTCCGGTATCTCGATGGTTCTACTCCCGTGGCTGCTCAGGACTTTTATAAGTTTTCTCCACCATTAAAACTGGAAAGTCTCCTGAGTCTAGTACATTTATGCAATCCGTTTAGCATATTTGTTAATGGACAAAGGTTGCTAAGCAGTTAATGTATCTCTCTTACAACCCCAGGATTGTGAGTTCGACCCTACTGGCGTCACGATCATGTTTCCTTATATGACACTAGAACAAGAAAGTTCCAGGAAGTAGACTCGGAAGTTGTTCAAATAAGCTAATTTCTTCCTTAACATTGACTTCAAATATACATGTATATATGCCTTAACTACACGTTAACGAAATATATAGCAATTGGTTTAGTCCTCATAACTGAATTAGACCATTTTATCCTAATAACACGTACCGACTGCCTTTTTTCATAACGCCATTTTTTTAAACAGCCTTTTTAAAATAACACACGATATTCTTTCCAAAAACCAAACTACCTGTTTTATATAACCCATACCATTTTTTCTAATTTACTCATGATATCTACTATAGATACTTTTCCCAAATAACGACCGCTTTTCCCAAATAACACTCATGCATCACTTTTTTAAATGGAATTTTCCTAATAACATATAGTATTTTTCCCAAAATGACACGGGTTACATTTCTAAATAAGCACGGACCACATTTTCTAAACAGCAAGCATTTACTCTTTGTAAATAACACATTCAAGCTTTTAAAAAATATGACTGATCTTCATGAATTGGTTTTACTATAGCTCTTATCTTAACAGGTGTGTGACGAGAAACAAGATGCTACTCAGCGGTGCATAGACTGTGAGCAGAACTTCTGTAAGAATTGCAGCAAGGCCCATCTTCGCCTTAACATTGCCAAGAGTCACACCCTTGTAAACCTGGTAGGATCCGAAGGCAAACGATACCTAGTTTCAATAGGTCAGTTTGATCTTAAAAGTAAAACGTACATAAGCTAGCTATTTAAATGACTTGTTCGCGAAACATGTGGTTGCTTCAGTCAGTTTGGAATAATGGTTGGATGGGGCAACTATAGTTTCTTAGTTAGGAAGCTGTTATAAAACCGCCTTAAAAGATGTAACAAACTGTTTCGAAATATGTGAGTTTTAGTAATTACAGATTGGATTTTTAAATGTACTATATTTAAAGTAAGACTAATCACACAACCTCTTGTACTTGATTTGTATTTTGTATTCTCCAATTAATCTATTTCCAATTACCAGGTTACTGCGACAAGCATAAGAACGAGGAATTGACTTTTTACTGTCGCACGTGCCAGATACCGATCTGCATGAGATGTCGCCTGACAATTCACGAGGACCACACGACGGAAGATCTCGTAGACTTTGCCTTGAGAGCGAGGCGAGATTTGAAAATCGCGTTAGATGAAAACAAAGGTTGTCGATTTAACATGCTAAATGATATAGAGGAACTTCGCGTTTACAAAGAAAAAATAGCCGAGAAGAAAAATAGAGCAAAAAAGTTGATTATGCAACGGAGACAGCAATTTCACAAAGCTATTGACGATGTTTGTGACGACATGGTTGAAAAACTAGAACACGAAGTAACAAAAGAAATAGATATTGTGGAAGAAGATAAAGAACTCATTGAGCAAGACATGCTGACACTTTCACAGAAGATAGCAACGGCAAATCAAATGGTAGATTTCGGATCGGATATAGAAGTAGTAAGAGGTCGTCTAGACATTCTTGGAAGTCTAGAATTGTCAAAAAAGGATGTTCCCCTAAGCGTGACTGGTATAAAGTTAAATGTTGATTTTACTTGTCAAAAGCAAGCTGAATTGAGTTTGAAATACCTCATTGGTAGATTGTCCACAGATCTTATACCACCAAGGTATATACAAGTTACTGAAGTGTCCACATTCCGCGTAGAGAACACGTCTGACGTCATCAATTCAATATGTCCATCACCAGATGGTAACTGTTGGGTCGTGTGCGGATGGAAGTCTGATATCATATTGTTTGATCGTCTTGGAAAAAAGATGCGTATGAAAAAGGTAGGTAGAGATGTAGACTGCTTGTCTATCGATTCGGACGGAAACTCGTATGTTTCTTGTAGAGATGAACATTCAGTTAAACGTTTCGATCGTAACTTCCGGCGCAGAATGGCTACATTAAATATAGAATATCCACGTGGTATAGCAACAACCAATGACAATAAGCTGGTCATATGCGTCAACAAAACAACAACTTACTTTGAGTATGAACCAAGTCATCAAAACAAAGTTCTTAAACTTGGACCAGATGGAGATGAATCAAAAGAACTCAAAAATCCATCACTATGCTTCATGTATCCAATTCGAGTTGCCGTGAATATCAACAATGAATTGTGCGTTTCTGATAATTTGAAACATGCAGTGATGTTTCTGCGACCAAACGGAGAAATAAAATCGATGTACTCTGGAAACAGAAAAAACAGCGATATAATTCTTGTACAGTCTCCCTCTCGGCTAAATTTGACAACGGCAAAAACTGAGGGGTCATCTTCCCGCCCTGGGGCAGTTAGTTTTAAATTACCTGAGAGTAGACGAGAACAAGATGGGCCGCTTGAAGGAACTCCAAAATCAATTATGGATAAATCTCACGCGCCAGTAAACAGCCCTAAGACCGTTCAGATATCCGAGCATGCATTAGCACCATTGAATTTAAGCTACGAGAGTACATTTGTCTCTAGTGTTACGATCGACAGTGCATCCAAACAAATCGTAAGTCCAGAAAAGCAAGTACCGGCCCATGTCAAGGCATTGACTGATATGACCGGTGGGGCAGAAACAGCTAGCGTTACTGACGTGGATTCAGAAAATGAATTTTTTCAGCATGTACCGCCGTTTGATCCAAGGGGAATAACTTGTGATAAATACGGTCACGTAATTGTTGCAGATTATAGTAGCAATATGGTCCACTTGTTAGACAAACATGGTCGGTTTTTGATGTATCTTTTGACGGAAGCAGACGGCATATTCGGACCGACGTCTGTTGCAGTTGATACATCAGGGTTACTCTGGGTAGGCGGCGGGGATGCTACAGTAAAAATCTACAAATACATAAACTTAGCAGGCTATTAATTTTAAATGGTGTCATAGCTTAAGTCGTATGCATCTCGTCTACTCTTGTGTTAAATATATAGTGTCGTATTTGTGAACCACTTTTCCGCAACATATCAATTATCTTATAACAGGTAATAAATTTTAAAGGTGATTAATTTCCAGTTAGTATGCAGTGTGGTAAAAACTATATACCTTTCACCAATACAAGTAAGCATAAAATATACTCAGGAAGTATGCACTTGATTACTTGGAAATTCTGCAAAATATTGGCAAATGCGGTAGAAATGTATTGACCACAAAATGGTTTACTTTGTATTGAATTTTGATAATTATTCGAATTGTGGCTTCGTGTGAAGCGTCTATCACGTCAATGGATCAACGGGAGTGTTCGAGATTGACAAAACTGACGTGACGTCATGTGGAATTGGGTTTGAATGACCTTCCATATCCAAAGGCAAGAAAGCATTTACAAAAAGCAGAACTCTGCAACTTCACCCTAAAGCTGTTTAAATGTCATCACAGTTCTGACAAAAATCAGACAAACCACCATGTAGTCAATACATTTCTGCAAATTTTACCAAATATGCCAATAATTTGCTTTAAAAAGTATACAAAATTTAAAATACCCGGTAAGCAAATGAATACTTTCTTTTGCAACTGAGTATATAACGATTTGAAGTGAGGAATCAAGTCAAGGTCAGAAATATTCTTCACTTATGTACAATTTATGATGAAGCACTCCCAACTTTTGATCCTCGTCATTTTATATGCCCTGAATCTGTTTGCTTTTGAATCGAAACTTTTTACCTCTGTTTATATTATTAACAACTGTCTCGCATAAATCCTTCTTAATTAAATCATTATATAGTAAGGTATTTAAATAATACAGTAAAAACCAAAGTTTACATTTTGCTTCATGTAAAAGTCTAAATCCTACAGGATACCTTTCAACTTTTACCAAGAAACATTTCTGCTACTTTTATTCTACTGGCGGTAACTGAATTTACCAGTCCAGACCATGACCAGACGACACGGATACCAATTGCATCCGACACGTACATGTTGATTGATCATGGTCTGCACTGGTCGCTGTTCAGTAAGTTTTTTTGAATGGCTTTTTCCAGACTGAAAAATGGACAAGACCCGATAAGATATTTAGGGTCAAATTTTAGTCATTTATGTTATTAGCGCAATTTAAATCCTAATTCCAGACTACATCTTCCAAAATATCATTTTGAACTGACACAACTGTTTTTATACACTTTTATCTTCTTTTCCTTCTGTTAAATAAGGCATACTTATTTGAAAATTTGTAATTTATGCAATAAACTTCATCAAGTAGCAATATATGCTCGTTTCTCAATCCATATAATTGTGATGTAATATAAAATAAAACCACTTTTGTAAATTTGCTAAAAGAAATACATGTATGTATAAACTGAAGCTATACTTGTTCATTTCTCAATAAATATAAACTTTATTTACCCTAGTTACAGGAATGGACTTACTGTCCGTTTAGGATAATTATTTAGTGACGCGGCGGTCAAGTCCACTATTACGGTGTAAAACAGTTATCATATTGTGTTTATTATCTTTGGACACGTATGCTTGCAATATCAACAAGCAAATTCGTTGAATTTATATCCCCCGCCGAGTACTGGTTATTACTAACACAACAACTGAAGACATAAGGCTTTATTTATATATTTATCATGGCATAAACAGTAATATTCTTTGAACTTGATAAATATTCAGGGCAATAACAGAGCCTTAACTCTGTGTTAAATAGTATTATCTGGAAATGCCAATGAGATGTATGCATACTGCATAACTAATCAAGGGCCATACATTTGAGTTATAAGTGTCTGAACGGAACAAGGTGACTATATGCACATATCCTCTTCGTATCCCATAAAGTTTCATTGAATTCCAGCCAGTAGTTACAGAGAGGTAGCACGGAAACGATTATTGCTCTGGTTGTATACTGCATAAGTTATCAAGGGCCATAACTCTAAGTTAAAATGTCTGACCCGAACAAGGCGACGATATGCCCATCTCATCTTGGTATTGAAGGTTCCAATAAAGTTTCATTAGTTGCAGAGAAGTAGCGCAGGAACGAATATTTTTCTATATGCATTCTGCATAAGTAATCAAGGGCAATAACTCTAATTTAAAATGTCTGACCCCAACAAGGCAATGATATGCGCATCTTCTCTTGGTATTGAAGGTTCCCATAAAGTTTTGTTGAATTCCAGCCAGTAGTTGCAGAGAGGTAGCGCGAAAACGATTTTTGCTCTATATGCATACTGCATAACTAATCAAGAGCCATAACTCTGAGTTAAAGTGTTTGACCCGAACAAGGTGACGATATGCGCATCTCCTCTTGGTATTGAAGGTTCCCATAAAGTTTCGTTGAATTCCAGCCAGTAGTTGCAGAGAAGTAGCGCGGAAACGATACTGCAGAACTAATCAAGGGCCATAACTCTCTGAGTTAAAGTGTCTGACCGGAACAAGGCGACGATATGCGCATCCCCTCTTGCCATAAAGTTTCGTTGAATTCCAGTCAGTGGTTGCAGAGAAGTAGCGCGGAAACGATTTTTAGCTCGACTATTCGAAGAATATGAGAGCTAATGTAGTCGCCCCGGCGTCGGCGTCAGCGTTGGTTAAAGTTTTTTGTAAATTCAAATATCTCAATTATTGCTTGAGATATTCAATTGAAACTTACAATACTTATTTATAGTAACAATGTACATCAGATTGACAAGTTGGATAACTCTGCCTACAGTATTTACAGAATTATGCCCCTTTTTAACTTAGAAATTTTGGTTAAAGTTTTTTGTAAAGTCAAATATCTTAATTATTGCTTGAGATATTCAATTGAAACTTACAATACTTATTTATAGTAACAATGTACATCAGATTGACAAGTTGGATAACTCTGCCTACAATATTGACAGAATTAATAATGCCCATTTTTAACTTAGAAATTTTGGTTAAAGTTTTTTGTAAAGTCAAATATCTCAATTATTGCTTGAGATATTCAATTGAAACTTACAATACTTATTATAGTAACAATGTACATCAGATTGACAAGTTGGATAACTCTGCCTATAATATTTACAGATTTAAGCCCCTTTATAACTTGGAAATTTTGGTTAAAGTTTTTTTTTTTGTAAAGTCAAATATCTCAATTATTGCTTGAGATATTCAATTGAAATTTACAATACTTTTTTATAGTAACAATGTACATCAGTTTGCAAAATTGCATAACTCTGCCTGCAATATTTGCAGAATAATATGCCCCTTTGAAACTTAGAAATTTTGGTTAAAGGTCTTCAAAGATATTCACTTGAAACTTTACACATGTACTTAGGGTCATAATTGGAGAGTCATAATTGTATGTCACTGACCAAGTTCCATAACTCTACTCGCATTTAGGCTGATTCATCTCCCCTTTTCTACTTAGTCTCTTGGTTAATGTTTACATGCAAGTTTTACATATCTCAATAACTTTTAAAGATATATATTTAAAACTTCACATATGCATTTAGAATCATAATTGTAGGTCACTGATAATTCTATCTTGCATTTAGGCTGATTTTTCTCCCCTTTTTCAACTTAGAAATTCATGGTAAAGTTTTGCTTGTAAGCCGTTATCTCCATAACTACTGAAGAGTTTGTGCCTTTTTTTGGGACAATTTTATGCATTCATAATAATAGAGCAGTGATTTACTTGATAAAACATCTTTATAACAAGCCTTTGTACCATTTCGGTCAAAATTTTATGTATTCATAGGTAATTAGCATTATTATACTCAATAAAACACCATTGTGACAATTTTTGAATAGTCGAGCCGATACTGTCCTCCGACAGTTCTTGTTACTCTTTATGCATACTACATAACTAATCAAGGGCCATGACTCTGAGTTAAAGTGTCGAACCGGAACAAGCCGACGATATGCGCATCTCCTCTTGATATTGATGATTCCCATAAAGTTTCGTTGAATTCCAGCCAGTAGTTGCAGAGAACTAGTACGGAAACGAAATTCGGACGGACGGATGGACGGACGTTCCAACATTTTGGGTTTAGGGGCTATTTTCTTTCTTATTGTCTTTGTTTTCTTATGGGCTACTAGCCCATAAACCCTTTGATCACGGAATGAACCTATTGTTCTCTTTTGTTCTCTTTACTGTTATATAGCCCCTAAACCCAAAATGTTTGCTCAACGCCAAAACTATGTCCCCCTCTCGATTCCATCGGCGGGGGATAATTAAAATATTGACACATTGATCAGTCAGCGTAGGTAACGTTGCCAGATAACCTTCTAGTTAAACTGGTTCGGATTGTACTTTTTCTCAAAAATTAATTTCTATATATAAACAATCAAATACGAATATGTAATATGTTTTCAAGATGTAGTGTTGTGTTAATTTCTATTAACTCTCATTTCACATTTTTTTTTGTTTCCAAAAGTAATATGTAGCAAGTTGATACAACCTTATACCGAATACTAAACGGAATGAATACATATGAATACATGTACACAAATTGTTTCAACAATAGTTCATTTGGAACGAAATACTCGTGCACTGCACAAGTACTCTGACAATTGCGTTTTTTCACACTACACAGGATAAAAATATTACCGGTATATTTAAATTATAAGATATTTTAATAAAAATATTTTTATTTTCCAATTCATTTGCATCTTCAGTAAAACTGAAAAAGGGGAAAACAAAAAGAAAGGAAAAATATAAACAATTTGTGAGGCTCGAACTCGTGAAAAAAATTAATTTGCATTGCATCCAAATGACTACCAACTTTGACATAAAGACATTTAAAATTATATTTTTTATCTTGTACTATAAACCCTGTTTTACCTATTCAGATAAAGATTGTAAACGTTTGTGTACACAAAAAATGCAACGTCACTCTCACATTATCATAGAGGCACACATAGGAACTCTGGAACAGGACCGCATATTGCGGCGAATAAATCCGAATTTATTTACATATTACGGCTTTACATATTGTTTGTCCGACCTTTGAATATCTTTTCATATGATGCGAGCGGGTGGTCTTTAATTATCTTATCTCAATTTAATATAATCTGCTAATTTAAAAATCAGTCAAATTTACGGTATATTGAAAAAAGAACTTGTCTTTTTTATAATACCGTAAAATTTGACCAGTTTTAAAAGAGACAGATTGGGTTCAATTGATAATACAATGTATATTTTTTGAGTCCATACACTCGTAGAATACTAAAAGATATTAAGATGTAGCAGAAACGTTTTTAAAAACCGTTACACGATCGAAAATATGCGCCGCAATCTGCGGTCCTGTTTTCGAGTTCCTACGAGAGGCACAGTAATTGCGAGCATATCACGTCTCGTTGAAGGATAATTGCTCCTTAAATGTAGATCGGAATTAGTCGGTCAAACATTTTGGCTAAGGAAAAACATCTTCTAGCTTGAATAGGCAACCTCTGCAATTACAATTCTATTCATTTAAAATGAACTATTTTAGGGTACAGTAGCTTAGCTTTCGGTCATATTTAAAAGAAGAGCACCGCATGCACTGTATTGTTCATCTATGTCTAAAGAGGCATAACTCAAAACAAGATTGCATTTGTGAAAAATGCTATGCCACCGCATTAATACATGTACAACAAACACTAAATAGTAATGTAGGAACAGATTGTTTTTGTTTCTATACAATTGAAGATTGCCATAATGCATAGATCACTGACCTATCTCATTCTTATTATCAGATTAGTGGTTTGCATAGATCACTGACCTATCTCATTCTTATTATCAGATTAGTGGTTTGCATAGATCACTGACCTATCTCATTCTTATTATCAGATTAGTGGTTAAATCTACTGATGCAGTTCAGTCTAGCGGTGAAGGTCATATTTCACATGGCCAAAATTCCATGACTGCACATCAAAGGACAACACAGTAAGACACTGTCAAAATCTAGGCCAGCTGATTTCAAAGTTCACACTTATATCTTAATCTGTGATCATGGTTCAAATTTCATAGCTGCACATCAAAGAACAAGAAAGTACATGTAGGTCACATCATCAAAATCTAGGTCACCTGATATCAAAGTTCAATTTTACATTTAGAACTGTGCACATAGTCCAAAATTTCATTGCTGTACATCAAAGGACAAGCAAGTAGGTCATTGGCTTGGGCAAGGCAAAATTTTGACCCAAGGGTTAATTCAAACAATCTTTATACAGGTCCACCAAACAACATTTCATGTCAAAAGACTCAAATATCTGAGCTGTAGCTTTCTCCAATTCTTCAATATTATATAGCATAATGAAAATCAATGTGACATCAGGAGCAAAATTTGAACAACTTTGGTAGAGTTCCTATGGCTGATATTATAAAGCAAACATCAAAGCTCTAAGCCTTGTACCTACAATAAGATTTTAATTTTTTTACTATATGTACATAGCAACTTAAAATCAATGACCCCCGGGACGGGGCAAATTTTGACCCCAGGGCTATAATTTGAACAATCTTGCTAGAGATTCACGCAAAATATCTAGCCTCAAGCATTTGTCAATTTAGAGAAGATGATTTTTTTAAAGTTTTTACTATATACATATAAGGAAAACCTATGACCCCCCGGGCCAGGCTAATTTTGACACTAGAGGCAAAATTTGAACAAATTTGGTAGAGTACCTATAGATGATATCATATACAAATATCAAAGCTCTAAGCCTTGAACCTTCAGACAAGAAGATTTTTTATTTTTTTACTATCATGTATATAGTGAAAATCAATGACCCCCGGGGTGGGGTCAATTTTGACCCCTGGACTATAATTTGAACAATCTTATAGAGGTTCACTACACAATGTATCATGCAAAATATCTAACCTCTAGCCTTTGTCAATTTCTAGATGATGATTTTTTAAAGATTTTACTATATACATATAAGGAAAACCCATGATCCTGGGGCGGGGCTAATTTTGATGCTAGAGGCAAAATTTAAACAACTTTGGTTCAGTACCTATAGATGATATCATATACCAAATATCAAAACTGTAAGTCTTGTACTTTCAGACAAGAAGATATTTTAAGTTTCTACTATTATGTACATATTAAAAAATAAAGACCACTGGGGCGGAGCCAATTTTGACCCCAGGGCTATAATTTGAACAATCTTGGAAGAGGTCTACCAGACAATGCCTTATGCAAAATATCTATGCTCTAGGCCTTGTGGGTCTTTACAAGAAGACTTTTTTAATTTAATTTCATAATTCCTTTTTGGTTGCCATGGCAACCAGATTTATGCATGGAATCAACTTTGGAAGCCCTTCACCCAAGGATCAATCCTGACAAGTTTGATTGAAATTGGACTAGTTGTTTTCACAAGAAGATTTTTTAAGTTCACTGTATAATCTATAGAACACACATACAGGTGAATCGCTATATGCCACCGCATTGCAAATGCTGCGGTGGCATAAAAATATTGCTTTCAGAGTAATGCCCATTTTCTAACAACTACACCTTGTCATGAGAAGTATTTCAAATTTCATGTTAAAAACCCTCTGAAAATGGGCTACATTAAAAAAATTTTGCATGACGACAATGATGACGACACATCGATCAGAAAAGCCTTTTTTTCCCCCTTCGAAACAGACAAGCTAAAAATCTTTATTTTCTGTTCCTCCATCTTTTGTAAAGTTAAAAGTTGTTCTCACACCTCACTGTGGTAATAATACATGAAACTGACCATTCTGCACGTTGACATGTCTAACCCGCCATTATCAAGCCACAATAACCTTTGCTTTATGAATTTAGTATGTGGAACTTTGGCATGCTGGATCAAAAGGTCAAGGTGACATTTAATTTAAATTATGCCAATTTAATATCTAACAGAGTTAATAAAGCAAACTGCTCCTCCTAGAACTCTATATTTACAGGGTAAAGTTAGCATTTATGTCTTTAAAACAGCAGGTCTCCACGTTCATAGAAACATGTTTAGAAGTAAAATATTGTGAACTTAAGTGAACAAAAGAAAAAATTTATACACGGCCAACGGCACTTACAATCCACATGAACTACTGAAGTGGTCAAATTATGCAATATTAGACCACAGTGTAAGTCATGCAGTAGGAGTATGTTGATTAATATTGTAAAATCAGTCATTTATCACACATAAAATGTAAATTATTACCAAGTAATTAAATTTACTTGGATCTTGTATATGATTTTACTCAAGTCTTTGGATTTTTTTTACATCATCTGGAGAAATGTAGCTTTAAATACATGTACCCAAAGGTTTTTGTACCTTATAAAGTTTGTGTTGATTATAACTCCTGAATAAAGTTAAATAAACTAATTTTTACTTGTGTATTATTTTTGTTTTCGTTTTAAGTCACCAGTTTTAAGTCATATTGCCATTTCCCAACTACAGGAAGTCACTAGTACAGCATGTTAAACTATTCTCAGTAAACTAGACCCAGAGTCATGTAAAAGTCCAGGAGTGAATTTTTCAAGCTCATAAAGGGAGGCCCATAATCCATATCACAGTAACGAGTCTTGGAAAGTGACCAAATACAAGAGAGGAGTATATATCTCGATCACTTTTTTTTTTTTTTTTGAAGATTTATGTTGCATCAAGCTTTAAAGAAGTTTTCCTAATTCACAAAGATCCATACAAAGTCCCGTCAGTTATTCAAATTTTGTAGGTAAGTAAATAGATCTCATCGAAGTGCAAAAGAACTGTAACTCTGCCTTGCCTAATTTAAGAGTTATTGCCCTTTGTTTTTTAACAATGAACTTTGTGCAGTTATGACCCTTGGATAGTGGCATCCATTTTATAATCTCAAAGACATGCATTAAATTTCAGATGATTCAGTCAAAAGCCATTTAAACTAAGATGCTAAAACATGACCAAAAATCCTGAACAAGAACGTTTGAAAGCTTCACATACTCCTAAATCTGCCAGGATTCAAAACCCAGAAAGGAGACGGACTTAGGGAAACTAAACTATTCCTTCCAGTTACTACATAAGATAACTAATTTTCTCTTCACAGCGGTTTATTGTCTCTAATAATTTACAAGAGAAATCACTGGCTCTTCATGGCCATTCTTCTGTCTCTCTCCTCAGCAATGGAAAGTTTGACTCCCTTGCCACGTGGTAGCGACACCCATGGCTTGCTGCCCTTACCAATAACAAACACATAACTCAATCTGAAAGAAGAGCAAGATATACTTTAACAATGATTGATTCAACAGAGAAAAGCTGTATAAAGGAAAGACAATAGATATGTTTGTCAAACATGTATGCCCAAGCCAATTAGTCATATGGCCAGGTCATTGTGACTTTGGCATACAAGGTCAATGTAAGCCAACAAGAAAACACAATAAAGGGGCAATATCAGCCCAAATCTTAATTTGTTTCAGTAACCAAAAATAATCTTTTAATTAAGGTAAAGACCCCATCAAGAAACTTGTCTGAAAAATGTTTTATATAAATTTTGACTGGAGGGTCATGATAAATGTAACTTTTAAAAAAATCTACAAATTGCTGCTCCATGCCAAATATCTAAGCTCTGGGCTCTGAAGTTTCACAAATGTGTTTTCCTATATAAGTTTATAGAAAACAGTAACCTTATTTATTTTTTTTTTTTTTTTTTGGGGGGGGGGGGGGGGGGACGGGACTTTTCTCATATAAGACTTTGTTAACTACATGCAAATGACCCAAGGGGCGTGCCAATAATGACCCATGGGGCTTCTTTAATACCAGTTATTTTGTGGTCAAAAAAGTGATATTACATGCCAAATATGTAAGATTGCAACATAGTTTCACACAATAAATCTCAGATGTGTCTTTCAATTATAAGTCAATATAAATCAAGTGATTCCTGGAGCCGGGCAAATGTTGAACCAAGAGCATGATTCATATCAATTTTGTAAAGGTCAATAAGGCAATGCTACATACTAAATACATAGACATTATAGTTTTGGGCGTATAAAATTCAAAACAGGTCATGAAGTGCCAAAGGAGGTTGAAGGGGGCATAACAAGAAATGCCAAAATGACACTAATGCCCCATTAATAGATTATACCAACTTTAAGATAACTCTGACCTTTGAGCAGTCAAGCCCACAAAAAGTAAACCTCTCCTCCTCCATGAGATCTATACTTTTATGAAGTTTTAAGGTTATGGGTAAAATGGTTTTTAGTTAGTGACTGGAAACTAACTTCATATTCAATGTCACTTTGAATAATAACATTATTAAGTTCATGTTTAATTTTTATGCTCACTTTAATACAAAGCGATTATCTCTGTGGTTGATTTAGTAAGCAGGCTTTCCTGGACAAATAAAGTATTAACAAATTTCTCCACAAGTAACCAATAACTAATCCCACATGATTTCTAAATTAGCAATGATGGACAAATTAGCAATGATGGACAAATTACCAGTATGCTCAATATCTGCGATCATTTTTCACTGCGAAATTTTGCCTCACCCTGAGAATCGAATCAGTGACCCCCTTGATTTTTATTATTAGAGTTAAAAGGGCAGAAAAAAAAACAATTCAGAGTATGATTCCAACATTAATTACATTTAGTTAAATTTTACTTGACTCTGATATTCAATGAACAGTAAGATGTGCTTATTAACCAAACGTCACATGTAAAACATCTAAGCTTATGACCTTCCTTAATCCTTTCACTTAGAAATACATCTTTTTAAAGATTACGAAGATTATATCCATTATTCACCAAGGCATCTGAAGTTTTGATTGTAATGAAGTTATATTTAAACAACTCTAAAAGAGCTCAGTACAAGAAAGATCCTTGCATACTTCCATCAACACTAGTCTTGTGGTTTTACAGAAAATATTTCTACACACGCATGACAATGAACACTTGGTACCACCACACGATACTACGATATCTTCTGACAGTAGGGACTACTTTCAACAAGTATGTACACACTATTAAGTATTACAAAAAGGAAATACCTTGTGGCAAATGAATGTCCAACGGCATCTTTAACATGTACAATATCGAATCCACCAGGATGTCTGTCTCTGTGTTGGATGACTCCAACTCGCCCCAAGTTGTGACCTCCAGTAATCATGCACAAGTTTCCTGAAATAGTTTGTACACATTGGTTGAACAGAAATATCACATACATCATAGACCGTTATGCCCTAGAAGTGCTTTTATTTTTGGTATGCTGTTGTAGTTTCCAAAAAGTTACTAATTGGCCACTTACCTGAACCATTGATGCCTTTTGGTAATCAGTGAAGTTGTAGTGATTTTGGTATTTTGTATGGAAGTCAAAATACTACATTGATTATATTTTGCTACTTTTATAACAAAAGATTTCACATTCAGTTGCACTTTCTTCAGATAATAAGCACCTTACAAAACCCATGTTACAAAACTCATACATGTGCTTTCAAGAAACAACAAGCAATTATCATAGTATTGCAAGCAATCCATAAGTCCCCTACCGGTTAGAACCCCATCAACATTCTGAAGGGCCATTGGCCATTCACTAGTGTTTCAATTTTTCTCTATTTTAAGTAAATTTGTTGGAAAAGTTCTTTAAAAGTGATCACAGGAAACAGTTTTTATGAACAGACAGACAGACGGACTGAAGGACACTCTAAAGTTAATATTTGAAACATCCCTGTTACCAAAATATAACATTTTAAAAGCAAAATTCTTAAAGAGGAGATAACTCTTGAATTAAAGATGCAATTTCATAAAATTTTTTAGCTCTTTTTGACTAATCACAAATATTGTTATATTTGCCATGTTTTAAGCCTATTTGTTGCCAAGGCAACTGATATTTTTTCAAAATAGGAAGAACAGATAAGACATGCATAATCTCAAGACTGCTGTCTACCCATATGTCAAGTTTCATAAAAATATTTCCAGTACTTTTTGAGTTTTCACTGGATTCAGTTTATGTGTAAAATTTGCCATATTTTCAGTCTATGTGTTGCCATAGCAACCAGAATTTTCAACATAGGAAGAAAAGAAAAAGACGTGCATAATCTCAAGACTGCCATCTACCCATATGTCAAGTTTCATAAAAATATTTCCAGTTCTTTTTGCGTTATCACTGGATCCAGTTTATGTGTAAAATTTGCCATATTTTCAGCCTATTTGTTGCCATAGCAACCAGAATTTTCATCATAGGAAGAAAAGAAAAAGACGTGCATAATCTCAAGACTGCCATCTACCCATATGTCAAGTTTCATAAAAATATTTCCAGTACTTTTTGCGTTATCGCGGGATCCAGTTTATGTGTAAAATTTGCCATATTTTCAGCCTATTTGTTGCCATAGCAACCAGAATTTTCAACATAGGAAGTAAAGAAAAAGACGTGCATAATCTCCATACTGCCATCTATCCATATACCAAGTTTCATAAAAATATTTTCAGTACTTTTTAAGTTATAGCGGGATCCAGTTTTGTGGACAGACGGATATATGGACTGACAGACGGACGGAGGGTAAACCTAAAACTAAAAAAATATTCATTTCTGAGGCAAAATGTGCATTTATAATATTTACAAAGCCAAGATGGCACCATATTAGTGGTGTATCTTCATAATTGTTGCCTATTTGTTGAGAACCAGACAATTGAAGCTGTCTTGTGTACAGAAAAATCTGGTACACAAGTTCAATATTAGTTGTTCTATCTTTATTGGTGGGAGCATATTGAGAATTAAATTATCTTAAAGATTTTAACCCAAGATTCACACAAACCAAATAACTAAAATGTATGGCAGTCACTGTATATCACTGACATTTTTTTTCATTTTGTTTCACTTTTTGGGCTCAAATTTTAATTCCAGAATGTAGCGAGATATAACAAGAGCCACCGCCGGGCGGGGGCAACGCTCGACTTTTTACTTTTTCTAAACGCAAACATAGAAAGGTTTGAACATATATTGATGTTTCCTTTTTATAAATTTAGTCTGTCCTGTCACATTAGTTTTGTTTATATATTTTGTATATATATGAATAGAAACATTAAGCATATTTCTAAAAATAACAACAGTACGCAATTTCTAAAAATAGCAACAATGACGCAATTTATAAAAATAGCAACAATGACGCAATTTCTAAAAATAGAAAAAATGACGCATTTTCTAAAAATAGAAAAAAATGACGCAATTTCTAAAAATAGAAACAATGACGCAATTTCTAAAAATAGAAAAAAAATGACGCAATTTCTAAAAATAGAACAACAATGACGCAATTTCTAAAAATAGAAAAAAATGACGCATTTTCTAAAAATAGAAAAAAAATGACGCAATTTCTAAAAATAGAAACAATGACGCAATTTCTAAAAATAGAAAAAAAATGACGCAATTTCTAAAAATAGAACAACAATGACGCAATTTCTAAAAATAGAAAAAAATGACGCATTTTCTAAAAATAGAAAAAAATGACGCAATTTCTAAAAATAGAAAACAATGACGCAATTTCTAAAAATAGAAAAAAAAATGACGCAATTTCTAAAATAGAACAACAATGACGCAATTTCTAAAAATAGAAAAAAAAAATGACGCAATTCTAAAAATAGAACAACAATGACCGCAATTTCTAAAATAGAAAAAAATGACGCAATTACTAAAAAATAGCAACAATGACGCAATTTCTAAAAATAGAAAAAATGACAATTTCTAAAAAATAGAAAAAAATGATGCAATTTCTAAAAAATAGAAACAATGACGCAATTTCTAAAAAATAGAAACAAAAATGACGCAATTTCTAAAAATAGAAAAAAATGACGCAATTTCTAAAAAATAGCAACGATGACGCAATTTCTAAAAATAGAAAAACATGACGCAAATTCTAAAAATAGCAACAATGACGCAATTTCTAAAAATAGAAAAAATGACGCAATTTCTAAAGATAGAAAAACATGACACAACTTCTAAAAATAGAAAAAATGACACAATTTCTAAAAATAGAAACAATGACGCAATTTCTAAAAATAGAACAAAAATGACGCAATTTCTAAAAATAGAAAAAAATGACGCAATTTCTAAAAATAGCAACAATGACGCAATTTCTAAAAATAGAAAAAAATTAAGCAATTTCTAAAAATAGAAAAACATGACGCAATTTCTAAAAATAGAAAAAAAATGAAGCAATTTCTAAAAATAGAAAAAAATTAAGCAATTTCTAAAAATAGAAAAACATGAACGCAATTTCTAAAAATAGAAAAAAAATGAAGCAATTTCCTAAAAATAGAAAAAAACATGACGCAATTTCTAAAAATAGAAAAAATGACGCAATTTCTAAAAATAGAAAAAATTACGCAATTTCTAAAAATAGCAACACAATGACGCAATTTCTAAAAATAGAAAAAAATGACGCAAATTCTAAAAATAGCAACAATGACGCAATTTTCTAAATAGAAAAAATGTACGCAATTTCTAAAAATAGAAAAACATGACGCAATTATATATACATGTTATATATATATATATATATATATATATATAATATATATATATATATATATTGATATATATATATATATATATTGATATATATATATATATATCTATATATGTACTATATATATATATACATGCATATATATATATATATTTATATATATATATACCTGCATATATGTATATATATACAAACACACATTTATATATATATATATATATAATACATATACTATACATACACACACACCAAAGCCTAAATGCACAATCTGAGAAAATTCAGTAATATAACCTTCAAGGTCAAGGTCATAAAGAGCCCAAGCAAAATTTGGGTTTTGATAAACAACAAGGTCTGGTCCTTAAGATGTTCTGTTATAATATAAGTTTATCCCTTCAAAAATAGCAAATTTACAGTCAGTTACTGCCAAAATACAATGAAAATTTCAATAATTTGACCTTCAAAGGCAATGTCATTAATGAGTGAAGGTCAAGGTCTTTCGGTATATTTTTAAACAGTTATCTTTGAAGATTATTATTGTTCAAGTTTGAAGACAATCCATTCAAATAACAAAGTTACAGCCAATAATAGCCAAAAAAAATGAAAATTTCAATAATTTGAACTTCAAAGTCAAGTCATTGATGAGTGAATGTCAAGGTCTGACTGGTTATTTTTAAGGGATATCCTTGAAGATTATTATGTTCAAGTTGAAGACAATCCATTCAAAAACAAGCAATTATCATAGTATTGCAAGCAATCCATAAGTCCCATACCCTGGTTAGAACCCCATCAACATTCTGAAGGGCCATTTCACTAATGTTTTTCAATTTTTCTCTATTTTAAGTACATTTGTTGGAAAAGTTCTTTAAAAGTGATCACAGGAAACAGTTTTTATGAACAGACAGACAGACGGACTGAAGGACACTCTAAATTTTTAATATTTGAAACATCCTGTTACCAAATAAAACATTTTAAAAGCAAAATTCTTAAACAGGAGATAAACTCTTGAATTAAAGATGGGCAATTTCATAAAAAGTTTTTCAGCTCTTTTTGACTAATCACAAATATTGTTATATTTGCAATGTTTTAAAGCCTATTTTTCCCCTTAT